TAACAAGAAACGTGTTCCTCATTTTTCTAAATTTCGCTTCCTTTGAAACAAAACTTCTTCACAAAGACGTCTTCTTTTGCCAGAGCTTTATTTTCACCTTCATCATGAAGTTCACATTATAGAGTGCGAGCGAGTTAGCGCTCATTTACAATTTAAGATAAATTCCGCGGTCTATTTCTTCCTTTAGTCACTCCTCTTAAAAATCCTGCGATAAAAAAAGTCAAACAGATGAGAACAATATATCGGTTAAGAGAAAAATGAGCTGGTATAGCAATGATATCTTTAATCCAGTTTCCAACGAGCAACAATCCTCTTCGTATATATGATCAATGACCCACCATATGCTCCTTCAGCAGTGGAAATGTATCTAGTCCTTTGAGTCAAAATTGTTGATGGCAGTAAATTAATTGAGCAAGAAACTAATAGAATCTGACATTTTTATTTCTTTGCTATAATTACCTATCGATGGTAAATGTTTTGCATAAAGTAACTTGAAGCATTAAGAGTCACGAGCTTTGCCTCAGGTAGTACACAACAATTTTCGCACCCATAAATAAAACGAAAAAAAATTCACTAACGGCTACTTTTTCTCTTTTTCTCAAATTCAAATAAGCTGTTTAACCGTTCAATCTACACTAGCAAACGACAAGAAATTGATGAAAGTTTTACTGTGATGCTTAACTCTTCTTTCCCTTAGAGGGATTTTCGATTGATTTTTTTTTTCTGTCATCTACGCAATTCGCGGTTGACAGGGGCTTTTGACCAGCCTTATGTCAACCAACCTGCTCTTCTCTGGCTACCAGCGGATATTCATGAAACGGATTTCCGTCTTGGTATCCATTTTGAACTAGAGGTGACGAGTTAAATTTCTCTTGGCGTTCGAACTTGTTTCTAAGAGTGTGTTTTTTCTTGAGCGAGCGACCAAACCTCCTTCCATAATTCGAAACAAGTTGGACTTCTTCAACAGCGATGGCAAGAACAAGAACAACCATGGTTACGACCAGAAGGAAACTACGATTCTTCATTATAAAGTTCTAAAGGAAAAAATCATATTTCTAGTCTTAATAAGTTATACTGAAATAATTTAATGATTTTACCCTAAAAGGCTCTTTGAATGTGGAGCAATCATAACGAAGATGTTATTTTTACTAGAAGTACATGTAAAGCAGCATTCGCCCTCTCAACTTGACTTTTGTTCCTGAAATACTGAACACTAAAATACGTAGAATGGAGGGAAATTTATGCCGTACCCTTTGATAGTTCTCCACCTTGTCATTTATAGAGTAAAGCTATCACTGATCTTATAATACTCATCTTTTCGTATCTAAAACAAGGATGTCTAACTCACTTAATCTTGGACTTTCCTGACTCGCACTTTTTCCAGCTATAGTGGATGGTAGTCGTGCTGTTGTATTCAAGTTGTCACCCGCCCTTCTTTAATATACTAAGGCGATGAAACGGCAGCCATTTGTTGCTTATCGTCGGTCACATCGTCAATTCAGTTACTTCCATCCTGTGTTTTTTGTGTATTTGCTCTGTAAAGGCGTACATTATTCACCTTTTTTGCTAGAACAATGTGAATGTGTCAAACAAAGTTACCACCGCTTGTCTGTTTGTGTTCTCTATCTTGTCATTAATTTTAGGAAATAAGATATGGTGTAAAGGCACATCTATAGGGCGACTTAACTAATAAAAAATGAATCTGTTGTTTTCTCAATGACAGATTTGAAATTTTTAAACGTGCTTCGAACATTCACGACGAAAATACATGCGAATCATTAACTGAGCCATGTCAAATTCATACAATTCATTGTAAATATATGGCAGAATTTGCTTGCCACTGCCGAGGTGTGACTCTATATTTCTCTAATATCATGCTTGCTTGTCGTTTGATTTGTAAGAAAAAAAACTGGGAGGACAATACCAAGGAATAGATACTTTACTAACAACTAAGGCGTTTTGAAAATTTTGTCCAATTTCGTAGGTCCCTGTTATACTCAGTTAAAAAAAATGGTGTCATTTACTTTATTGGTACAGACAGTAATGTTTAGTTAGTTGACTCTCCTGAGGCAAGTTTCGTCTCTCAATCTGTTATTAAACAACTTGTTACTGGATCAGAAGATTCTATTGTGTAGGTTTGGGTTCATGAAATCTTTTCCGATTTTAAGGCAGTGATATGTATGCAGTTTTGGCAACAAATCTGAATAAATAATAAAAAAAGGAAATATGTTATCGATACTAAGCCCCAAAAAAAGAAAGTCAGAAAATCTTATATCAGTACTATTCCACGAACGCGTTTCTAATAAAGGTCTGGCGTTATTTGCCAAGTAATTTCCGGCATACAGAATATCAGTAAATTTGTCTTCTTCCTTCAAAGTGACGTCTGCCCGGTATCAGAGTTTTCCCTATATAAACAGAAGCAACAACAAAATAATGATGATCTCTTCGGCTTTAAAATATGAATACGATACCAATTTGGTTAATACGTCCGCATTTCATAAAATTTGTCCTAATCTAAATTGGTTAAACTAAGGATGTGATCCAAGAAAAATCTAAAAATCCCACGTTTTTAGATGCACAACTGATGAAGCTTGAGTAACTTGCCCCTAAGTGACATGTGTTACAGTTGTTAACCTGTTGGACAAATACAGAAAGTTATAACTCGAATAAAACCAATTTTTTAAAATTTATCTCTCTCTTTTTTAAAATTTGCTTCTATTGTATCTTGAACGTATCTTTTAAAACACGACCCGGCATCTTTTTCGAGTATTCAGATTGTTCATATTTAAAAAAACCGAAATCTTGAATTCAAACCTTGCAACTTAAACTGTTACCAACATAAGGTATCAAATTGTTATGACTCATTAGCGACACTAACATCTAAAAGCAGGAAAAGCAAACTGGATCGAAATTTTGATTCACAGGAAGATAAGTTTGCAAATCATCCCACACATCGCGCGTATTTTCCACGAGGAACACAGCGTAAACTTAAATCAGGTGAATTGAGCTCGATGGTTTGTGCAATGTGTCGAAAAAAAGCCGGACACGTGGACTTTCTTCTATATCGGTCGGGCTGTGTCGTTTCGTAAATTTGGAGAACCTTTTTTGAGAGTTGTAAAGTTACTTCAAATCAACGCATATAGTGAGCCGTATCTTACAGAAAATCTAAAAGGAAGCCCATTTCGTGCCAAAGCTAACAAGAGATATTAATACTTTTTCAAATAACCACCGTGATATCCGGCTACATATCACGCCAATGCAAAATAACATCTCTACTATTCTCAGTTAGTGAAATCGTTTCATTTAGCGCTGAGCAAGTGCTATTTTTACATATGGTAAAAAAACAAAGCAAAAGATAACAAACAAAAGAAATAAAAAAAAACCAATACTTTAATCAAAATTTTTTATTTCAGATGTCAACTCAGTTGAATTAGCTTTCCTTCTGAGTCTTCACCTTTCAGTGTTAGGGTGAGACAGAACAAACCCAACATCCATACACGAGTTTGATGAGTAAATCTGCAATTCACTGAACTTACAATACTAAATCTTTAAATTCCACGTTCGTAGTTTTAAATGATTAATTGCTCAATACTCGAGTATCTACAATTCCATGGAAATAACTAAGGAATCGTAAAAACAGCGATCAGCTACAGAAAGCCTCGATGAATCTGGCAGCCATTCACTTCAAAAGCGTACGAGAAAAAACAAATTTCAATATCGAAGGATCCCCTTTTCAATTTAGACGTTTATTCAAATTACGGTTCGGTAGTTTCTTCGTAGAGAAAAATAATATGAATTAAAGTTGATGTGCGACCATAAGGTAAACAAGATAAATATCTGATCTTCGTAGGTCAGTTTCTCGTGATTATACCTTGAACAAAACGTGTAGCTTTATTTCATGAACTGGAATGCGCATAAAAAAAAGAAAGATACAAATCGAAGGTTTTTTCAAAGAGAATTTTTGACTCCCCCGGTACTGGTTGTGCGCCAATGCTTTATAAGCTTAGTAATGACATGTTTGGATAGAGGAACATCATTGAATTTTCATTTCCATGTTTCCTTGATTAAAACTTTGTTTCAATTTTCTTGTCAAAGCTTTCGAAATCAGGTTCAATTGCCTGAGCCCGGGAGAAACAAATTGCAAAATTATCCCCCTTTTCATCAAAGTCCGGAAATATTACTGGCCAGCTGTTGTAAGAGAATGAAATTTACAGAATCTCGTTATCAAGGAGCTTTCTCATGAATAATTTGAAGATTTACTCTCGCAAGCATTGGATCGCTGTATGGAGACCCATAAGACAAGTTGCAATTATACAATAAGAGATGTTTCCCTCATTCTTTCATTTTATCTTTACTTTATTTAAAAAAAAGCATTATTAGTTTATCAAAAATTTTACAGATTACTTTCGATCCGTCATAATAGCGGACGGACAATTAAGTAAAAATTTACCGATCCACACTAAAAAATAGTATACTTCCTCTCTTGAACTTCAGTTGAGGCGGACTGCACGGACATGAAAAAGAAAACTCAACCGATCCAAAATTAAACCAAAAGCCAACCAAATACGTGTTCAGCGAAATGACTATATTACATTTTTGATAATTACTTTTGGAGGAAAGAGATTCAACCATCACAGAAACTCTTGCTCTTTGTTATTCAAATGTATCAACGCCCACAGCAAATCCTTTTGGCGCGCGAGTCATTTGGAGTGGAAAAAATTGGGCTTAGATATTTGTTGTTTACTTCATTCGGATTATGAGGACAAACAAAAAGGCTACTATAAACAGTTAAACAATACGATAGTTATTAACTCATCCGATCGTTTCCTAGGTTGGGGTTCGTAATGATGTGAATTTGAAAAGTGGCCGTTTTCTCGAAATAACAAGGAAAAATTTTATGTGCTCGTTTCAAAAGTTTATATCCGGTAGTGAAACAAAGCTGTATGCTTTGAAAAAATATATTATCTACATATGAAAACAAATTGCCCGAACGGTTTCTACATAATGCGGATTTGTCTGGAACAAATTTACTGCAATTGACTTTTCAGAGTGTAAACCGAAAAGACCTTGAAACAGAAACCTCTGAACCGTTAGGTAAGATTTCGCATTTTTTTTTTCAGTTCTTGTAATTCCCCTATCCTTTTTTTGAACCGCTCGTGATAGTTAGCGCAGGAAGCGAAAATCTGAAAAACTTGTCAGCTCACGAAATCAAAAAATATAAATAAGAAGCTAGTTATGATTTCGTGAGAGCCAGTCGGATTTCTTTTATCAGCAGATCTTTTTCTTCTGATTTTTAATTTGCTAGATTCTTTAATTTGGAAGTTAAGTTAGATTTTGATTGAAAGGTAACATATAGATAACAGATTTAATATAGCAAACGGTAGTCAATCAAGATTTGTGTTTATGTCTTCGTTGTCTTTTTAAAAAAACGCAAATTACTGTTTCGGTCTCATTCTTTTACCGGCGTTCACCTATAAAATGTTGGAACTGTTGTTGAGCCAGGGCATAACTCAGGTTGATAAGTGACAACGTCCTGTTAACTCCTCGGACGTTTTTCCTTCTTCTACACCTATTCTAGTACATTTTTATCCATTCGACGACCACGCTAATAATTTACCATCTTTCCTAATCTATTTCCAAGCACGCATGACGCCTTCGAAACTTCTTATTCTAAAATTGTCAACCTTAAACCATAAGAGATGAGCTCTTTGTAGCTCAGTGATTCACGATCGGACCGCGAGATCGAAATGCTCGAATTCGATTACCTCTGGTAAGATCAGATCTTTTTTTGTTGTCTCGCGCTCGTGATAAAGGTGCTCTTTCTACTTGACGAACTATCTTAAATATAACATTTGAGTTGATTCTAAGTATCAGTCACAGCTGAACGAAGTAAAAAGCCACGAAAATGTTTTGATCATGTTCTTATAGAGATAACTCATGTATGTGGTTTTTGAGGCAAGCAGCTCTCGTAGCAATTTCCAAAGTGCGTTCCGGCGGTACACTATCTTCTATGATTGTGGAATGATGGGCAATTGAACTGTCATTATCTCGTTTCTTTGTAAAGCTTAAAACTCGGCCAATCACCGAATTTTCACAAGATAAATAATTGTTTCTCACCTTTGTTCTCTTTTAGATACTGATCATGAAGCACTCTGTCTTCTGCGTTGTCATGCTAGCCGTTCTTCTTTCGACAAACATCTTCCACATGGTGGAATGTTCTTATCTAAGGTTCGGTCGATCAGTGACGAAGAGAAAACTTCAAGATCGAAACAGGATCCAGGCTGAAACCGAGAATGCAAAAACGCTGAACAACCAACGGAAAATCAGAACCGAAGTTCTGGACAACGACGACTACTGGGAAAAATACAACAACTGGTAAGTTACGAAACGTTAGCGGTGGTGAGTATTTTTAAAGATGTTTCAGTGAAAGCTGGCAGGTCGGCTAGACTTTTATAACTCGAGCTCACCACTTTTCCCATGGTTATTGCAAAGGCACCATTATGTAGAAGGTCTGAATGAGCAGCCAAAACTCGTCTTCTTAGACACTGTTAAAATGGATCAGGGTGATATCATTTTGCCACCAACGATGCGTTTTTAACAATAAAAGCTAAGTTTTTCGTTTGTCTCACGATGTAGTCACCTGTGATGTAGACCGCTGACGAAAATTTTTTTTCTATTTCTTTCTTTTAGAAGATGAGGAGTGCAAATTTCCCTCCAGAACAAGAGCTAACTTTTTTCTTTTCGTTAAAGTAGTGGTGTCCAAAATATACGAATAAAGATAACTCCTCAATCTCACATTTTTATGTTACTTTTTACTATCGTTTCGCATCGTCCCTACTAGCTTTCTTGATGGCTTCGCACCAAAATTGTATCGCGGAATAACTGTCGAACATTTAACGGCTCTGGTATATAAGAAGTGAATATCTCCCCGTCTTTATCAACCCTTTTAAATATAAGGCCTATGGGGTAAACATGGAGATATAGCTTGACCAGTTAAACGTTACAGAAACAAACTGATTTGTTTGCTGATAGCAAATTGACTGATCATTGACTGAGTGGCAGACACACTCACTCAAACACTCTCTCACTCACCCACTGACTATATTACTTACTTAACCATTTACGCACCAAATGACTGACTCCTCATTGACTGGCCGCTTGATCGACGGATTCACTGACGGACTGACTGACTGAGCGAAAAAGTGATTTTGACGGATCAAATGACTGACGGATTTGATGATTATCCTACCTCATTGACTGACTGATTGACTATGACTGACAGATTGACTTACTCGCTTATAAGGTGTGCGATTGACTATCTGATCATGATCTACTGACTAATTGACCGACTGACTGAGTGTCTGACTGAGTGACTGAGTGACTGACTGAGTGACTGACTGACTGACTGAGTAACTAACTAACTGACGTAATACTGACTGACTGATTAGCTGACGACTTCTACAATTACTTACTAACTGACTGATCAGCGGATCAGCTGACGACCTCTATAGTTACTTACTGACTGGCTGATCGGCCTTTTTTAGACTAATCGGGTAAAATGCAACGGTGTAAAGACGAGGACATGAGATGAGGGGAAATAAACAGTTGAACTAAATGAATGGATGGAAAAGTCGATAAATGACTGACTTACGGATTGACCGACAGGACTCTCCCTTAATGACTGACTGTTTACTGACTGGCTCACTGAGTGACTGATTATGACTGACTGATTGACTGACTGATTATGACGGACTGATTGTCTGACTGATTTTGACCGACTGATATACTGACTGGTTTCGACTGACTTACTTTGACTGACTGATTATGACTGACTGATTTTGACTGATAGACTGACTGTCATTACCGGCTGACTGACTGGCTGACTGGCTGACTTGGTGAATGGCAGACTTGGTGACTGGCTGACTTGGTGACTGGCTGACTTGGTGACTGGCTGGCTGACTGACTGACTGACTGACTGACCAACTGACTGACCGACTGACAGACTGACTGACTTACTGATTGACTGACTGGCTAACTGACTGACTGACTAACCAACTGACCGACTGACCGACAGACCGACTGACTGACTGACTGACTGACTGATTGACTGACTTAATTATTGACTAACTGACCGACTGACTGACTGACTGACTAACTGACTGACTGACTGACAGACTGACGGACTGACTGTCTGACTGTCTGACTGTCTGAATGACTGACTGACTGACTGGTCACGACTGACTAACTGACTGGTCATGACTGACTCACTGAATGACTGATTCCCTGGCTGACTTGCCTATTGAGAATAAATTGGTGTAGTTTAAGTGACTCGTGTACTGGCTGAATCGCATTTATTTGGAGAATCAACTCAATACAAATAATATATGTTCTTAATTGCGGTGGACAAATTCATCCCCTCTTTCCTCTTCGAATCAATTGTCAAGCATAAACTATTGATCAGGTTTTATTCACCGCCGATTCAATTGCGTTTCAAACTCCTGTTCCTCCTGTGTGCCATACCTAGGGAAAAAAATGGAGAATCAGAAAATCCACAATGTCTAATGTGGCTATCAAATTCCCGTCTACTGTATTCATCCGTAACAGTAACACAACACATTACAACGGTACAACGTTATTGCTTTCTCAGAAGGGTAAGGCGAACGAAGTGTATTAGTTGAATTACAGTGAGGAAAAAAATTCGAAAGAATGTATGCAGATGAGTGGAAACCAACATTTAAGATAGTATTTCACTCACATGTATGTCAAACTGACGGTTTAAGTGACACTACCGGTTACCTAGGAATATTTCTTCAAGTTCAAAGGTACAATTTCATTTCCATTTTCACTCAGCGATCGAGATTTCGAAATACATCTAAGCTGATTGCAAGGCTTTTGAATTCAGGGATTTCAACGAATAATAAGACAACAAACAAACAAACCCAAAAAAATCATCAAAGAAGTTAAGTTGATACCCAAAATTATAAACTCTGACTAAAGTTGTTTTCGTTACCGGTATGCAGCAGCGTTTCTTATGTCTTGCTCGCGGCTCCTCACTTTCATACTCCCGTCAGCTTTTGTCCGTGTTATGGCCCTAACTTCGTCGAGCGGTCGCTTCTTCAAGTTACGACCAAATCGAATGTACCCCATATTGCAGTCGACATTGCAGAAAAGGATCGCGAAGAACACCAGTGATATAAACAAAATCGCAGACCTTGAAAGCTTCATTCTTTTCTGTCTGCAAGGAATTCGGTCGGGTTTTAGGCTTATGACAATACGGTTTTACTGTACTCTTCTTTGCCTAACGTTCGCGTCCTCACAAAAATGGTAAAATTGAATTGGAGTACTGGCTGCCAAGAAAGACTAAAAGGACTAACAAAACCAGGAAGTTGAAAAGATCACGGCATGATGTGCACGGGTTGAGATTTTTTCTTGCTACCCTTTGCATATGACAATGTAGGTCACGTGGCTAAAATACTGAAATAGGGCTTGGCAATGAAAGGGATTCGGCCGAAATGCATCTTCAAGCAACCACAGCGTAAGAAAAATAAAATAACTTTGCGAAGCAAGGTAACCTACAAACACAGCTTTCATACTCAATCCCAACCGTTTCAAAGATAAATGGAATTCTGAGTGGAAGTGACGAGAAATGAGTTAATAGAGATAACTCTCTATGAAATACGATTTTATTAGTCTTTACTTCTTTTAGCTCATTTCATATCACTGATAGTGAGAGAAAGAAGGCAACTCGTTTAAGAGAGACACAATTAAGCTTTGAGAGGAGATCGCAGTCTTCTGCCAAGGCTTTTTTCTGCATTTATCTAAAAAACTTGTTACCTTCTATATAAAAACACATATCGACCAGCTAAAACGAAGAAGCATCGAATTTGCATTTGGAAAATTCACATAGCTCCAACGCCTACTTATCTAAACGACAAATCAGTTGACTAGCATATTTCTTACCTTAAAAGAATTTTCTGATCACGGTATAAATATCCTTCTCTGTTCGTCGCGCCTTCTTGGAGCGCTTCAAGTTAAATATATAGAGTCAAGTAGTTCGAATTTTTCTTTAAGAGATCAGGCTCATATATGCCTGACTGAGGTTGATTAATCGACCTCGCGTTGGGGAGGTAAATACGTTTTACTCTAAGTGAAATGTAAGTGTACCTTCCTCAACCCTGCTGTTTTTGATATGGCTAAGAGGAACTGCAATATAAACTCTTACGTCATCTCTCTTGGTTGAAAGGATAGATTGTTGGAAGATAGCATGGTTTAAAACGTTTCTTACTGTAAGAGCTCTGTCGTAGAAAACCTCCCAAGATAATTAACGTTGAAATAGGGATTTAAATACTCAATTTTTCAATCGCGAAGTCATGGTTGTACTAAATTATCTCCAAAAAAAGTTAACTTTGACAAGGAAAAAAAATAATCAGCAAACATATATTACATATTTTTATATTGCTCTCGCAGATTTGGAATTTTATACAGTTATCATCAATTAACTATAAAAAGAAACGTACAAGGAAGTAGAATATATTTGTAGAGATGATGAGAGGAATTAATTTATTGTCATGTAAAAATTAATTTTCTTACTAAAATCATTTTAAGGCAATGAAAATTTTGAACAGAAGCGTGTCGGGGTAAATGGGCATTAATTTATTTGTTTGCAAGGCAGTAAATCCCAGTAAGGAAGTAAAGTCAGGAAATCTTTGAATAAGTGTCAGTTTACAACCTTTCTCTGTTTTCTCGGCATTAAGACTTTATTCGACTTACGCTTGATACTTGCATTAAACTGAATGACAGCCTTCTCGTTGGGATCACTGACTTAGAGTTTTCTTTTCTCTCATTTAACGGTTTTCCGAGAGGTTACCATTTCAGTGTGAACTGGATTCCCACCCAACAGAGTAAATTAAAGTTTTCTTTTGTTCATTTGGAAATCGCTTTTCGAGTTGGACTTGAAAACGAGTGATAACAATATTGCCATATTTGATTGATTAACTGATAGTTGTACACCCGTTTCATCTTATGAATAAAATGGATGACAAAGACTTTTGAACATGATGTAACTGATTCAAAAACTTTGAAAGATCTTGTCTATAAAATTTGGACAGTTCTCAGCTCAGTGTTTTACTTTTAAACAGTTGTTTAATAGTACAGTTTAGTTCCAAACAAGTGGATAAAATAATGAAGTGACTGTGTATATGATTGTTTATAACGGACATGTTGATAAAAAAAAAATCAAAAATCATGTTTTATATTCATATATTAGGATATTCGACTCAGTTTTCTGTAATTTGCTATCGTGTCGAGATATATGAAAGGGAAAAAATTCAAATTTTCTGCAGGTGTTTAGCACCCTAAAATCAAAAGAGTTGGCTTTAACTTCGATTAAGAATAAAACAAAGGTCCTATTCCAAAATAATCACACAGAGATTCCATACATTAAAAGAAATGTTTGTGCATGGTAATGTTCTATGTCAAAGGTTTAAAAAGGTGTGTTTCTAGAAATTTCACCGTGTTTTCTAACGAAGGAGTAGGGAGTGAATCAACAAAAACGTTGGCCTCTGAAAAAAAAATTATAGCGAGTTTTCATGTTTGTTTCAAAATCGTTTCTTAAACAAATTATTTTAAAATCAAGTAAAATGTTTTATTCGTTCTTTCGATATTTTTACTCCTTTCATTCTCGTGTCCAAGCTTAATTTAAGTAAAATACATCGTTCTCTCTTTCGATTATTTTGGTGATTTCATTTGTATTTTTCAAAGACATCCCCTGAGAGCCAAGTGAAGTGGATTTTGTTATGGATCTCACTGCTGTTTCATTAAGCTCCCTGTTTGAATTGGATTTATGATCGACTGTTGAAGTTAACAATAAAACCGTGTATTTATTTTTGCACGATGGTATCATATTCTAACTTAGAGTATTTTACCTGCGAAAATGTTCAGTGGTTTCTCAATTTGATTCAACTAATGAATATCTTTACTTGCGAAATTATTCTGTAAGGAGAAAAAAAAGAAAACTTACTTACAAAGAAACACAATTTTAAATTTCCCATTGAATTAGCCCTCTCACCTTTCTCGGAAACACATTTATTACAGATTATATAAAATCACTCTATGAACAGCTATCTCCTTTTAAAAAAATATATCACACATCCTTCCGGCAGCTCAATCGATCAAAAAGTTACAGATGATATCTCTTCCAACAGTGAGGAACTACTCTGGCGAACCGTCTTTCTCACAACGAACACGTTCTATGTGAATTACGCAAATAAATCAGCGTTCTTTAAAAAATTCTTAATTCTATTCCACGGCACACATCTGGAACACTGATACATCTTCCTTTTATCAAAGCGCCCCGTGCGCCTTATGTAATTCTTCATGTCTTGTAATAAACGCTCTGCAGTCATTTAGCTGAAATTTCGCATATGACCTCCGACCGATTTTTCAAAAAACGTTTCCGACGTGTTTAAATAAAAGTTAGTTGATGGATGAACGCTGCCCCTCATTTTTTATCTCTTCCTTGGTAATTGAACAAATGTCTCATATTCCTTAACCATTTTCCAGCGTTAAAAGTTACTATCACAAACCCAGCAGCGGAAACATACTCAAAGATTATTTTTCCCTCTTTGCGGTTAAAAAATATTAAGGGAGCCACATAAACCTGAGAGCAAATAATAAGAGAGAAATGAACAAACTAAAAAAAGAAGCCGGCCGGAGGACAACAATTCCGGCGTCGACAAAATCTGGATCGGACCGGATCACGGATCGGATCACGGATCGAAAAAAAAAGCTTTTAAAAAATCCAAAAAAAAAAATCATTTAAAAAATGATAGTAAATGAAAGAGAAAATAAGAGTGAAAAAAAAAACAAAAAAAAAACTGAAATATGTTAATCGAAATTAGATGTTGCTTGACAAGCTAAAATAAAGTATCTCTGACATAATGGAGCGTAGATCCCATTGGAAGTTTTATTTTGCTCAAAAACCCCATGCAGTTACTTTCACTTTTATGTAGTGCCACCATGGACGAAGGCAAGCGAGAGATAAATATCATTTCATCAGTCGGTTATTTCTTATGTATTTATGAATTTTTTTTTTATTATCAGCTCACGTGCTACTTTTCTTTATCTATTCAATATCGTTAAGCATATACGAGAGAAGAGGCGAGGTGCGGAGTAAGATTGTTCTATATATGACCACTGAAGTACAAGGAAGCGATTTATGAAGTTCATATGATACAAATTAATACTTTTAGTTTTTTTAATGAATTCTTTAATTTTTCTACTTACCTGGATTGCATTTTTTAACACGCTAGCGATTTTAATTCCACGAGCATATTGAACTAATGATCAAAGAAACAACACAAGATTTTTGCCGATTAGTTCAGTTCTCATCACGTATCCGGACGCACCTGGGAAAAGTTTTAAACTTTTCTACGGAAAAAGACTACAGAAATGCAAAACTGCAACCGGAAAAGAAATCATTATAGTCTAACGATTAGAGTCGAACAGTTTTTTAAAAACTAAACTCGTTAGCAGCACTCTACAAACATTAGTTGTAAAGCTTCTTTCTTCTCTAATACATTTCGTCTAACCGTCTTAGACTTCTTCAGGGAGTTTTACAAGTTAACACCAGACGCTTGTACTTTTAAGCCATAATAAGCGGATATTATGGGTGTCAGTGACTTTAAAGGCCACCAAATTTTATTCTCACCTCTCCTACAATTTTTAAAAATTTTCACAACTTTTAACTACTGTTCGCAGAGTGCTGCTCACTATTCAAGTTTTAAAAATTAAAAATTTGTTTTAAAAAAAAATTCCTTCATGGATTACATAAATCGCTTACGTGCACTTCAGTAGTCATATCTAAAACTATCTTACTTCTCACCTCGTCTCTTCTCTCGCGTGTGCTAAATGATATTGAATTAAGGAAAAGTAGCACGTGAGATGATACTAAAAAAAGAAAAAATAACTGCCCGACGAAATGATACATGTCTCTCGCTTGCCTTCTTCTATGGCGGCACTACACGACACACACCTCGACAAAGCCGACTACATGGGGTTTTAGCGCAAAAAAAAAAACTTCTAGAGGGCCTGCGTTCAGTTATGTCACGCAGACTTTATTTTGACCTGTCACGCAACATTTCTCAATTTAATTAAGATACATTAGTTTTTTGTTACTCTTAAACGATTTGATCAATGAAGAAGTATCATTTATGCTCAATGCTATCGCAGGCTCGCTCGAACGATTGGGTGCTTTTAGATAAATTGGACTTCTGAAACTTAGATAAAAAACAGGGAATTAGACTAAGCCTGAGAGGGTAAAATTTAAAAGGACTAATTTAGTGAAATTTGAAATTGAGTATCTTACGTCTGTTCTTTCGCACAGGTATTGTCCTTCAACCTACAGACTATACCAGGCATAACTTTGAAATTTTTTTAAAAATAAATAATATATGTATATACATTCGCTTTTGTGAATTGACTTTGGATATATATATATATATATATATATTGTGGAAGGAAAAAGACAAATAAACTACCAGTTCATCCTTACAGACCTGTTTCGCGATTGCCCACTCATCAGGGGATTTGAGTGGGCAACCACGAAACAGGTCTGTTAGGATGAACTGGTAGTTTATTTGTCTTTTTCCTCCCACAATATATACATCGCTCTACTACTATGTATTGAGCACTGTCTTACGTAAGTCAAAATTACTCTTTATATATATATTTATATATCCAAAGTCAATTCACAAAAGCGAAAATGAGAATTCACCTGATCGGGACATTTTACATGACGACTTTTGCAAATTACAGTATTCATTTCTCCTGCGATGAAACTTTTCTTAGAAAAAAAAAGTGTTATGTCATATTTAATATGCAGCCAGGGAACGCTTTGTTCTTGGTAAAATTAACCAGTTATAAACTCCTGCGTCTATAGAAAGGTTTTGGTATCAAATTCTTCCAATAATATTTAGATAAAAAACATACAAGGTTGCCAGAAATGTGTTTTCGAAATACCCATGGAAATTGATCTGATCAAAATCATTAAACCTGGCAAGAGACCAAAACGTCAGCGATGAAGCTTTTGCCTGAAACTTCGAGGACGAAACTGAGCTTTCCCAAAATCACTATGCAATTCATTTTTATCAAAGTTTATCTTTTAAATATTCCAACTATCAAATGTTTGTGAAAATAATTAAGAGAGATGAAAAGTTTTGAGCTCGGTAAAGAAATAGAGAAAGGTGTTTTTATTTTTTTTCGTATTGTCATGAGCGTGGGACAAAGAAAAAATTTTGAGTCCCCATGAGGAATCGAACCTCAGACCTTTGGATTCCGCGCGCCAATGCTCTACCACTTTTTTTGTTTAATATATATATATATATATATATATATATATATATTTCCTAAGACAATTGAAAAAAGCTTAAATGAGAATTCATTAGTAGAATTGTTCAGTGGTAGAGCATCAATTTTTTCTTTGTCCCACGGTCGTGACAGCCGTGCTCAATACATACCATATCTCTTATTTCTATCGACAAACATTACGCTATCGACATTTCTGATCCTAGCAGTATGCAGGACGCGTGTGGTAGAGCATCGGAGCGCGGAATCCGAAGGTCTGAGGTTCGATCCCTCATAGGGACTCAGAATTTTTTCTTTGTCCCACGCTCGCGACAAGACGAAAAAAAAAACATCTTTCTCTATCAAATGTTTATTTAAAAATAAATGAATCATTGAATAGAGACACTGGTACAAGCTTTGTATGCTCTTATCATTGAAAGAAAAACATTCTCCATAAAAGGAGTGCATGCTAGTAAAGTTTTCAAACAATCTAGAAGTCATCGTAGTGAGATAAGATTTAATCAGGACAAGGGAGCCGAGAAAGCCAAGTGTTCTTGCCAAAAGGTAAGTCCTTATAAAAGCTTTTAGCCCGAATTTATTTGTATATCGTCCAACCTTACAACACTTCAAATCTAAGAGACCCTCGCGAATTTCGTGACTCCAAGGTTACGTGATTAGACACCTACATAACCTTGATTAGACATTAAAATCATTAGCCATCATCGTAGACAAGGAATCAATATAACATTTTAAAAACAGCTAAATAACGGCACTGACAGAAAAAGGAATCGGGGTAACTTTTAGGACACGGCATATCATGGTGCGGTAAGTTAACATTGACACAACGGAAGTATAAGAGCGATCTTCGTGAGTGTTTTCTTTGGGCTCTTTCAAGCGGAAATTTGTCGGCAACCCATGATTGTTGCAACTCTAGACGAATGTATTTAAAAAATGTTTTTTCAGAATTAATATATCTCGGCAGTGTAAGAAGATGCAATTTTATACTAATTTATTATAATTAGGTCTCTTCATCTGAAAGTACAATTTTTTAAGGCGATGCGGCCTGGCCATGTGGAACGGACGTGTCTTGTTATTCAGACGCCTGAGTTCCGGCTTCACTCACTTCATGCCTCACGCTGATTTATCTTTCAACACTTCAGTCTGCGAAGTGATTATTCGAACAGTCTTTTTTTCAGTTTCCTTTTTGAAATAAAATTACTTTTGTATTACCTCCACACATGATAGAGGCAGGCGAATACGCAACAGAGTTATGTAGACTTTACCTCTAAGCCATGTAGTTAGATAATTGCTGTTAAAATAAATCTATTTCTTTTTTACACAGGACATTTTGGACCGCAAAAATGAGCCATTTACCGACATGCATATTAGCTGTCACGGTGGTCCTTTTAATGGGTAGGCTTTTTTAGTTTTTTTTAATTTTTTTTACATTAAATCTTCAGTTTTCATGTGCCGTGTTTATCAAAGATTTTCATTAAATAAATACAGCAAAAATTTCAACCTGACCGTTTGTTTTTGTTATTTTTATGATCGTTCCTTGACAGGAGTGGATTTTATAAACGGTATGTATAATCAGAACCTCTTTTTAAATTGCAAATTCCTTTGGAGAAAATATGAAATTTGTTGGTCGCAGAAGAAGCGCAAAGCCTTTTAGAACATGGTTAAAAAATTTGTGTTTTTACAAATCTGACTCCTTTGAATATTTGCTAGCTTGTTTGTTTGTTTGTTTCGGTATATTTTATGCTGGTCGAGGTTACTTGCTAAAATTTTTAGGTTTAAGTAAAACCTTGGTACATGCAGTTTTGAAATGAATTTTGAAGACTCTTACAAAAGACAGTGATGGAACAGATCAGGTCGGCAATAATTCGCTTTTAAGTTATTGAGGTGAATGTATAAACGGCAAATATGTTATTATAACGTATTAGCTGATAAGGTCAGATAGATATGGTCATTGGATGAGATGTTTTATCTTTCTCTCATGCTAAAGTGAATTCACTTTATTTACACGTTAACTATCTTAGGAGTACGACCAGATTTTTAACATTTTTTCTGCTCTTTTACCTCAACATTTAGGGCAATATTCTGCAGTCAGTAAGTAAACCAAGACATTGTGATATTCAGAACATGTAGAATGTGGTATAGGTTACAAACAGAACTTAATCATCCTTGCAGAAAAAAAAAACTAGTAACTTCTCTGCGGTTATTTTCATAACTAACATGTACGACGTTTAATCGAAAATTAATCGATCACGAAAACAGAAATCGATAAATTATCTTTTTTCGATGCAGTGGTTAGTTAAGCAAACTTCACTTGTTTTTAATGATCAAGTTCGAGTTTTGAATTTTTCTTTGGTTAAATAATTAAGGGTGCTTCAGGACCACTTAGTTTATTTCAAAATTAAAATTCTTTGATGGGCCGATACACTGACACTCTCTCGCTAGTTAGCTTGAATAAGTACTTCATATTCCAAATTGTTTCTAAGAGTCGAGGTCTGTTTTTTCAAAAAAAGAGGGTATTATCATGAATAAGTGTAACACTATAGCTTCATGTTTATAACTCTAGATCTACGTGCATGTAACTCAAAATAGAGTCGTGATCCACGTCGTGCACTACAATTAGCGTGACATTTTTGCGACGTTTAACAAAAATTGAATCGTTTTTTTCTTCTATCTAATTTCAGCCATCCCAGGTCATAAAATCAAAATAGTAGGTTGTTATGTAGAGAACCCAGCCAAAAGGAATATCCCTGTTACACTGTTCAGTGACTCAAGTGCAAATTCAAAAACAAAGATTGATTACAAGAATTTCAAGGCGTACATTCTTAAAGCTATTCAGAGATGTGCAGCAGCGGCTAAACTAAAGAAATACGGATTTTTCGCCATGAACAACGTAGGTAGGTATAAGAAGTTACTTTTCCAATATGGTATGATCATTAATTGACTCAGTGTGATCAGATCACTGTAAATCACTTCGGCGGATCTGTACCATACCGGTCGTCAATAGTCTGTTATTACCCTCTACACTGAATGTGTTAACTTAGTAACCATGGCCACGACTCTACATTATAGATGATTAATTTTAAAGAAGGTGATTGCAGGTTGCTAACATGACATATACGTATCATCATAAGTGTACAGAATGAAAACAGCTAATGAAGTAGATGAATAAATAATTAGACGAATAAGGTTAAGAGGGATATTTGCTGTAATGCAACGAGAAAAGCAAAAATCACTGATTTTAATAAATGTTGATCTATTCATTAATTTACTCTCACTTTTCTTTCCCATTGCTCTTTTGCAGGAGATTGTGTTTCCGGCAAAGTCTCCGCCACTTATGCCAGGAGCGGGTCTTCAGCGAATTGCAAAAATGCAGCGGGCGCAAAGTGCAACAACAAGGAAGACTGTGTGGGTGGTGATAATAAGGCTAATTATGTTTACAAGGTGGAAAGTAAGTTTGCAAGAAATTATAGCTCTAGGTATTTCTATTTACCTTCTCTTTTAATTTTGTTCGGTCGATGGGCTTCTTAAGTTGAATCTTGTTCATCTATAGGGCCAAGTGTAATAGTTAGGGATAAAAGAAATGCAATGGCCAATTATAATCACGATTAAAAAAATATAGCATCTTGAAGATAGTGGGATGGATAAGTTAAGGAACATTTAACTAAAGTCCAGTATGCTTTGGTTTATATGGCAATAGGTGCGTATGACGCTAGAATTAGTGTAATGTATGAGCATAGAATGAATTAATTCAACATACCAAAATGTAACCAAATGAAGCCATAATCAGTATTCAAACTTACTTTCAGTGCTCCCAACCACGCCGACTACAAAACCGACAACAAAGAAGACGACGAAAGCAGGAACAGGTGCAACTGCACAACCTAAGGCTGGATCCGCCGCCCAACTAAGCGCTTTGATTTGTAAGTAGAATCAAGGTCTTGAGGCGAAGCATTTGATTAGATCATGGGGAATATCAGGTGCCACTGAGATCCTCAATAGTCCCTCATTCTACTGCTCCCCTCGATCACGCGAACCTTTTTTCCTTCAACTGCATTCCTCAATTTTCAGTATTGTTAATTTAGCTAGCTAGAGCTATGGACTGTAAGAGAAATATATGGAATTCAAATGGAGATAATGTAAAAGTTATTACAGACGATATGTATGACGTTACCTTCTCAATGTTCAGGTCAGAATTACGTGGTTGCCATCAAAGCTTCTGCTGCAGGTAGCCCAAGCAAACCAGCTATCCCCACCCCCTCTAAGAAACCCACTGTGGCGGGAAAATCTACAGGTCCAACGGTGGCAACACCTACTACATCTGCAAAGGCATCAGGTCAATCAGCCATTGAGGCCAAAGTAAGTACTTAAAATTAATTATGTTTAGACATCGGCAAAGAAGGGTTAATCGACTTAAAAATCGCGAGATTATAGCAAACTTACCGATGCTGATTGAACGAACGCGGTTTCGGAACATTTTTGGCGTGGATTTAAAGAGCTAAATAATAATATTTTGAAACCCATTTTTGCAGGGACGAAATTTAAACAGAGCTTACATGGACAAAACTTAGAAAAAATAGTTTTTTCAGGAAAGAACAGAGTGAAAACGCCGAAGATGAGAGTGCTGGAATAGTTATCAAGGAACGAAACAAGAATCGTTACTGACATGGGACGAAAATTACATACCACGTTGAAATTTAAACATAGGTGATTGGCATAACTCTACTCGCCGTATTTCTCTTTTCAGGTAAAAAACCTTTACCGTGGATATACTTGCCTCGTTTGCTTAAGGACGCTAAATACAAGGTATTCCAGCCTTACTTGATACATACAAGTCAATGAAAACTACGTTTTCCTGAAGGTTTTTGTTCTTTATATTAATCTTTTTCTTTGTATTCACAACCAATTGTCACACTAGTTTTGTTCGTTCACTTTTCAGTTCATCAACAGTGTATCTTATGCTGCAATTCAGTTGCCAAGGACAACATTTGCAGAAACTTGTGGCAGGAATTGGTGCCAGTAACATCGTCAAAGCAGGTTAGAGTAAAATTTTACTACAATAACATTGAATCATTTGAATGTTCTTTTTCGAATACAAATAACCTACTATTTTTGTTCAACTATTTGTTTGTCAGAATGCTACCCACCGCCCTGCACCACAGCAATGTCCCCTTGCCCTCTTCCCTGTGGAATGAACTCATGCCCCATGTCACCAGCCTCATCGTATCCATCAATTTGTCCAGCGACTTTACCAGCACCTGCTCCACTTCCAGCACCCCCACTAGCCCCTCCACAGTGCCCGGCACCTTGCCCGACAAGGTGCGCTCCAGCATGCAATTCCCTCTGCTGCCGGTCCATGGTTCGACAAAAAAGCATAACAGGAGAAGCTGCCAAGAAATCGTCGACGAAGGAAGCTGACGATTTTGATGACGAAGATGACGACGCAGAGGACGATGAACAAGATGAAGATGATGATGTCGAAGAAAATGATGACTCTGACATTGATGAGACTAACTAAGACATGATCCATTTCTTAAATGCTGCGTTCTATTGTTTTATATCATTATTGATAATACAACTATCCTCGTGCAGATACGCAATGAAGGATTTATGTGTCTTTAAGAACCGTGGAGTAAATTCCTTGAAAGAACGAAATGAAATCAAAGTAACTAAAGAAAAGTGCCCTCCAGCCAAGGAATGGAGGTTTATTTGTAAAGATTGGAAGAGACGTCTTATCCCATTCTGAAAATCTGATTTATTTCCCAATGCTCTTATTTTGAATGCCAGGCGTCAAATCACCTTCAATACCAGCTTAAAGTTAAGTGTAACTATAAACTAACCTTTCTTGAATAATACGATGCATCGAGTTATCTAGTTGGTATGTCTAGGGATATTGATTCAAAAGGCGGTGTTTTCCAAATCACAAGGAGATAATGAATAAATAAGTGTAAGATATTAACTAACTTTGATGGAAATTAGGTATAGGGAAGGAAAGATAACATTTTAATAAATTTTCTTGCAAAAGAATATGTTGCTGTTTTTAAATTCTTCAGAGAAAAAAATAAGAGGCAATGTTGTTTCTTATTTATGATTGCTTGAAAGCAAACACTTGCATTGAAATCGTACTCGAAATGCCGATTATATTATCTTCCATATTCGTGGCATCTTCCAAAACACATGTAACAACTTGTGCCATGCGGCAGAACATATATTTATCGTCCACGATACCAAAACGCCCCAGAGAGTAACAAGAGTACCTCAATAACCAATTGAAAAAGAGTAAATAGCCTTTCGTCGGAAAAATGGCGTCGGCTCCAAGTTCCTCTGGGACTAAAACTATCAGAGCGACCTGTGATAACCTTAATTTCAAATACTTCGATAGAGTTGCTCTTTCCTTGGTTTATGTTCACTGAAAAGATAAAGTGTATATTTCCATTAGGACGTGAGCCGGATGTGATGCACCAAATTGAGGTGAGATATGTGGGACGAATTTGCGCAATCGTTTCAACATTGTGCGAAACTCCAAAGAGTACTCAATCTCCACAGTAGCGGCTCAAAGCAAGAATTATGAGCTTGTTTGTGAACAAATTAATTCGCCGATCCATGCACAGATGTGGAGGTGATCGAACTGTCGGGTGACTCGTAAATGACGTTGCAAATAGATGCGATTTTTTTAAGTAGCGCGCAGGTCGCTTAGGCCTCGCATGCATACATCAATTGAGCAAGAATTTATATGTCATAACGGACAGATTCAAATAAAAATTTTTTCTACAGTGTGTGCAATTCTTAAATACGCACGCACATCAAAACCACGACTCTTTATGAGCATTCAATGCTGTTGTGGAAGATGCCCATATGAAGGCGGCACTGTGCCTTTCTTCTTTCGCTATGTAATTGCACAACCATCCTGATTGGTGGGCGGCCCCGCAACTACTTCATGCTCATCTATATCACATGGCCCGTATGGCATGCATGTTCACGAAATTATCAATCATAGTATTACTATTCATGGAACAGAACCTGAGGTTATCTATCAGTCGTTATCAAACCAAATAAAAGCTAGTGGGCAGAATTATTTCTTGCATGCGTTTTTACTTAAAAAAATGATTATACCCAACACGCCGAATCGCGCCTAATCGATAATTGAGACTACAACAGAATAGTATATGCAAGAAGAGCTACAAATATTAGATCAGGTATTCCTACAACTTCTCTCAATGTTGATATCTCAAGTATCTTCACCGTGGAAAATTATCAAATGTCGATGTAATTCCAATTTCTCACCTCATGGCATGGTTGCCACCAGGCTTCAAGTTTTCATGTGTTCTGTGCATGTCTCAGCGATACTTTGACACTGAAAAATATCTGCTCATTTTTAATATTTTCAGGGGAAAATCAAATGAATGAACGAGGCGCAGAGAAAAATTATAGCGCTGAAAAATTATAAATACTTTTAAGAAGAGAGGCTCTTAGTTCTTGTAGAATACATTACGGCATGTGCAATACCTGTTTTTTCGTAATCAGTATCGTCAATGTTTTTCTGAAATTGTTAATGACCAAGACTCCTATGCAATGTTACTCATTCAGAAATTGAACGTTATCGAAATCATGAAAATCATTTCAACTTATGGAAATCTAAGAAGCAACGTGGACGGCATCCCCATTTGTGAAGTAATTTCTTGTACTTAACACCTGGTACCCTCAAAGTGATGTCAAAGATCACATTTTGCAAAGACCATAACACGTTGGATGAAAAAGGAAAAGTTAATTTCGTTTAGCCTGAACGGGGAAAAGGGCGAGAGGACACATTTATCATGGTAAGTACATACGTGATAAGTAATTCAAAAAGAAAAATATCACTGTTTTATAGCCTGATATCTCTTATTGCTATACTTTATATCGAGATATTTGGCCTTTTTAATCCTTTTTAGAATGGTTGACACAACTAAAACTTGAACGCTAATCTCTTATTCGTAAGACGAACTCGATGAAGAGTAAAGCAAGTAATCTGTAAATACTTATTTTTAATCGAAAGTGTCCCTAAGATTCAAGATTAATTCCTGACAATTTTCTCCATTGCATAAATTCATACCCGCTTCTTTTATGTCAGTAATGGAATTTGTGAATTCGTTCTTCTGTAAATTTTCTTAAACCCCTTTGCTTAAGATCAGCCATCCAGTTGATGGTATCAACTGCTAATGATAACTGGAGAGGGCAAGTATTAGTTGTTAAAACTACTCCGCCCACCTCTAGTTTCGCTAATTTGACTGAAGAGGGCAATGTGACTATGTCAGGTCAGATCTGACGATCATTATGGAAGCCCTCTTGGATCCTCTTTTCATAGCTGTCTTCTTAGTTAGATAAATATTTAATTTCTTCGTTCATTCCTTGAGTCGTTCAGATGATTTAGAAAATTGACGAATTGATCATTATTGCTTACATCAATAACGTAAGTGACAATGTTTTAGGAAAGAAACAATAAAGAGCAGTTGGGATATTCATGAATATTTATTTATATATATAAACTTCATCTTCTCTTGACTCCAATATTCGTAAGACATATCCGTCAAATAAGTGTTCGCCATAAGTCATTTGCGTTTCTCTTAAAATTTGTTTGCATATTTTTCTCTCCAAGACTATTCCAGGATTAAACCTCTATATCTGCTTCATCTGGATAGTTGTATTGATACACAAACAAGTGTCTGCAGGTAAGTATGTCTAACGATCTGCGTTCAGATATCGCAGTTATATTCCATTAAATCATTTGAACTGAATAATACGTCCTCCAATATTATAAGCATCTTTCCTAGGAGGAAAAGGATAGAAAGAGCGAGCACGATTATTTGATCGCGATTGTTTAAACTTGCAACACCTGCTGGAGAAGTTTGGAGAAGTTTTTAATCTCAAATTTTTATTAGACGAGAGGAGGATTGAAAACATTCCTAACATAACTGTGAGACCTGTAAGCGTTTCCCCGTGACCTGTTCAAGTTGTATCATAATTTTGCTACCAGCAATTATTGAATATTTCAGTTAATTCCGGGCTAATGAGCCACTCTTCATTCCAGTTTTCCATTTTGGGTCGTTGAGAAAGGCAAATTTAAAAATAATGGCAATTCAGCTCTGTATTAAAGAGAAAAACCATTTTAAACGAAAAGCATGAGCAGGTAAGGCCGGTCTGCGCATCATTTAGGTCATTGCATTTCCATCAATGGACCAAACTAGAGTATTCAACCAGAGTTTACCGAGTATAAGTGGTTAATATTTTATTATTATAAAAATAAAATGTTTTTATTAGTAATAGGAAAGAAATCTTACTAGTTCGGAAACTGACGTAATAAACGACAAAGATTAGTTTACACACGCTCCAGGATTTGTTACGTCACCCCAACCTCTTCAGAACATTAGATCGAACATTGTACGTTCTAACTCAATGCACAACTATAAGTTAGACTATGAAGTGCCGTTAATTGCATCTTTTTCAGGCATTTAACTATATCTTTCAGTGGACTGTCAGGAAGAATTTGAACGACTTGGGTGCCACGGTGCTTTCTTAGGGGCCTTGCGCCTTATACCGGAGGTTTTGTTCAACGACTCCAACTTGCAAAGCATAGATGAGTTAGTTTGCAAATGTGCAGAACAAACAAGGTTTAAGGGATATCGCGTTTTTGCGGTCCAAAAAGGAGGTGAATCAGAAATGATAATTGATTAATAAATAAGTGTGACTCCACTAAAACCCAAATTTTCATTCATTTGTTTCTCCACTTTTTCATTACCGTCTATTTTGTTTTTTCCATGTTGTCGTTTTGTTGTTCTTGCTTTTTCGTTTGCCTGACCTTTTTTTTTCTGTTCTATTCCTTGTTTCTTTGTTTTTTAATTTATCTTATTTTTTGCTTGTGTTGTTTATTTATCTCTCATTTACAAACTTCTTAATTCAATCAGTTAAAGTCAGATCACAACAGCTTAAGTCTTCAGAATCAGGAAAATTTCCAACAATCTTCTTCTATGATCAAGATATTTTTTTCCTATGATAAGCGTCTCTAACCAAAAATATCCTGGTAACGGCAGTAAATTTTTTGGTTGAAGTCTAACCTTCTTAGCATGAATACAAATTTCAAAGCACTACTGGAAAGCATCATGCTGCCTGAGCCTGTCCAGGAAGAAAGACTACCCTGGCTAATCTAAGCCGCCCGGGTTCACTTTTGGAAAAAAGCTCTGTCAACTAATCTAAGCCGCCCGGGTTCACTTTTGGAAAAAAGCTCTGTCAACTTATGCAAAAATGTTTTTTTTGCATTTCTTCATATCTTAAGATGAGGCTATCTTGGGTATACATAGATATTCAAAATGAACAAGACAAACTAAGTTGTAGCTGTACATTATTTGTTGTTGTTTTCGTTGGTATTTCATCTCAGGCGTAAAAGCTGCGGAATGGAACAGACCTTTTGTTTGGCTTTGTTTTTATTTTGTTAAATTTCGCTTCGTATGTTAGACTTCAGTCATACAAGCTAAGATCCTGCTGTGAAAATAAGGCTGTAAGGAACCTCCCGCCCCCTCTTACCTCCTCAGGTTTTCCTTTCTATGAATTGGCATCAAAACTAGGTTATGCATTTCAAATACGCTTCTCTTGTGCCGTGATGTCACCTGACGATCTTTGGTGAACTTCTTCAAAACCCTAGGATACTGCTGGTCAGGGAAAGAAGCTGAAACCTCATTTCCTCTGGCTGGACAAGCATTCGATTGCAAAACCTTTGATTCTAAATCATGTGGCAAAGATGACAAATATTGCGTCGGAGAAGAAAAATCAGTCTTCGTTTATAGATTACTGGGTAAGAAAAAGCGCTTTTACCTGTAAGTAGTTACCTTTCAACGAATGCAGGACATTTTTTTTTGCGTGTATTTTATAACAAAAAAAATAAGGTTTGAAAACTTTAAAACTAATTTTTTATCTATGTCCTTTGCAGATAATCAAAACCATACTCTCACTCCACCGAAACGTATGTATTGTAGGAGGTATTCACCAGTGTTAAGGGACCAAATCTTATTTATCGCCTAGAGGGAGGGGAGGATGGGGGATTTGGAGGATTTTGAGGGGATTAAGGTACTTTGCAAATGTCAGTCGTGACAGGGCAATGGGATTTTCAGAAAAAGCAATCTAACGTGTTACTTACAGTTAGTTTTCAACGTAGTTTTAAGGGATACATATCATTAATTGCCGGGTCAATTTAAAACACCAACCTGTCATTCCAAGGCCCGAGTAAAATTGAAAGAAGACTACTTGTAAAAGTCAACACCATATGAGCTTGAATAGCATACTATGTTAACGAGCCACACTCAACCAGTGTGCTTTGCGTGCCCTTGTCATTGTTATTATCCGGGAACTCAATACTTTTTCTGACAAACCCACGAAACGGCAATTATTACCACAATGGTAGGAGCTTTTGCTTTTTTGATAATAAGGGTATTATCGCTCAGTGCAAAACTAACCTGTTACTTTGGAAGAGGTATATTTACAAAGTTTTATGTCTGTGGAAGAGAAGAATTTGTATGACAAAACAGCACATTGTATCATGATACAATCACTATTCACGGCTGAAATATCAGACTCAGGAATTTTATTCTTGAACATAAAAAAAGTGTGAAAGCGAGAGGTTTAACAGGGAATCCATCCTTGATGCCTTACAAAGAGACGGACACCTTCGATTACTTTAATTGTTATTCATATCATTCACCAGGCACAAAGAAAAGATTCGTAAAAGGAGAAGCGCTATGCCTCCAATAAATAAGTTGATCACCCTCCACGTTTAACAAAAACAGTGTTTCAAAATACACTTAAAGAATAGAGGATACCAATATAAGATTGGGTAAATTGTATCTCTGAAGTTGATTTCACTTAGAGAAAAAGGTCACTCATGAACTTGCATGGGATCAGGCTTGCGATCGATTGTAAACGTTTCTCCATCTGACTGTCACCCAAGTGCAGAGAGGAGCTTTCTTTTTTACTTTCCTTAGAAATACTGTGTAGGAGGGCATCTGCGAACTCTATGCTCGTTTTCTTGTCAAATCCTAAAGCTGTCTCGCGCTCATTTCATGCTTTTCAAAATTGACCTAGTAAGCCATATGCTATAGCGGCTTTCCATTTCTGCGGGACGTACTCCTGATGGCTTCATTATCGAGAACACGGAATGAAACGACAAAAATACATAGCAAATAGACGATAGACACGGAAAGAAATTACCCCGCAATGCATTCTAGTTGAGCGTTGCTCTTTAATTAGTATTTGCAAAATTAAGCGTTTTTAATGATAAGGCCAAAAAAAGTATTGGCATGTTGGAACATAAAGTGGGAAAAAGTCATGAAAAAACTGCTTTTTTCGAAAAAAAACGTGACTCAATTGGTGACCACTTTATGCAATATAATTATATTAACCGCTTGGGATTAAATTCACAGCTTCATGTCCATCGCCGAAATCGGAGCATCACTACGATTTGGAATGTAAGTAAGATAAAACTGCTTATCGCATTTTTTCAAAAGTATTCGTCAGTCGGTTTGATAGGAAAGGTCTAATGCTGAGCCCACACGATAAAATATTGGCAAAACCAGTCTTCTTTGGGCTGTTTTTAAAGCGTATTCTCGTGTGGAATGCTTGCCTTGCCAATTTCCTTTCCAAACCGAGGAAAAAAGTAACTTTCAAGCGACAACATAAAGCGTGCATCAAATTCTCTTGGGGAATCTTATTGTCGTCTTAGAAGGTGAGTTTTATTTCATGTTGTGCATCATATTTGCAGGCAAGGTGTATAACTTAACAGTACTGATGACGAACACTTCCTTTGATGATTTCTTATGGTTTGCACATTCGCCCCAATTCATTGAGCTCAGAAGAGAGTTTGAACTTGGAGTAAGTATAAAGCTGATTCTGCCAGTTTTAAAAACCTTTGTTTGTTATCAGCTTTTGTAAACAGAAAGAAAACTCGAACAGGACCCTCCGCAACATACCATCCGAAGTTGAAAAAAAATGTTTTACAACGCAACTCAATTTAGGAGTGAAACTGAAATCGTTTAAAATTGCTAATGTCTATGCGTCCAAGGGAATAGCACAATATCAACAAAACAAATTTACCTATGTTCTTTCAATATCGCCATTTTTTCTTTTGATTGAAGCTTGCAATTTTAATTTCGGCCGAAATAACACTTTGGTTATAAACTCGTTGTGCAAATACGCATCATAAAAATAGAAAGCTAACTTTACTACTGATACGAAACCCGCTGGTGAAACGAATCATAAAATTTTACGCTCTGATCATCGCGACCAAAGAAAGGGATCTTAAAACTTTATTACATGTAGACTTAATAGTTAGCACGCTACTAGACTTTTCTGTATCGATAAGTACGGGTAGGCGTCCAACCCGGGTCATTTTCCTGTGATCTTTGGCAAGACTCTACCCTTTCGATGCCTAACACTAACCAAGGGTAAAAACAAGTATCAATAGGAAAGCTCTACGAATATCTGGGGCGTTATCTTTATCGTTGGACTAGCAGGCATTCTGAGTCAGAGGTGTAGCTACACCCATGTTCGCTTCATGCTATTGTAGCTCGAATAACCCCTGGGAAAACGACCAATCAGGCTGGTGAGACCAAGCCAGTATGCCACACTTTTTAAGTATGACGCTGCGAAAGGTAATGTCGAAGACCAGGAGCCTTTTAAGGTTTCTAAAATAATAAGTATTCAAAATCTAAACTAATTCTCTAAAAATTACATCTCCAATGCAGGTTTTGCAAGCGTACGATGGATATGATCCTTTTCTCGGCGTTACGACTTTGAGATTCAGGTAGCTCACTCATAGTAAATAGGGAAGAGGCCAAGATCATTGAGAGAGAGAAAAAATTCGATGGATCAAATTCTAAAAGCTTGAGATGTTTAAAAACACACGACTTGACGATGCAAAAATTCCATCACTATTAACAAAATATGTTTCAGTTTAAATCAGTTCACATGCTAATATTGTTTTGAGATTAAGGTGTTACTTTTTTATCTTTAAACAGTGAAGCTCCGGGAGACAGCAACATTGTGGTGCACTTTGCTATCGAGTTTAAAGACAAGGGAGTCCATCTTCATAACTTAACTGCGGCATTAGCATGTCAAACTTTGGGCAAGCACACTTTTCTCCCATCATTGGGTCAAGTTGGTGAGTTTGCAGAGCAAGAATGTTCTGGGTGACTTGTAATTTGTTTGAACAAACCTTTTTCATAGTTCCAGAAAGTTATAAGCCTCTATTCTGAAGTCATCTTTCCAAGTATTCTTACAGCAGGAGGTTTCTGATGCTAAGATCAGACCGTATTAAACTCGTCCACTCTTCCCAGCCCTTTATCCCCAGAAATTATTTTAATATTCTCCCTGATATTTTCTTCACACTCCCATGGTACTGAAAAGAAGATTATTTGTAAAGCTTATTAAGTTAGCGATCATTTCCTTTATCTCATGATCTGGACGTTAAGGGGTGACACTGCAAAGAAAAATCATATACTTGTAGCCCCCTGAGTTTAAAGTGTTTATTCATTTCCTTTTTAAAATAGTAATTAATTGAACAGTTGTGGTAAAATCAATTTCAAATTTATCAAATACACTTATCGCTATCTTGGTTGTTTGTTAGCATGTTACAAGGCACCTCCCCCTCCAGTCTGCCCACTTCCATGTTTCTCTGCCTGTGCTCCACACTGTTACTCCAGCTGCTGCCAGCAGTACCACCCTTACTACTATGCTCCAACACCGTCTCCTCCACATGATATTAATCCAGCTCCATGCCCAGAAGGCTGCCCCATTACATGTGCACCTTTCGGATGCACTACTCACTGCTGCAGCAATGGTCATAGTCTGCCGCATTATGTTTACGGGAAGCGTCACGAAGCTCCAAAGCCAGAGAAGCAATCGAAAATTGGCCACATCTTCCGTAAACATCATGGGAAGAATTAAAAGAAAAAAATCAGGAGCAAAAAGAATCAAAGAAACAAATTCCAGCGAGAAGAATTTTTGATTTTTTCCTGATTTCATATCATGTAAGGTCTACCAGGCAAGAACTACATTTCCCGAACTTGGGTTCAGATATTCATCTGAAGCGTCAAAGTTATTCCTATCAGGCCTGAAGCCATTGATTCTAATCATTATGTGATAATAAATAGCCAAATTTTGCCTGTCTTATCGAATGCAAAAATGTAAAAAAAATTTTGACAATTCCGAGATTCCGATTTACATTATATGGAAATTAAGTCAATGATGGCTATCTAAAGTATTTTAGATCAATAGCAAAGTATCTGAGATCATTCTAATCAACATTTTCTGTTGGTATGAATTTGTTTACTTTTTATGGCTAGACCTACTACCTACACGGGTGTTCTAAAATGTTTACTAAACCTTCCCAATGAACTCAAGATCCATAACTCCGTTATATAAAATAAATTGGTTCAAGTACAATGTACTGTAAAGTAAATGATTTGAAGGTAGAATAAACAGTTGATCACCCAATCTTGCGCGTGTTGTAAGTTTTGGAATTGATAAGAAGGGGAAGAGTGGGTCCGTTGATCGATCAACGGAAAACCGTCTTTTGCTTCCGGGCGTGGAGAAATATTGAAAGGTAGCCCTAACAAATGAAAATTTACACGGAACCACTCAAGTTTCACCAGAATAGTTAATAGAGTACAGAGGACCGAATCCACCGAAAATACCTTCGACAAGGAAGGTCATTATATACAATTGTTTTGTATCCCTTTTGAGAAAGTGATGGAGTAATTTGAGGTATCTCATTTTCATTTAAACAAATACTTTTATCCCCAAACAATAAGTCGCTGTACAAGTATATTGCTTGAACGATAAAACGCAGTGACGCATCCTTTACTCCACTGATAAATCTTCATCAGCGATACTTCGCTTTAGCGATTCATCGCGATAATGTAACGCGTTGAAGCGATTTTGTCGCTTGAACGATAAATCGCTGGAATGATATATGAAAGGTTCGACTTATTGTTTTCGTGTGTTGATGAAACGCGCGATACATAGCCGATATTTCGGCGATATCTCGGAAGAACAAAACGCAATATTCGACTCTGATCGTTTGTATTACTTTGGCACAGTACTGCATATATTACTTGATGTCACCTATAGTTAATTTTCAAGTACAGAAAGTCAAGGAAGGATTTTTACCAAAACTCTGGGGATGGGGGACAAAGTTTTTAGCGGAATGACTAATTTCTACCTCTTTCTCTTTCAACGTCTACTGCAGTTTCATTCAATGAAAGACAATTTCTGGTGAGGAGATGTGGGGCTTCAATGTCACTCCGAGATTCGCAGCTCGCGCCAGACTACAATCGAACGAGAAGCTTTATGGAAATGAGCATTTGTTTTTGGAGGGCGTGATTTTAAAATCTCTTTGATATATTTTTTTTAGGAACAAACCAATGATAAACATTTAAATTGTTTTTCACGGTGTTTCTTTATGATTTTTTAATAAGTCTTAATGGTATGACGGTATTGTAAAGTAAATAACACTTAGGCTTGGCAAATTGGAAAAATAAAGCATGCTTCGTCTATCAAACGATAAACTTAATGAAAATAAAAAACTTCTGTACATTGGCTATTCAATAATTTTAGATATTTAGTAATTAAAGCATTGCAGTTTTATAGCGGGATCAATCTCAATTCTGACGGGTCTTGATTTTTTCTTCCAGAAGAGATATCCAGACGTTAATTACCATAATTGACCGGTAATAGTTCTTGTATTTCACACCTCCTGTGCACCAAATAAATTAAGATACCAAATTTTTAAAAGCCCATAACAGGTAGGGTGTTAACTTACAGCAATCAAGTCGGTCATTTAGGGGATTGGAAAATCTTCGAAAGAGCAATAGGAACATTGGTAAGTAACAAGATTAAAAACTTATGAACAAGAAAACCATTTAAATTCCCGAAAACTTTAAATAATAATTCGCAAAGCTAGCTAGCTTAAGCTTTAACTGACTATTTGAAATTCAGACTCCGAACCGTGTTATAGCCCGTAGCGGATCGACCAACGGAAAGAATGGCGATAGTTTCTCAACATTGTTGCAACAACGTTATTTTTACAGTAATGTTCATGATTCCTTTGCGAGAATTCAGAAATTTCGTGATAACTACGTGCTTGATATTTGAATGAAGGGACAAATATCCTCACTGAAACCGGTCGTTGAAGGTCAAAAATGTAAATCGAATTTGGTTTCGTGTACAATGCACTTAATCGATTAGATACTTTCGATAATTCAAGCTAGCACACGTGCATCTAAATTATGAACTTTCACAGCTCTAACTGCCATTACATGATGATGATGTTATTGGTTACTCCATCAAAAGGCTGTTGCATTTTTTGACGAAAATGCTGTCCACTGTTATTCAATGACTTTGACGACCACTACCTTTTGCTGGTCAGTCGAGAATAAGGGAACTCTGTCTTCTTTTTACTTTTTTAGAGCATTACATTTAATTTTCTTTTGTATCGAATAAAACAAAACTTGAAGACCCAAGCTACGTATAGGCGTGTGTCTGTCACTAAGGGGAAATAAAAAATGCCCTCTTCATATTCCATTCCTTAGGCAAATACGAGGATGAGCCTCAAACAGTTCCTTTATTCCATATGGATAGTCTTACTGATGCAGAGAAAGGTCTTCGGCGCTGCAGGTAACTGTAAGTAATAAATACTTGCGCAAGCCTAAACTAATGATGCTACTGGAAGCTACTTGCTTTTTTCCCGGAAGAATTGGCCTGAGAAGATGTTACGAATCTTAATGATTAACTTGACAGATTGTGCGTATTTATTTCAGATTGTCCGGAATTTACCCGACTAGGTTGCTTTAAAGACTCGATGAATCCTCGCCCCCTACCGACAATTCTTATGACGGACCGCGACCCTGGCATGAGGGTGTACAGCGGTGTTAAAATTGACTGGAAAGGGTGGAACGACTACATGACTGACCTAGCCTGCAGATGTGCTAAAAAGACAAAGAAGTCTGGATTTAAGGTCTTTGGACTACAATTTTTTGGTAAATGCGCGCTGTTGCAATCAAACTCTATGTACTTTTAGTCTGTAGTAAAACAGTGGACAGCGTCGAAGGCGGGCTTTGATTGGCTATTCACACTATTGATATCCTTTGCTATTCACCTCCGAGCAGCTTACAATTTGCGCGCGGAATAATATAAGGAATAAATAAATTAAAGGAATAAATAAGTTGAATAATCTTTTCTTGCTCAATTATCTTACTTAAAATAGCTAGCGGTGAGTTTTTACCTCGCCGCTCCGCAGTTCGGTAAATGGCCCTTATCAGAGTTGAGCACGCCACCCAAACAATCCAGCGGTATTCTTGTGAGTAAACATCAAAGCGAGGCTATCGGGTCAACATCGATCAGATTTGTGTGAGAAAGTGAGGAAAACTTATGGAGTGTTCCACAAATCTTCCACAAGCGGCCTTTTTTTCCGCTGAGGAGAAAGTGCAGTTGATAATTGGTAATTGCCCACGGCATATTACTAAAGAAAGACTCAAAGAATGGTTGTCATTCCGCAAAGGGACGGCTAAAGATGGTAGTGCACGGTCTGAAGCAACGAAGGCTGAGTTATCTCAAAGGTACACAGATTGCAATATTTTTTGTCCCTTATAATTATTGCCATTGCTTGAAGGGAATATCGAAGCATAAGTTCTATATCGATTTGTTTAACCTGCCGCAGGGTCATCAGTTATATAAAAAATGGTTGGGAGAATAATTTACGGAGAAGTGGCAACGCTTGGCGGCAAGTAAACCACTGGAGCAAACGGCGACCGTCAATTGTGATTTCCCTGGATCTGCACAATGGGTTTCGCTGGTTGACGCGAAGGACGATGTCCCTTCATTTAATATTCAGAATATCGTGTCTTACTTTATTGAAAGAAAAGCTAAAGACAATGAATCCAACAAAGATTTCAAGAATGTCAGCAGCAAAGCTTTCGGTTTGTTTCGACATGGTCATATCCAAAAACTGGAAATCGCACGGGACGGTGTTTTCAATGTTTATCGGTTCGGGGGCTGAATGCTGCTGCGATTTTTCTATTTTTGTTTTCTTTGTGTTCAACGTTGCTCGATCAGCGGGCTCTTTCCTCTTTGTTTTTTCAACAGTAAATATAAACTTTGTCGGTACGGAATCTGGCTTCAAGCGAATTCTTTGTCCTCCCATTGGTTTTATGAAGCAATTAGCTTCAAAATGCTGACTACAGACATAAGAGTTTTTGTTTACCGGAGTGTTCTCTCGACGCAGTTTCACGAGCCATTGTGCCAGCAAATTCTTGTTTGACAGCGGCAGCGAATGCCATGATAAGTCCTTGCATTCCGCTTTGGAACTTCGGTTTTGACACCCAAAAGCTATGCAATGTTTCACCATGGATAAAGAAACTAAAAACTCGAGAAAATATTATGTAAATACCAAACTACTACTAATTTCCCTCTCTGCTTCCTTGTACTTTAGAGCGAGCTAGACCCGATAGCCTCGTTTTGGCGTAAGCTCATCCGGAGACCGCTGATTTCGCGTGCTCAACTCCGATAAGAGCTATTCCACCTCCTGTTCGGTGAAAAATTGTTCGTTATTATATGATAATTTTCTCAATTTTGAACTAAAAAAATCGGGTGGAGGGGAGTATTGACACTCCTTTCCCACTTTTGTTTTTGTTCTCTCAGGCCTTCGATAATTTTTTTTTTCAGTATGTTTGTTTGTTTTTTTTTTATAGTGGGGGGGGGGGGGTGTTGGGTAGGAACTTTCGTAGTTTCAAGAGTAGTGACGCATTATAAAATTTGTGGGATCAAAACATTTGAATTTTTTTAACATTTTTACGAGCTGCACACAACACGGATCTCCGTGATCATGCAAAACACAGTTAGAAAACAGGTCTTAGAGAGTGGTTTAAAGGAATACACTTAAGCTGTCTGGAGAAGCTCTGAAGGTTAGGGATATTTGACTTTGACGAGGAAATATAAACAATGCGAAAAACAAATGTGTGGAACCTATTCTGAACTTAGGTGAGTGTTGGTCGGGTGTTAACGCTGAAAACACTTATAAACAAGACGGACCCAGTCAAGAATGCTTAACAAATGACTTCCTCAAATGTGGACCAAAAGACAAGTACTGTGTCGGAAAACAAGACACTAACTTTGTGTACGCATTAAACGGTGAGTGTTCTTAGCCTTGCATTAATACTGTGTCTGTTTTGGAGCATATAAATATGAACAATCTCGATGTAAGAAGTAGCAAGAAAGTACTGGTTCAAGTTGTGCCACTGGAAAAAGCGGGCAATTTTCCGCAAGTATCTTATTGATTTTGTCAGCCAAATTAAAGCTATTTCTGCGAGACCTGAAAGATGTGCACAAGTCCTCCAATCCCCAGCTCAATAAATATCACGAGGAAAACAAAAATTTCAAAAGTTGAAAATCAAGAGGAACGTTCGATTGTTTTCCGTTTTTGTCTTGGCTTAATTTTGTTTTATTTACCCGGTCTTACACACATTTGATAACCAAATTAAACGAAAAAGGTAAAGAGCTAACTATGTTCAAAACTGCAGCTTCAAGTCCAACGTCACAGCCGACTGACCAGCCAAAGACAAAACCGACGACCATTCCGAAGACCAAGCCGACGACGAGGCCGGAAACTGTGCTGAGTAAGAAACATTTGTACACGGATAGAGACCTTCCTTACATTTTCGAGATAGAACTTCCCTATCACATTTTGCCTAATAAGTCTTTCCATAATACTTATAAAAGAAACAACATGTCGCAAAGGAGGTTATTGCTCATCATGGTGGTAAGTTACAATTAACTATTTAATCATTTGTGCCAGGATGTAGTCACTTGAAATGTAGATCGCGACGTTTCGACTGCTTACTTCTAGTCTTCATCAGGCACGAGAGGGATATACGCTTAGCTTGTACCCAGACCTCCGCCGTTTCTTAGCACGCCAACAAGACTGGCCACCGCCCGCTTTGGAACGAACTAAAGGTTATTGATCGAGAATCTTACTGGTATACGCCAGAAGAAACAAGGAAGTTATCCACATAAGACTTCACCCTGTTAACATCAACAGGGATAACGGAATCGAAATTCCTGAAGCATGGATACCAACGATCAAGAAACACAAAGGGAGACCAGTACGACAGCAAACCGCCGAAGGAACCTCTCGGAAAACCAGAACTCACCGGAACAATGGAGATCGAAATCCTGATTGTCACTGCCTTACAACATTGAAAATCGAGAGTTCAATTGTTTTCCATTTTTGTTTTTGTTTAGTTTTGTTACGTTTAACTCACTTTTACACACATTTGATAACCAAATTAGAGTAGAAGGTAAAGAGCTAACATTGTTCAAAACTGCAGCTTCAAGTCCAACGTCACAGCCAACTGGCCAGCCAAGGAAAAAACCGACGATCATTCCGAAGATCAAGCCGACGACGGGGCCGGAAAGTGTGCAGTGTAAGAAACATCTGTATTTGGATAGAGATCTTCCTTGTATTTTGAGATAAAAGTTCTCTATCTCATTTCAGAGAGAAGCTCTCTGTGTAACTTTCCTCCGAATAACTGTGCGACAGGGCTTTTGCGAACACTCTGCTCGTTTTCTTGCCAAATCCTACTGCTACCTTTCGCTCATTCCTTGCTTTTAAAAACTGACTTAGTAAGCCATATGAATTGGCGGCTTTCCATTCCTGCAGGCAGAACTCTTGATGGCTTCATTATCGCTAAGGCGGAATGAAACTACAAAAATACGTTACAAATAGACGTTAGCCACTAAAAGAAACTAGATGAGGGTAAAAAAGCCGGTTTTTAATTTAATCGATTGATATCACACACGTGGTAAATTTTCCTTTTCTGCAATACATGAAATCCTGAGAATGGCTACTACCCTCGCAATGCATCCTGGTTGAGCGTGGCTCTTTAATTAGTACTTGAAAACTCTCGGGCGTTTTCAATGGGAAAGCCAAAGTAATATTGGAATGTTAACATAATATAGGAATAGTTACGAAATAAACAGCTTTTTCAAAGGAAACAACAACAACTCAGCTGTGACCACTTTGTGCAATATAATTATACTAACAGCTTGTGATTAAATTCACAGCTTTATTTCCATCGCCGAAATCGGAACATCACGACGATTTGGCATGTAAGTAAGAGAAACCTACGAATCAGATTCTTCAAAAGTTTTCGTTAGTTGTGTTTGATAGGAAAGGTCTAATGCTGAGCCCTTGGGTTGTTTTTAAAGCTTATTCTCATGTGGAGTGCTTGCGTTGCCTATTTCCTTTCCTTGCTGAGGAAAAAAGGCGTGCATCAAATTATATTGGGAAATCTTATTGTAGTCTTAGAAAGTGAGTTTGATTTCATGATGCGTATCATATTTGCAGGCAAGGTGTATAACTTAACAGTACTACTGTCGAACAATTCCTTTGATGATCATTTAAGGTTTGCACATTCGCCACAGTTCATTGAGCTCAGAAGAGAGTTTGAACTTGGAGTAAGTATGTAGCTGATTCTGCCAGTTCTTAAAACCTTTGGTTGTTATCAGCTTTTCTTTGGCAGCTAATAAACTTGAACAGAACTCTCCATAACATACCATCCGAAGTTCAAAAAATGTATCATAACGCAGCTCAATAAGTGGTGAAACTGAAATCAAAATTGCCAATGTATTTTTTTGCGGCCAGGGGAATAGCATAATATCAGCAAAACAAAGTATCTCTATTCCTTTTAATATCACCCTATTTTCTTTTGATTGAAGCTTGCAATTTCAATTTTGGCCAAAAAAGACTGGTTATAAAACTCGTTATGAAAATACGAATTGTGAAATAGAAAGCTAACTTTACTACTGTTACGAAATCCATTAGGAAAACGAAATGTAAAAATTTTACGCCCTGATCATAACCCTTGGAAGGGTGACCAAAGAAAGGGATCTTGAAACCCTGTTAAATGTTTGCAATACTTATTTAATAACTGCGTGGGAAATCCTAGGCTGAATAGTTAGCACGCAGCTGAACTTTTCTGTATCGATGAGTATGGGCTCACCTCCAACCCGGTTCATTTTGTTGTGATCTTTGGCATGACACTCTACTCTTTCAGTGCCTAACACTAACCAAGGGTAAAAATGAGTACCAATAGGAAAGCTTTACGAATTTCTGGGGCTTTATCTTTATGGTTAGACTAGCCGGCATTCTGATTTGGAGAAGTAGCTACACCCATGTTCGCTTCATGCTATTGTAGCTCGGATAACTCTCGGGGAAACGACCAATCAGGCTGGTCAGACAAAGCCAGTATACTACACTTTTTAAGTATAACGCTGCAAAATGTAATGTCGAAGACCAGAGTGTCCTTTTGAGAGAACAGAAGGACCCTTTTTAATTTCCTCATGTAATGAGTATTCAAAATATAAACTAATTCTCTGGTGCTTACATTTCCAATTAGGTTTTGCAAGCGTACGATGGATATAATCCTTTTCTCGGCGTTACGACTTTGAGATTCAGGTAGCTTACTCATAGTAAATTAAAAAAAGGCTAGGATAATTGAGAGCGAGAAAAAAGTCGATGGATCAAATTCTAAAAACTTGAATTATTTAAAAACACACGTCTTGACGATGCAAAAATTCCATCACTATTAACAAAATATGCGTCAGTTTATATCAGTTCATATGCTTATATAGTTTTGAGATTAAGGTGTTACTTTTTTTATCTTTAACAGCAAAGCCCCGGGAGACAGTCACACTGTGGTGCACTTTGTGATCGAGTTTAAAGACAAAGGAGTCCATCTTCATAACTTAACTGCGGCATTAGCTCGTGAAAATTTGGGCAAGCTCACTCTTCTCCCATCACTTGGTCAAGTTGGTGAGTTTGCAGAGAAAAAATGTTCTGCGTGCCTTGTTATTTGTTTGAAAAAACCTTCTTCAGCGTTCCAGAAAGTTATTAGCCCCTATTCTAAAGTCATCTATCCAAGTATACTTACTATGGGAGGTTTCTTATTCCGAGATCAGAACGTATTAAACTTGTCGACGCTTTCCAGCCTTATATCCCCAAACATTATTGCGCATATTCTTTATAATGTTATCTTTACACTCCCATGATACTGAAAGGAAGATTTTTGTAACAATCAAAAGCTTATCAAATTAGTGATCATTTACTTTCTTCTCGTGATCTGGATGTTAGTTTCAAGGGGTGACACTGCAGAGAAAAATATGTCAGTAGCCCCTTAAGCTTAAATTTTTTTAAAATTTTTTTATAGTAGTAAATGATTGAACAATTGTTGTAAAATTCATTTCAAATTTATCAAATGTACTAATCGCTATCTTGGTTATTTGTTAGCATGTTACAAGGGACCCTTCCCTCCAGTCTGCCCACTTCCATGTTTCTCTGCCTGTGCTCCGCGCTGCTACTTCAGCTGCTGCCAGCAGTACCACCTTAACTACTATGCTATCCTACCGCCTCCACATAATATTCATCGAGCCCCATGCCCAGAGGGCTGCCCTATCACATGTGCACCTTTCGGATGCACTACTCACTGCTGTCATAGTCTGCCGCATTATGAATACGGGAAACGTCACCAAGCTCCAAAGCTAGGGAGCAATCGAAAATTGGCCACATCTTCCATAGACATCATAAGAAGAATTAAAAGAAAAAAGAAAAAACCAGGGGCAAAAAGAATCAAAGAAACAAATTCCAGCGAGAAGAATTTTTGATTTTTTGCTAATTTCATATGATGAAAGGTCTACCAGGCAAATACTATATTTCCTGAACTGAGGTTCAGATAATTATCTGAAGCCTCAAAGTTATTCTTATCAGGCCTGAAACCATCGATTTTAATCAAATATATTAAAGTTCACACGGCAACCAGGTGGACAATCAGACATCAGACACCTTTTTTCTGACGAGGTGTAAATAGGCGTCACCCATGATGAAGGCACTAGACAGGAGTGTCGAAACGTTGGGTCTATGAATTGTAACTTCTTCAGTTACATTCATTAAATCTGCAAACCAGAGTAGCATCAAACTGTGTCCGACTTTAATCAGTATGTAATAAAAGAAAAAAGCCAAAATTTGATCAGAAGCAGACTTGCATATCTGTCTTATCAAGTGCAAAAATGTAAAAAAGTATTGACAATTCCGAGATTCTAATTTGCATTCTATGAAAGTTTAAGTGCCCATGACACGATTTTTTTCGCATTTTCTGGTTGATAGAATTAACCGACTTTAGCGCCTAGCGAGTTCTCATTAACCATTTGGCGGCCAAAAAGTGTCTCGATTAAGCGCGCGGCCAAACCAATTACATTTCATATCGCTGTGACGTAGAAAACTGAGAAGACACGTCGGCAACTATGATGGAGAAAAGAGAAATATAGGAGAAAGGACGAACGCATTGCGTGGTCAGAGCGCTTAATGATGTTCGTGACAAGAATTGTACTCATATGCCGGGTATTTCTGTACACTACTCTCCAAAAGATGTAGCTGTATGGCCAAAATGGAGGCGTTTCGATCATCAACATCAAGGAGATTTTACGGCCTTAAGCTCCGTACCGGCTTCGTAGACGGCTGTTACGAACACATACCATTAGTCAAATCAGGGGAACATAACTTATATGAATTCACCTTAAAAGAATGCTGATTAAAGGGCTGGTTCCCACACTGTACACGAACGTTCAACATTCTTTTCGACTGACACGCTGCAAGCGAAAAATGGTGAGTTCCTTGGTGTTGTTTATTTCACGCGCTTGAGATGTACTCATACTCCTAGTCTTTCCACATGACTGCATTTCCACTTTTCTTATCATATGAAAATCCTACCAATTGTAGCTTCCATCGTATTTTAAGAACAGAATTACATCATTTGTAATAAAGTTAAAGCCCTTTTAGTCCAGGACCACATATACATAATTCGAGTTTCGTGGGGATTTCTAGTCGAAAGCAAGCCACTGCGCTAGATATGTTCAGGGGACCTTAAATAACCAGAAGAGTCGTATTACCACTTTTGCAACTTGCTCCAACGCCTTTTAGAGGATATTTTAGAAATTCCTTCGTAGACCCTGCATGAAAACGAGGCTACTACATAAAACATCCTATAACTTCTTTTATTATGGCAAAACAGCTCCAAATATATAAATCTATGTTCTCTTTGATATGTTTAGTAACTGTGAGTCACCACATCAGTCACGCGACTTAATGAGCATGGACGTAAGGATGGTTTATTAAAGAATCTTTCGAGCTTCCAAAAACCTCTAAATGCTATGCTATACCTCATAGACAGCGTAGAAAAATCTTTTAGCTCAAACTGTTCCTTTCCGATAAAATATGCTGGTCACGTGAATTACAAAAACATGAAGCCGAAGCTACGATATTTAGCTTTGCTTGTGTGTTCAATTATGACAAAAAAAAAAACAAAAACAAAAAAAAAACACAATTATTCCTGACATAATTATTAATCAGAGTCATATTCATCACCATCTTCTTCCTCATCACTCTCGTTATCATCCCAAGAACCCTCGTCTTCATCATTACGCGCATTTTCACACGTTTTTCCACTATCTAAACACCCATTCTCATTCCAGCCCATTCTTTCTAAACTGGCAGCGTTTGTGGAGCGTCACTCCCTAGTACACTTGTACTTTAAAAGATGAGTAACAGCTTGAGGTAATGGAGGTGGTTTCTTCATCATGACAACCCAATGGTCTGTATCCCATGTCCGACCAAAATTCTCCGGGTTTGCTACAACATCGTTATTCCACAATAGAAATTGATAGTGGACTCTTAAGATTGCTTGTTTAGGTGCAGCCTAGGTCGGTGGCAGCCACTCCGATTGGGCTTGTTTATTCTTAGAAAGCAACCATCTCAGTTCTGTCTCAGAACACATGTTTGTCTTGGGAAGATTCGGCTGACATACAAATTTCATGATTAAAGGCATTATCTGAACTCTGGGAATCACATCCGCACCTCGATCCAAGCTCAGAAAGACCATTGATGATTTCAACTTCCATGAAAGCTTTCCAGCATGTAGCTTTCCTCTTTCCGAAAAACAGCCAGTGTTTTCTGCTTCACTAAAAGCTGAGAGAGCGGTTCGATGGTTCTTGCCTGAACCGGTGACAAGAAAGGTTGCTTTTGCGAATACTTGAATAATGCCTGGGAACCAAGATGAAAACTTCTGTGTCAAGAGAATATCGTAACTCTGGCTGTGACATCAACGGCGGTATGTTAAACAGTCTCCTTGTCTGTTCCCTCTTGGTTGCCCTCTCGGTTGCTTTGGAGGTAGGAAAATATTCTCTTGTTCCCATGTGTTCTGACCTCCTACTACAACTACTCGTCTTACATTTTGTCAGCTAAGGTCGATGGTCTTTTGTGCCTGATAGTCTGCCTGCACTATCTTTGTCTTAGTGTGCGAAAGAAGTATCTTCATCGATCGGAACCTTTGCGATATGTATTAAAGCAGTGATTTGATTATACCCCAGATTCTTGCCTTTTCGCATCTTCCTCCGTGTATCTCCTTTTAGAGAAGAAGGCAGATCGTATCTGCCAAAAAACAACCAGATTTCTTTATTTTCGCAAAATGTCTCGAAAATGCGACTAACGAAGTGATTTAAGTGCTATATGCAACCAGTCTTTGATCCATTCGGGTTTGTCCATGCATTGAACCTCAGATATTGCATCTACCACAGTGACTCCTATTTCTACCGTCTTCTGTACTCTGGTTGGCAGCACTGTCGTTGTCTCCATCAAGATTCACAGGTAATTTCTTAAAAGTATTTCACAGAGCAGTCTTACATGAGAAGCGAAGTAATGTTCCATCAGCTACCAACATTGATCCTGGCAACGAGGAAAACTCGTAAGTACCGACAACTTCTTGGATGCCAATCTTCGGCCGACTCTTTCATACGATTATCATTCTTGTGAACAGGTTCCTGTTCTTACGCAGCTCCACGACAATGTTTTTAACCCCCCAATTTGATGTTTCTGCTAGCAGTCTTCCAAGTGGAAAGCTTCTATTTCTTCATAAGGTCCCAGAGATTTACTTTCTCCCAGGGACGGGGGCAGAGGGGTAGGGAGGGGTCTGTAGAATTTTTGCTGTGTCACGATAATTTACCTGATCCCTCATTGAGCTATGTGACATTCTTTAAGTTATCCCTTCCCCAACGGCGGTTAATTGGCAGTCAATTTTATACAGGCTCCTCTTCATACTCTGTTGGTAACAACAGATTTCCCCTCCGTTCCCCCTGAAAACCATGTGATTTCCCCCAAATCTTCCAGTTTAAGCTGAAACTTATATCTGTGCTTTTTATGAAGTATAGCAAAGTATTTTAGACATTTAGGAAAGTCAAAGTAAATTTTGATAGACCAGCCTCACTTCCATGCTCACATGAGTAATCTTGTGACTCACAGTCACTAAATATGTGTTAAAGATATCAACCAGAATATATATCTATATCTTTGGTGCCATCTTGCCTATAATAAACGAAGTTATAAATGAAGATTTTAGATATATGAAAATTCATATATTTGCACTGCGGTGGAGAGATGAAATTAAGAGATCCTCGCAGCTAATTCAAAAAATTCAGGCCCGTACCCGTACATATATCTAAAATCTTCATTCACTTGGATGTTTATTTGGACCCAATTCATTGCCCAGCTCCCAGTTGGCTTGTTAGCTCAATTGGTAGAGCGCTGCACCGGTATCGCAGAGGTCATGGGTTCAAATCCCATACGGGCCTGAATTTTCAGGTCCTATTTACAACTACTCGTTTCAGTAGTGTTCTTAGCTGCGAAGTTATAAATGTTTTATGTAGCAGCCTCGTTTTCATTAAAATATTCTTTTAAAAGCGTTGGAACAGATTGCAAAAGTGGCAACACGACTTTTCAGGTTATTTAGGGTCCGTTGAACATATCTTATGCAGTGGCTTGCTTTCAGAAAGAAATTCTCACGGAGTAAAAATGCAGCCAGACTTTTTCCTGAGCTGTGCGAAAAATAGTGCGAAACCTTTGGCCAATACTGGCATAAACACAAGCTCGAAGGAGCCGTGTATTCTCTTAACACAGGTTTCCGAAAATCCATCCCACGTGCCATCAATTTCCCCCTGCCCTCAAGAAACTAAGATGGTAGCAACAGTAACATTGTCATCGTGATAACAACACTACAACGAGATAAATAAAGAAAAACATATTTTATTGAATTAGATAGTGGTGAATCCAAGTGCTGTGTGGAAGTCGATACATACGAAATATTCATTCACAATACTGATGTCAGTTATTTGCCATTGAGCGGAATAGGTTATATGGCAACACTGCACTTAAACTAAGGAAGTTTTTCTCTATTAAAATTCCTATTTGAGATTAACTTGAATCAGATGACTATAAACTCACTCGTCAGTTTTCCGTTTGCCCGGCTCGAAGACGATAGCCTCTGCCTTTGCAATCTCCGAGGAAAGTAGCAACTTGCAGTGAAACTTCCCGGTAACTTCTCGGCGAAAAATCATCGTGCCTCGTGATACAGCTGATTCTTTCGTCAAAAGTTAGCTTTTGGTTTGCTATATGAAGGAATTACTCTACAGCATTGAAACTCCAGAACACTGACCAAGGGGAACTTTCTCTGTACTTAGTGCGAAGGAATAAAATGTTATGATAACAGAAACGAACACAGCCACCCTTTCTTAATATTGATTTCACCATAGAAAACAAAACACAAATGCAACAAACTAAACATTAAGTAACGGGAGGTTTTTGTTTTAATCTTGACCTGAACACCGCGGGCAAGAATTGTCACTCTTAGTCGACATCTTCGTTTCATGCACGCAGTTCTCCTTCATAGGGCTAAACTGGTACAAAATTATAAGAAATGTGAGAGATTTGTAAGTATCAACTGAGAGCTTTCACAATTTCCTACGTCATCACCCGTCAATTCGTTATCAGTCCATGAGACACTTTTAAGAAAAAACAAGTGCACTTTAGAGCCCAAAAGACCGAGTTTTGAGTTTTTTGAATTTTTTTCTAAAATCGGAATTGGTTTGTACGTATGATAAGCTAAATATTTACGCAAAAAAGTGTCATGTAAGTCAATAAAGGCTATCTAAAGTATTTTAGATCAATAGCAAAATATCTAAGATCATTGTAATCAACATTTTCTATTGGTACGAATTTGTTTCCTTTAAATGACTAGACCTAATACCTACACGGGTGTAGATAAAATAAAATGTTCACTCAAAAAAATGGTTCAAGAACAATGCACTGTGAAGTAAGTGATTTGAAGGTAGATTAAACAGTTGATCACCTCATTTTGCGCGTGTTCTAACTTTTGGAAGAGTGGTTCCGCTGATCGATCGACGGAGAAACGTCTTGCGCTTCCAGGCGTGGAGAAATATTGAAAGCCCTAAAACATGAAAATCTACACGGAGCCTCTCAAGAGTACAAAGGACTGAATCCAACCGAAAATACCTTCGACGAGGAAGATCAATGAATTAAACTTTTTTGTATCCCTTTTGAGAGAGTGGAGAAGTAATTTTAAGTATCTTATTGTCAATGATGATTTTAGATATATGAAATTCATACATTTGCACAGCGATGAAGAAATGAAATCAAGAGTTCTCGCAGCTAAGAACACTACTGAAACGAGTAGTTGAAAATAGGACCTGAAAAAAAAATCAATGTTCGGGCCTGATTTTTTTCAGGCCCTATTTTCAAATACTTCTCTCCCCAAACAATAAGTGGCTGTTAAAGTATATTGCTCGAACGATACAACGCAATGATGCAACTTTTACTCTAAGATAAATCGCTACGAGCGATAGTTTGCTGTAGGGATTCATTGTGATAATGAACTGCGTTGAAGCGACTTTTCGCTGGAACGATATATGAAAGGTTCGACTTATTGTTTTCACGTGTCGATGAAACGCGTGATGCATGGCCGATATTTCGGCGATATCTCGGAAAAACGTAATATTCGACTATGAACGTTTGTATTACTTTGGCAGAGTACTGCATGTATATTACTTTATGTCAAGAGAGAGTCACCTAGAGTTAATTTCCAAGTATAGGAAGTCAAGGAAGGATTTTTGCTAAAATCCTGGGGATGGCAGACATTAAAGTTTTATGGAAATGGGCATTTTTCTCCAGAGGGCGCGATTTTAAACTCTCTATGATATGATTTTTCTAGGAACATTTTTCAATTGCATTCAAACAAATAAATGATAAACATCTATATTGTTTTTCGCGGTGTTCCTGTGTGAATTTTTAGTGAGTCCTGATGCTCTGACAGTATTGTAATGTAAATAACACTCAGAGTTGGCAAATTGGAAAAATAAAGCATGCTATGTCTATCAAATGATAAATGTAACAAAACAAAAGAACTCCTGTCTATCGGCTATACAACCGTTTTAGATATTTATTAATAAAATTATTTTATCATATAAACTACGGTGTCATACAAGGATTTCCAGCCCTTGGAAGAGCCTAAAACACACGTGAAAAGATACGATATTTTTTATGTGTGTTTGATATCGCCAATCAGCTGCTGCCACGTCACTCGCCTTTCGAGCCACTCGGTTAGGTCGATGAATGAATGACAATGCCTTCACCATTCTCAATCCAAGGTCGCTTTTCTAGATTTTTTTCGGATTATGGCTTCTAAAAAGACCGATTTTGGCCGTATACCTAAAACATTTCATCTATTGGTAAGGACCAAGTCAATAACCGACAATTTTGTTCGTTGAAAATAACGCTTATTGTTTGTTTTTGTAATGATTCGACGCATGCTTTCATCTTGAGTGAGCCAAAGCTCTTTACGATTTTTATTCGGGGAATGTCAATCCTTTTATTTTCATTCATAAATAAAGTCGAATTTCTTGTCAGTAAAGGCTATTGTGTTTATATAATAAACAAAATAACACATGGTTGCTTGTAGATATGGAATTTCTCTTCGAGTTCGAAGTCGATTGCTCACGAGTGAGGGCAGCGAACGAGTGAAACGTCGAGTTAAACACATATCTACGCGCGCCCATGTATTATTCTCCATGCAATTTAATAAAGGGTTCAACCTCAACTCCGACGGGTTCTGACTTTTCTTTCGCAAGAGATATTCAGACGGTAAACACCATAATCGACCGGTAACAATTCTTGTACTTCACACCTCCTGTGCCACCAAATAAAATAGGATGCCAAATTTTTAAAAGCCCAGAACAGGTAGGGTGTTAAGTTACAACAATCAAGTCGGTTATAGAAAGCACTGGCAAATCTCCGAGAGAATAACAGGAGCATTGGTAAGTAACAAGATTAAGATCAAATGAACTGGAAAACCATTTAAAATCCCATAAACATCAAGTATCGATTTGCAAAGCTAGCTACCTTAAACTTTTCTCCTAATCCGCTGACTGTTTTGAATTCAGACTCCGAACCACATTATAGCCTAAAGCGGATCGATCAACTAAAAGAATGGCGATAGTTTCTCAATAATGTCGCCGCAACGTTACTTTTGCAATGATGTTTATGAGTCCTTTGCGAGAATTCAAGAATGTCATGGTAACTACGTGTTTGATATTTGGATGAAGGAGTAAAGATCCTTACTAAAATAGGTCGTTTAAAAGTTTGAAAGTCAAAAATGCTAATCGAATTTGGTTTTGTGTACAATGCACTTAATCGATTAGTCACTTTCGATAATTCAAGCTAGCACGCATTCACCTACATCATTGACTTTCAACAGCTCCAACTGTCATTACGTGATGATGTTGTTGGTTACTCCATCAAAAGGCTGTTGCTTTTTTTTAACGAAATTATTATCCGCTGTTATTCAACGGCTTTTACGACAACTGAAAGATCTAAAATATCTTTTGCTGGTCAGTAGAGAATAGGGGAACTCTTTCTTCTTTTTCCTTGTTTAGAGCATTAAATTTTATTGTGTATTGAGTAAAACAAAACTCGAAGACGCAAGTTACGTATGGGTATGTGTCTGTCACGATGGCTTAAAGGAAATTAAAAAATGTCCTCATCACACTTCATTATTTAAGGCAAATTCGAGGATGAGCCTCCAACAGCTCCTTTATTCCATATGGATAGTCTTACAGATGCAGAGAGAGATCTTTGGCGCTACAGGTAAATGTACGTCACAAATACTTGCGCAAGCCTAAACTAATGATGTTGTGGGAAAATATTTGCCTTTTTCCCAAGTCATCTCATTGTTAATTCTGTGTCGCAAGAATCACAGCTCGGTATAATAGGTATTTATAGCTCAATTCGATTCGATACAAGAGCGCGGAAGATCTATGTTTAAAAGTCTTGGCTTAAGAAGATGTTACGAATTTTAATGATCAACGCAAAAGATTGTGTGTATTCATTTCAGATTGTCCAGAATTCACCCGACTAGGCTGCTTTAGAGACTCGATGAATCCTCGTCCCCTGCCGACAATACTTATGACCGACCGCGACCCTAGCATGAAGGAGTACAGCGGTGTTAGTATTGACTGGGCAGAGTGGAACGACTACATGACTGACCTAGCCTGCAGATGTGCTAAAAAGACAAAGGAGTCGAGATTTAAGGTCTTTGGACTACAATTTTATGGTAAATGCGTGCTGTTGCAGTCAAACTCTATGTACTTTTAGTATATAGTAAAACAGTGGAAAGCGTTGAAGACGCGCCCTGATTGGCTACTCACACTACTGCTATCCTTTGCTATTTATTTCCGCGCAGCTCGTGCGGGATTTGCACGCAGAAATATTGTAATCGCTGCAGGAATAAATGAGTTAACATCACCTGTTCTTGTAAATTATTTTACTAACGATGGCTAGCGGTGCGTATTCATCTCGTCGCTCCACAGTTTGGAAAATTCCTCTTCCACTTCGGTGAATAACTGTTAGTTATGATCTGATAATTTTCTCGGCAATGTTGAACTTGAAAAAATGGGTGGCGGGGAGCATTGACACTCCCTTCCCCCTTTTGTTTTTGTTTTTATAGTCCTTCTACAATATTTTCCATTATGTTTGTTTGTATTTTTGCTAGTGCGTGTGTGTGCGTGTGTGTGGAGGTGGGGGGGGGGGGGGCGTTGGGTAGAAACTTTCGTATTTTTTAGCGTAGTGACGCATTAAACGATTTGCGGCTTAAAGGGGATGAAAAAATTGGAATTTTTGAACTTGTTTACGAGCTGCACATAACATAGATTTCCGTGTTCATGCAAAACACAGTTAGAAAACAGATCTTAGAGAGTAATTCAAAGGAATACAATATAGCCGTCTGGAGCAGCTCTGAAGGTTAGGGATATCTGACTTTGACTGAGAAAGATAAAAAATGCGAAAAAAACAAATATGGTGTACTTATTCTGAACTTAGGTGAGTGTTGGTCGGGCGTTAACGCTGAAAATACTTATAGACAAGACGGACCCAGTCAAGAATGCTTAACGATTGACTTCCTCAAATGTGGACCACAAGACAAGTACTGTGTCGGAGAACAAAATACTAACTTTGTGTACATGTTAAAGGGTGAGTGTTTTTTGGGGCAAGGCCTCTTTTGGACAATTTTGATATGGGAAGTCGCGAGAAAATACCGGTTTAAGTTGTACCACTAGAAAAAGCAGACAATTTTGGGCAATCATCTTATTGAATTTGTCAGCCAAAGCTATTTCTGCGAGGCCTTAAAGATTTGCACAAGTCCTCCAAACCCCAGCTCAATCAATATCACAAGGGGAAACAAATTGATTGCCACGGCTTTACAACATTGGAAATCGAGAGGCGTTCGATTGTTTTCTTTTTTTGTTTTTGTTTAATTTTGTTCGTTACATCCACTTTATAACCAAATTAAAGTAAAAGGTAAAGAACTGACATTGTTTAAAACTGTAGCTTCAAGCCCAACGTCACAGCCGACTAACCAGCCAAGGACGAAACCGACGACCATTCCGACGACCACGCCTACGACGAGGCCGGAAGATTTGCGGTGTAAGAAACATTTGTATTTGGATAGAGACCTTCCTGGAATTTTATACTAAAACCCTTTCATCTAATTTACCTTGATTAGTCTTTCCATCTTCAGTGGCAAATGGTCGTAATACAATTTGAATTTATACAAATACGCCATCGGGTTAAGATGTAAGAATATGCAGTTGAGATCAGTAAACTTCTTGAATAAAATACAACGGTTGCACGGAAAGGCAATAGTGATATTTTGAAGTAACAGAGGAAAACCAAAACAATACTACTGAAGTAATAAGAAAAATTAAATATGAACTAGGATCGAAAAAAAAAACTGAGATAAATCTAAGTAACAGTCTCCCATAAATAGTCGTCCTCGCTTACCTTGATTGCAAGCGCTTGTAAATGCGAAGCCAACACAAGGTGTTCAAGGATGCGTGAATAAATGCAGCGATTGGTCTCACCAACTAGCAGACATGACCGTCAGCACAGGTGAATTGGTTGACGAAACGCAAACGTACACCATGCGGCACGTAATCTTTCACGCTAGACATATTTCTAACCTTAAAAGTAGAAAAGGCTCACTCAATATTTAAATTGATTTTTGTATCAAAGTTTGAATGGTTATCCCACTTAATTGGCAATCACAATTTTGCGACAAGCGTCTTTGTGAAGGTATACTGAATTAACCAACTTAACAAACGCCCGTTAATGCACGGCTAAGAAAAATGAGAACATTTGATTTGTTATTATTTGCAGGCATCGTTTATAATTTGACACTGGAGTTGACAAACACTGCATATGATGATAGTTTAAGTACTTCACATGCCGCCGAGTTCATTGCACTTAGCGCAGATTTTGAAGTGGGAGTAAGTTGATTGACTGAGACTATATTTGTTTCCACAGAAATTCAATACACTCTTCTTTCTCCTTTGATTAATGTCTGATCATGACTTAAACTTGTCGTCTGCAGAGATGTTGATTGTACAGCTAACTACAACTGGACGTGCTCTTTTTCCAGATTTTGCAAGTGTACGAAGGATATACCTTCTTCGCTGGTGTCACAACTCTTCGATATAGGTATTGAAATCAAGCTAGTTTAAAAACTACGACATGTTAATTCACGTAAATATTTGCGCTGTAATGGCAATACCGATCATAGACGTCTCCATATACGTCTCCATATCGCTTGGCAAGTTGGCCATTGTCTGAGATGTAACAGACTGACTTAGCACATAGCTGTACTCGAACCATTTCAATTTAGGCAACCGATAAAAGAATTATCTTAAGGAAACGTCTTTCGAATGCTTGACAAATAAGGACATTTCAACTTTTGACCTAATTCCACCTCATATTATGTTTTTGTTCCACCTGAAGTTCTGTTCAAACTCATACTCTCCACGAAGTAATTGATAGTTTTGGAAAAACTGTTTCTTTTAGAAGTGTCTCAGCTGTTGCTACTTTTCATTAAAACAGCCCAGCACCAGATGGTATGACTATCGTGCATTTTGTCCTTGAGTTCAACACCCTTGACGCTCATCTTTCAATCCTGACAAAAGCCCTAACCTTCGGGACCCTGGGGAAGTTTGTTTCACTTTCTGTTGCCACGAAACTGAGTCAGATTGGTGAGTCTTTTGGACATTTATTGAATTTTTTGGTGATCTCGAATTATCCTACATTTACTTTCCACGAGACTAAAAAGTGACGGAAGATGATTCCATTCATCCTTTAAATTATCTTTTACAATCACTTACGCCTTGGCTAAATTTTCTTTGACAGAAGAGTCCTATTGATAAAAATTTTTCATCGCCCTTTCTCTTTTTCAGCATGCTACGAGGCACCAGCTCCATCAATCTGTCCAATTCCGTGCCCATCACTGTGCGCTCCTTCCTGCTACACCAGCTGCTGTCAGAAGTACCAATACCCTTAATGACCACATTCCGTCGTTTAGTCCTCTTCTTCGTCAGTCAGCGAGATGCCTAGCTTGTTGTGTCACAAACTAAATCGTACCACGAAAATTAACTTTGACTAATTTATGAATGAAAAATTTACAGTGTTATGATGTAAAGTTTTGATTTATTACTAAGCACCTAGCTTTCTTTTGAGAAATATGCTGTCTTGTAATGAGCTTAGGGAATGAATTACAGGAAAAACATACTTATAACAAAGAGAGCTTGTGACACATTTTAAATATGCTCTATGTTACTGCTTGGTAAGAAAAAACTCTTACGACTCTCTTTGTCCCACCTTTGCGATTCAAATTGCTCATTTTAAGGTGGAAAAATATTGAAAGCTTTTCCCCTTCTTCAATATCAATAAAAGCATTCGCAATTGATATCTACAGGAAGTCTTTTTTTGCGAGGAATTACTCGTTGTCAATGCTAGTATTGTCATTCGAATGAAGTAAGAGGTCAAAAGTTTGGGTCGGAAACTAACATTTTGGGGTATATTCATATTAATGAAAATCGTCAATCAAATCATATCATTTGAAATATTGTTTTAGTCAACTTTTAGCCTTTTTTTTTAGTTGGTGAAGATCATGGCGTTGTATGTCTTCTTTACGGATTATCCTGGGTTTTTTCCTTCCAATAACTTTCCTTTTTAAGTACAATAGAGACTGATAAACTCTGGTATTACAACATTTGAAGGAGCATCTTGGAGCACATGCAGATGGGCAAGGAGGAGGGCACTGATTCATGAGTACGGGCTGTGGAGCGTAGAGTGGCGCGGGATGATGCATAGGCTTCATAACACAGCAGGCGCGTGGACAAACTGCAGTACATGACATCTGACACTGCGGTGTGCAGACTAAGGGTATCAGCGGCTGTTCGTGGCAACCTTTAAGATAATATAAAGTCGTGTGTGTTTGTTTTTAATCTAAGGTCTTGCGTCCTCCTTCCGTATCTGTTTTAATTAGGCGAAATAGACGTAGATGGCCGAATGTGAGAGGATTAACTTGAACATCTTCTGATTACTTTTTAAAAAGAAACAACAAGAAAATCAAGAGGGTTGAGAAAAGTATGACGATACAATATTTCATTATACATAACTTAGAAAATCAGTTTGTAGGTGCGACTCCTGTCAATTATTGAATATTTCTACCGTAGAGACTGTGAAGGCTTCACAGTCTATAGATTCTGGCTAATGTCATTTTGACCTTCGGCGTACTCCTGCTATGTTGTTGCTCGTTTTATGACTCAGATGGTTTTGCAGGCTTGGTTGAGGGGACTTTATATGGATACTTAGGTCCCGTTATGTATAGTGATGCGTAAGTATCTTTTGTGACTTGGTTGTAACTAATTAAAAAAAGTGATTTAAAAGACAGTGTCTAAATATTCCCTTATGTTTAAATGTGCGGGGTGAAAATTATATTGATATTACACCAAAGGCCTTTACAAAGGTTTACACGTTTATTACCTAAACGCTTTTTCCTGTCTGCCAAGATTTTTGAAAGAACGAAAGCTACTTATTTCATAAAGCTTGGAGGGGGGGGGGGTTTATTTTACAGTCACGCTAGTCCTGATCTCAAGTCTTGTTACGTACAACTTATCTAGAATTTTAAGATTATTTTCATTTCATATGTACCTGTATTTCTTAGCAACGAGCCAGTAGTCTTTCTAGATATTGTGGGTGACGTCTGACTTGAAGGCAAAGAATTGGAAGGCGTGTTTCTCGCTCGGGTACCAGTAGTAGCTTTGGTGGCTGTTATGGAAAAAAGTAAGGGCCACTATATTAATGGGCAGAAATTTTGATTTTACACTAACATTGGCTAATAATGTGTGAGTCAATCCGCTGAGAGAAACTACAAAAACTGTTCATTCAAGAGAGGGCCAGTCCATCTTTGATGATGAACTTTTCGTTTTGTAGCACCGGTCCTAAGAATACTCCCTGGTAGAACATGGAGAAAAAGGCACTCTACCGGAAGAGTAGGAGACTGGAGTTCAGGTTCCTGTTTCTCAAAAGTCCCATATGTTAGCGGTCCCGAAAGATGGCTTTTTATCGCCGCCTTCACTGACTCTATTCTTGAAATTCAAAACGCAAGAAATGTCGTACAAAGAAATCGAATTCGCTAGTTTTGAGGCAAGATCAAGGTTCTAAAATATATGGTAAGTTTTTGGTTATTTCGAGAAAAGGACTCCTTCAGCCCAGTACTGTTATAACCCCCAGTCCGCCACCACTTCTCTGCCATTAATTATCCCTGAAGATATGTGACGCTTCATCAGACTCACCTTTTGTTACCGAAATTGTACCCTTACTGTTTGGCAAGCGGCGTGATGTTAATTTTTTTGTCGTTGGATTTGTCAGTTTTGTTGTGGAGGAACTCGGCCAGTAGGTGCTTGTTCCAGTGGTGGGAACTGTGATTCCTGAGACTGATAAGTTGTAGAAAGATACCGAATGAGATGCGAGTCACCAATGTAATGAATTTACAAACTCAACGTTTAAAAGCAGTGTAATTTGAACATATATCGAGCTCTTTCAGGGAGCAAGGGACGTTGAATAACCTTGAGGTGCTCCACGATTAGCAACTGGCTTAAATGAAAACGTGTGGTTCAATTTTCTCATCTCAAACTTACTTTTAGGTCTATGTGTTGCTTGTGTTTTTAAGACCCTCTTCGGTGTAGAATTGTTTTTTTCTATCTTCTTGTAAGTGGCACTTTTTACAGTGGCTGAGGTCCTTCGAATCGACGGCAGTTTGGTTGGTCTCGAAGGAAGGCCTGATTTGGATCGTCCTATTTCGTCGTAAGGAGAAAATTTTGCATGGTAATGAGATCATCTGCATGGAAAAAAAACTAATTTGTCTCCCCAGTTATTTGCTGTCAAATCACATAACATGCAATTTTTATTTGAAGTAAGTTGGACTTGCGGTAACTTTGAAAACTTACGGTTTGTACCCTGGCTTGTCCCTTTCTTTGAAGGTGTCCTTGGTTGTGAGGTATTCCTTGTCGGACGTGTTGGTTCAGGAGTTTTCTTTGGAGTAGAACATGATGAGGATTTGCTCGCTAGACAAATTAATTAAGTGGTTACTTTCGACAATAGAGTCACAGGAATAAAACGAAAACATAACCGGGCTAAAATAGAAAACTTTGGCGGAAACAGCGACATAGGTTATTTTAGAAACGCTGGCTAAATCAGCACTGACATGAAGGTGAATCAATGAACTTTATTACTTGAATTATGCATTTTGTTTTCATTTTCTTAGTTGTTCTTTCTTACTTTTCCACCATAATTTTAAAAAGGTACATGGATATGTCTATACTAACACTTTCCTAACTGATAGACAAAGAGTGTATTCTCAGTTCCAGTGCACGGTTGTTCTCCACATGTTAGATCGCATGGTTCGTATTTTGTAGTAAAACATTGTCTGGTCGGCCCATCTCTGTTGTATGTTTCCAGACCACCGTCTCCAGAATAACACTCAGCTAGTCAGCAATGGAGGGAAAAACGAAAACGATTCGAATTTGCAACTTTTATTATATTTTTTAGGAGTACTATGCTTTAATTAGAATTTTCTTACGTTAGGTGGAGTTAGCATTAAATTGGCAAGCCAAATAAATGATACACTTTCTTTCACTTCTGCTATAACTTACTAGGTTTGGAATGAGGCCGTGAATATTTACCATTATCTGACAAGTTTGGCTACTTTGCTTCAATTGTGCCTTCTTCACTTGGCAGTTTTAAATCATTCAAACTCATTCTATACGATTCTTTCCTAAAAACTGATATCATATTAATTTCTGTACTTTTGTAACTGAGTTTTATGAATTAAATTTATTTAAGGTTTAAAAAAAGTTTTCCATTCTTCAGAAATACTTCATCATCAAACATCGTTTTACTGTGGTGTGAATGAAGAGAAAAATAGGGAGAAAATCGATAGTAATGATTAGTAATGTCACTTAAAACAAGAGGTAACTGAATGAGTGTATTATTACCGAAATTCTCTATGCCAAACACTTGGTAACCCAATTTCTTGCTTTGTGATGCACAGCGTTGTATTAAATCATCAAGATAGAGTCGACTAAAATTCTTTCGAATATATTTTTTGCCACTGTAACGCGGAGAGGTCTCGTTACGATCCGTAAATAACAGTTCCGCAAGAGGTCTTACTTCTTGCCAGTTGTCCCTGTAACAACCCAACTTATTGTACTCAATACCTGCCGACACATAAGAAAAAAATAATGATATGTTAATTTGATATGACATTTTGCATTCGCATGCTAACATTCCTCACGCTATCAGGCGGTGTGCGCACTCCGATTGCTTTGCATTGTGGTAGCTTCATTTTCAATATGGCGGTGAAAGCGGCAGAAATCGGCAGATTTTGACGGAACATTCTGTAAAAGTTAGGCCGCTCCTTTTTCCTTTCACCGTAGGTAAATATAACCTGATTTGTTCTGAACGTGTAAAAATATTTTTTAGTACGTATTTGTCGCGTATTCTATGGTTCTCAAGGACAAACGCAATCACTGTTTTTTTAGTATGTAATTTGAGACCAGTTTTCGAGAAGGTCAAATTTGATGTACGTCGTAGTTTGGAGCCTTTCAAAGATTTGGATGGCCGCTTTGATCCTTCTTCAACAGCTCTGACTAAACGCTCTCAAACGCTCTCCAAAGGTACATGTGTTTCGCGCATTTTAAGTGCTAGTGTTTGAGATCGATTATGACCAAGAAAAGGCCTATTGTTGCGTTACACAGCGTTACTATTGTATACTCAATTGTGTCGTAAATCTACTTTCCTAAGTAAAAGCAAATTAACTAATCGCGAGTGTTGTATGGTAAATCTACTATCTTGATCATTGAATGAAGGACAGTTGAATTAGAGCAATGAAAGAAGTCACTTGACCACTGAATAACTCTACAGTGCACGCGGCGACACGCCGGGTAAGCCGGAAAGCAAAATGCAGTCGATCGTGAAAAGGTGTTGATAGACTTGTGAGACTCCTGCCATTCGCTTGCGCTTTTAAATCTTCTGACCTGAAAACTTAGCTGTTATTAAGATATCTTTCAATTACTTTCCCTTGCGATGTGATAATAAGGGTTAGTTTTAAGGTGTAATTTCCCTGTCTGTATGTTCTTGAGGTTTGGCAAGGCCAAATGAGATTGTTACAAAAGGTAATATTTTCATGTGTGCGCGCTATTTTCTTTGTTTTCAAGTATACTGTTTCTACCGCAGAAGATAACTCCAGAGATACGGTTTTCAAAACCTTATTTTAAGTATTCTCTATTCTTTTAAGCATATTTGAAAATCTGTATGTTTTTTTTTTAAAGGTTGAGCGTGACGAATTTGGTCTTGTAAGGCGTAACGCTTCTCCTTTTGCGAATCCCATATTTACGCCTTTAAGTGTATGACATGAAAAATAATTCGTGTATAAGAAGGTAGCTGTCTCTTTGTTATGAGTTTGCATGTCAAGGGTTGATTCCCTATTAAATTACTCGCGAATATGATATTATTCACACAGCCATCGGCTGTGAGTGTAACTGTTGCCAAATGAATAGATTCTTGGGCAAGGCTGCAGTTTCGATTCTTTCTGAATCTCTTCAGTTGCCTCCTAACAACGAATTTTTCACGGAGGAATAACAGAAGTCGCGCAGGCCTGCCAACACTTTTTAACTTTCGAAGGAATGGCAACAGGCAGTGAATCCCCATTACATTCCACGTTTATTCGCACTATCTTGCTGCCACCAGAGATGTTCACTCGACCGCGACAGGATGTAAATGACTCACTTTTCGTTTTACAACCATGATGCAACGTAATTAGAGTGCGCACACCGCCTGTCACGCTATTAATTGATGTTATTAATGCTAATACTTCTTCCAGGCGGAAGCCACTTTCCCTTCGTGTAACAGCACAGAATCCCGCAATCCCGTATCGATTTCAAGCATATTAAAAAAAAAAACAAAATATATATATATGTAAAGAATAGAAAGTTCTTATACTGGTTTTTTTTGGGAAATATTTTAGCAGAGAAGTAAGGTTAGTAATTCAGTAGAATGCGATGGCTTCACTGGAAGCCAATCATATTGATAAATGTTAGCTTTTATTGGAAATCATAGCCAATACATATTGTGAAATGAAACCGATGTGTAGACAGAGAAGTGAAAGTATTGTGAAAAGGAAAAATCTGCTGCAGTTAAAAAAAAAAAAACGATATTTACCCTCGACATAAAAGGAGGTAATGACGCAAACAAGCTCTATAACCGCCCAATTAGGTGCCCAGTGGACGCTGCTCATTTCTTCATACGACTGCCGGTAGGCTAGTATCCCTTCTAAACTTAAAAGCAAAAAGGTAAGCAAAATTCAAGATCCTGGTACCCATACTAGCTAAATGCTGAGTTTTTGAGGGATGAATATCGGCCATCATTCGAGTAAAAGCAACTGCAAATTTAGCAACGAGTCGTTTTTTTTTCTTTTGTAATCACTTAATTTTTTTCACGACAAAAGATAAAAGGTGACAACAATTACGTATTCTAGAAATTGCTTTTTTTTTAGTATAATAGACTCTTGCACATTATGTTTCATATTTAACCTGGTCATACAGTCAATATAACACCAACCTTCTAATAGTTTACACTGACGACTTTGTCTTCTCTTGATATGGCAGAATCATAACTATCAAATGATCAGTTTCTTAACCATGAACACACTTCAGAGAAATGAGGCCTCATACGTCATATAGTATTTCCTTGAACAAAATGAAGTCAACCAGCATGGGATAGGCGTTCCCGCTGCCGAAAGGTATTGATTACGTACCAAATGCTGGAGCGCAAAATTGTTTACTTAGGAAAGAGCGTTATCAAAAAGACAACTTCGTTGCTTCTGAGAACCTAAAATCTGTCTTACTATAAAGATTTGTTCCATTTCATGACACACTCATTCACTTACTTCAAAACATCATCCTCCGTCACATGTGCAAGTCACGAAAGAATATGGCAACTGGCGGCAGTGAAATTATAGAATATATTTTATACCACGTATGATCGCGAATATATTCTCCGCATGTTTTCCGACGGAACCATTGATTTTCGGACTCGTGGTAAGAATTGTCCTCTGAGATGGGAAACATGACAAAAGCTGTTGTTTGATTTGGTCGCTGGAAGGCTAGCCGTGAAGCTCTGCGTGAACCTGGAGCTTACAGAACGCGCACCACACATGTTGTCTCTTGTCAAACCAACCTAAATGTAAACGGGCAGGTGCCGGAATTCCTAAGATCTCTCATGTGGAAACAAAAAAACATTTAGCAAGGGGTAAAAACATGCAACGAGAGTTCATGGAAGTCGATATTTTTTATGGGGGTTTTAATCGAAGTTGGTTGGAAAACTGTGTGTTAATGTCTGTTTGTGCAGTTGGAAGCTCTGGAATAGCGCAATAACGCATGTTGAATTAAGATATTGATTTGTAACTTGTTTCCGGACAGAACAAAGCATTTGTCTTTTCTGAGATAAAGAATAGACATGATTGGTTGAATGGCCGCTCTTTTGCCATTTCATAAAAAATCAACTGGTTGTGCGCGAAAATCTAACTTTAATTTCAATTAAGATATTTTGATCAAATTATCGCTTCCAAAGTGAATGTGAAATGAAGGGTAATGAAATGAATTAATTGCTTTAAACGCTCTGTTGAGTCTAAAGTTTATAACTGGTATATAATCGAGCAAATATTGTTCCGTGTCTGACGCCGACAAACTGATTTTCGAAATGCACTAGCTCCCAGGGTCTTTGGGTGCCGATAAATGGAGAGATGTTATGTGGCTTATCTAGGGACATACCGCTAAACCAAGTCAGTATAAAATTAATCTTTCTAGCGCAGTATATTTCTGGCTAAAATGTTGAAACGCCTGGGCAGACTTAGAATTTTGTTTTCTCTCCTAATCTAAACAAGGAATATCAATGAACCTCGTTATTTCGGTTTACAATTTGTTACCTTGCAAACAAACAAAAGGAAAATTAAACAGTCAACCCGTTTCGAATAAAATTAGTCAGACCTGCGGTGCTCTCCTCATTAGACCTTGGTGAGGACCTCCTTCATGTCATTGCTAGCGGCTACCCCAAATAAACGATCACACTGCAAGACCAATATAACGTAGAAACTTCATGCCTATTTTATAATTTAACACCCTTTAACTCTAGGTGTTTGAAGCTTTCATTCCGCCTAAAATGTATATTTTAGGGTAACATTTCAACAAAAGTTATTGAAAGGAACTGGTTCTTGTTGCAATTCTACACTTAGTTAAGGCTCTAATCAACTTCAAAAGGCGCAAAGAATAACGGTTATTTCTATGTTAGAGTTTTCAGGAAACCTTAACCTTTCTGTCAATTAATTTGCCTGATTTTTGTTCAACTCCTTATGTTTCTTTTTATTTTTTGGATTATTTCTATAAAGAGTAGCCTCATATTTCCTCCTGTCCTTGTTATTCTGCACTTGATGTCGTTTCCTGTACATGTCCTGTTGCTTCTGCGCACGGTAAATCGTATAACAACAAACAGGAGTACAAGATGGTGCACAGATTGCTCCACACGGCGCAGTACATTGAGCCAGGGGTGAATAGGGTAAGTTTTTAGCGGACGCTTCAAAAGAATATCCGACTGATGCTACTGAGGTCGAGGTTATCGTCGTGCAGCAATTTGGTGTACAGGTTGGACTACACGTCACATTGCACCCGGGGGAACAAAGCCAGGATGACACTTGTTTGTGATCGGGATCAGGGTTGTATGGGTTACCGTAAGAAGTTAAATGAAGAGGAGTTGGCCCAAAGACCTGTTCATAGCAACCTGCAAAATTAGTAATTGTGTATCAAAGGACCTACAGTTGCCATAGTGAAACACCTTAATCGATTGATCAATTCCTCTTGTAATCCCACATTGAAACCAATGCCTTCAAAACGATTTCAGTCAAACAGAATGTTGGCCAGGGATTTCATTGGCACACATTCCACAAACAACTATTCCACGAAAAAAAAAGCTGTCTCGGTATTTCGGAGCGGACTTTCCTTAATGTAATGATGGTAATCCAGAGGTAAAATCATCAATTTATCATAAATCATAATAGCTATATGGATATTATCACTTTTTACTAGCTAGCTTACTTTGGGTTTGTATTCATAAGGAGTGCCAAGAAATGAGATGTGACACAATACGAAGCTGTCTTACCACAGTCTCCTACTGCTGGGAACACTTTTAATCGGCCAAACTTCTGTGTGCTCATCTTTTTTACGAGAGCTTTCAAGTGCTTGGTTTTGTTTTTGAACTTGAGAAGTATCGTTGAAACTACTTTCATTTCAAAGCCAGAACTAAACGAAAGCAAAAAAGAAAACAAAAACGACTAATAGTCAAGCAAACAATAAGATTCCACATTTCTAAAACGATTGCGGAGGCTCATTAGTGGTGTCTAGATTAAGAACTGTAAATAAAAACTCCAGATTAAAATGTGTTTCCAGATCTATCGTTTTATCAGGTTATTCGGACTCTCCAAAGTTTGTAAATATTCATAAACCCTGAAGAATTTATCACTGCTCGAAACTGTCGCTATCAAGTTTGCAGCTGATTTACCGGAATAGATGGTTCAGAGGAGATTCATAAGAAAATGATTGCAATGCCAATTCAGATTGACGCACAGAATAAGTTGTCATAAAATTCAGTTTATCTGCGTGGAAATCCACAACACGAAGTCCTCGAATTCAATTGAGTCTGAGCCTTCTTGAGAAGTAGTTTGAAATTGCCAAAATCCACACAGTAGTTCATTCGCTTACCTAAACCTGAGAACTTGCACCTCCTGAAATTGTTCGTCGCCGTCATACGCTTGTAGAATCTAAAAATTAGTTATAAGTCCACTTCGATGTTTGAAGTTAGTGAATTGTCTTTATACCATGTGAATTAGAAGAACTGACACTAACAAACAACTAACAAATTCTCTCACTGACTAGCTGACAGCCTGACAAGCCGACTAAATCAACTACAGGCCGACTGACCGACTACCCGACAGACTGTCTGACTGATTAACTGGCTAACTGATGAGCGACGGACAGACTGATTGAATGATCGACTGGCTGGCTGAGTGTCTGACTTCTTGACTGACTGACTGACCGACCAGACGACCAATCGAATGATTGACCGTTCTTCCGTGGTAATAAACTTACTCTGACAAACTGATTAGCTAGTCTAATTGCTGTCTAAGTGCATATCATTAGCCAGTAGGAAAACTATCTATCTTATGGTTGTCTGAGGCTGCTAAGTTATCGGATTAGCTTACTAACAAACGTTACACGAATTTTCGTCAGAGGTAATTTGGTATTTAGCATCGAACCAAAACAAGAGAAGGCAAGGTACTCAAATTTCCAAAAACGATTGTAAACAAAAAGGAAAGATATGACACTACATTGACTGAAATTTAGAACAGATACATACCCCTAACTCAATATTTCGCCTGTAGTCCATAAATTCGAAAGACTGGTAGTTCTCTAATTCGGCAGTGTACCTTACATCATCCAAAAGAATCGTCAGACTGTAATAAGAGCCTGTCAGTTACATTAAAATATATCAGTAAATTAAATTTAGATTTTCATTTTGTATAGACGAAAGCCACAATCAAACGTGTGTATACTTACAAAATAATATTAAAAATCTGTACTTAAAGAATACAGCCATCCAACAGTATCAAAAGGCATTCTTCCATGAAAAGAAGGAAAATCACTAAATATGATTTCAGATAAGGCGCAGTTAAAATAAATAAAAACATGACTGATAGTCTTCGCACTGCACATGATGTTAAGAGTAATGAAGTTCACAAAGTAACAAGACTGCGATTCGTCCAGCCAGTCTGATTTGATATCTCCGCACTGTCACTATTTTGTTCTCTTTTCTAAATACATTTAACTAATAAATGCTAAATACGTACATTTAAGCTCCAGTATGCTTGACTTGTAGGACTTAGCAATTTTCAGAACTTTTTTCCGCATCATTTTTTCACTGACAGCTTTTCGCCAGGATTTTTCCATGTTAGACTTGCGACGTTTACCGAATGCTTAAAAAAAGTGAGATCATTGTTATTGATATAAATATTGATGGAGGCTAACTAAGAAACATAATTCAATTCATTCAATTGGAAGACTCCAAATCTTGGTTGACGGTTCGTTACTTTTCAATCTCGGCCGTGTAGTATTCTTGAGGAAAAACTCACTAATTTAATGTCTAGAAGGCCCAATTTCCAAGGTTTTCCCGCGTCCAGTGCAGCACTTCCTCGGGTTATCAAGCACGGACGTAGCAAGGATTTTTCAAAAGGGGGTCAAACCGTGACGATTGTCATGATAACCTCCACGCCGTGTTTTATTTAAAATGCGAGAAGAGGTGGGGGGGGGGGGGGGGGGGGCGGGCGGGCGGGGTACTGGCACCTAAGGCCCCAGCTACGCCCTTGTCGGGTCAGCATAACTTCTAAAAGCGTCTGGAAAGATTACATTAGTCAGGTCATGGAAATTTTTACTTATGTGGTTGCATTAAGAGATTTAGTCAGATTTAGTTAGGGCGTAGCAACTGAGCTAAACACTGTCTCGCCATGGGATCTGTCAAAAATTGTCGATGAGCGGTATCATTAGTTCCATACTGGGATTTCTCCCTCTAGCGAAGCCCAAAATCAAACAACTAAAAAAATTATTATTTGTTTCTTGTTGGTGAAGCTCACCTGTCATTTTGAAAACAAAAATCGTTTTTTCCTCTCCAACACAAAGTTCTGATTTGTCCTGACAAACGCCGAAGTTTTTAGTGGTGCATTGACTGCTTAAGAAAGACTCACTAAAGGTTGGTGCATGATCATCAGTCGAATAGCATTCTCCTAAGATAAGACAACAGAGATTTATAAGCATCTCGGGTAAAGAACACTTAACAGCATCAACATATTGAATTACAGTAGGGAATGGAACGATACTAGACTTAGATCAAATAGGACAGACCACCGTCACAAAGCCCGCTAATGTGATAGAACTTCAGCTCATTTAGAGAAACTATAAAGTTATCTGAGAAAATTGGTTTAAGTTATCGAGTAAACACAGAAGAAATAATCTAAAACAAATTTGATCGAAGAAGTTAGCCTCGCGTTTCTTATGTTCTACCAAATCTGAGATGCTTACCATAATTCTGCAATCCAAACGCAACATATCCCTTCACCTTTGTTGCCTTTGCACATCTACACGCCAAATCTGGAAGGTAGTTGTTAAATTCTTGGAAAGCGTACTTAATACCACTCCAAAACTTAGAAGACGTGTCACGGTCTGTAAAGAGTACATCAGACATAGGACGGCGCTCTCCAACCGTCTGTTTGTAGCACCCTATTCTTTCGAAAAGTATGTCGTCACATGTTTGAGCTGTCAAAAGAAAATCATATTCAGTCGATACAACATTCAGCGAGGAATGTTTATTTCAACGAACATAGCTTACGGTTAACGGTTGTTCTGACTCCATGGTAGTTCTGTTTTTTTACCTTGTGCTTGCAATGAGATTAAAGAAATCAAGTTGATTATAAAAACTATTCCAATGTTGAACAGCTTTTCATGACCGGGCACCATGCCTTGAAAGACCTGTGAAAGAAAGTTCTTCGCTTGAATTTGTTTGACATGGATATAACATAAAATTTATAAATTCGATGGAAATGATGAGGAAGCGCCTCTTCTTCAGTTCCGACAGCATTTTGCAAACATTATTGAGGTTTTCTAATAAGCAGTCTTAATTAAATATATTGTCACAAGAGCTGAAGTTATTTCAATAACGAACAAGGAGAAAATAATAAAAACCCGTTATAAGCAAGGCTTAAGTTCTTACGCTTACGGCGTTAGTGATATGAAACATGCCAAAGAAATCTTCAAAAATCAGACCATAATATGATGTCCTCCTACAAACCTTAGCAGTAAAGAAAATTAAGCGACAATGATCAAGCTCCTGATGAGCTTTGTCGAGCCGGTGTTTCAAACTATCGATCAATTTGAACGAAGTCTCTGTTAATTAAGCGTAAGATTCTTAATCTTAGGTGTTCGTTTTGTACCATTGTCTTGGTTTTTATCGTTGACTGAACACTTAGTTTAAATTCCTAAATGTAGCCCACCCACTGACCCTACTCAATGAGTTTAAATTGATATGCACGTCATCAGACACTCAACTCATCTTACCTTTAAATTGGACAAAATCTCAATATTTTTCTAGTACCGATATTTCATTTGTATTTTGCATCTCAACCCAGAGAGAGGAAGATAAATACATTGGTACCATTACTTGATCTGGAAACATTGTTGATCTTATGTCGGCTATTTGATTGATATGAATTTTAATTCATGCTAATATTTCATATGACGAAAAAAGGGGAAAAATGTCAACCAGTTCTAAATTAGTAAACTATTCTCTTGTACATAATATGGCTACCAGTATGCTTTGAAATCCAAGCAAATTGAGAGGTAGATCAAGCGGTTGTATTTAAACTTAATAGGAAATGGGGAAGTTGCCAATTCGTAAAACAAGTTGCACGAACCACTATCTGAACTATTTTACGCAAGTTTTCACCTCTGGCGGAGAAATTTCTCGTCAAAAATAGGATCATTTTGTTTAGGTGGGTCTCCTTTGAGGTTCTCTATTGAGATATAAAAAACATTTTATTGACACCGGCACCTGCCGAAATATGCAAATTAATACTAACCTACAGCTCCACTGTGACTCAAAGCTGTGCACACAATGAAACCCACGGTATCTAATGCAATGATTGAACCATTCTGGCAGTTGAAATCTGACTTTATTTCACTACTCAGTCTATACAATTCTACAATCGCTAAATTCCATTCTTGAGCTCTAAGGCTGGATAAAATCTGTACAGTTTGTACAGGATCATTGACGAGTGATGTCGACTCTGTTGAACAGTGATAGTGAACTTTTGGATTAGTAGATTTATTTTGGTCAAAACTACATCAATAGACAACACTATTTAACAAGTATTCACCACCCGAGTCATAGTGACTGCGAAGGGAATCACTCGAAGGTCATTTTAATTTAGATATGACTCATCCTCATTCAGCTGTCGAGGAGAGCTTATTTCCACAACCATCATAATAGTTGTATTTTATATGATTTACAGGAGAAACCATATCTAAGAGATTAGTCTTCTTGAGTAGTCACTTAAGTCAGTTCCCACTAATCAATTTTTTGTGTCCATGCTAAGTTTAGTTTGTAATGAAACAAATAGTTAGTGTTAATTTTGGTTGATGAATCGAACAGCGCATTCTGAACACAACGTTGACGACAAACTAATTGTTCTGTGGAAAACTATTTAAACGTTTCTATTTTCAATCAAGTTTTTTTGTTTTGTTCGACTCTTTCTTTAGTACCACAAAATTACTCCGGAACGTCCGTTAACAAATAGTTTAATCTGGTAACAAAAATGCCGTCTTAAGAGAGATCGTTAGCTTGTTTAGGCGAGAGAAAGTAAAATTGATATGTGGAAGGGACTCGTTACCTTAAGTCCTCTACAGATGGTGCTAACCTCCGAAAACTGGTCAGCTAGTAGAAGAGTGACTGTAATAATTATTATCTACCTACGTTACGTCTGAACATGCCAGACAAAGACTTACTAATGTTTCTCCTCCTGGAGAGCCTCTTTCTTTAAGGTTTTTTTAATATCTTCATTTCGCTTAGAGTTATAAAACTGGCAACAGATTGGTGAGCATATTGGTGCACAGCTTGGAGAGCACCTCGAAGAACATTGGGAACCGGGCCAGCTCAATGGCTGTGACATCGGATACGGAGCTCGTGGCGGGGGAATGGTGGCTTGGCCAGTTATTTGTATATTCCATTGTCGCTGCGGAGGTTGATAAACTTGAGGGCTGGGCGCCATAATTGCAACAGGCTGTGGTGGCGGGGGAGGTGGAGGAGGCAAGGGTACAGGAGCGGGCTGATAAACTGGTTGAGGCGCGGCTGGGGCAGAAACGGACGGTTGACAACAAGAATGAAGACATGCGGGTGCACAAGTCGATGGACAGGAACTGGGACATTGGGTGATTGGAGTATCTGGATAACAGCCTAAATTTGACGAGACATTTAACGTTATTTAAGATCTAAAACGGATCTATCCGATGCACTTTATATTAGGACCGGACGTGAATACCATTTTATACATTTTCTCAGGCACAAACTCTCCGCTCCCTCTGAATCTTGTACTACCTTGAGGACCATTTCAAATTCTGGGCTTGTAACAAGATCTCTTTCATGTTTTATTTTTGCTATGGATCGAGAGGTCTGTTCAAAATAGTTCGATCATCATAAACCTTTCCAAATTAACTCAATGTGCACACTCCCTGAAGAGAATCATAGAATATATTGTTGACAACAGACCGAGAAATAATTTAAGTTAGAATTTGCATTACCTGCTGCTGAAACATTTCCTGGTCCAAGACCATCCAGCAGTTTTCCAATGAATTTTCCATTCGCTCTGAATCGTAGGAGAAAATAAGCCTTTACTCCACTTGGTTCCTCTGAAGAACTGTAAAAGACATTGATCGATAATCTTTCAGCTTTAGTTTGCAAATTTACACTTGTACAAGTCAGGGTTTAACGAGAGCAGGTTAATCAGTGCACTGACTTAATTTGAAGCTGCACTGAACTTCATATGATACATTACTTACCTAAATTTGTTAAAAAAAGCCCCTCTAAAGTCTTTATTTTCGTCAAATGCTCTTAGCACCTGCGAGGCAACAAGAAAATTATTATTATCATCAATTGAATAAAGACAATATAAGCATACACTAAAACAATATCACACGTTTGGCTGATATACAGGGATATATTTCAATAAACTATTGTAGAAGCAGTTGTATATAAAGACCATTTTTATCAGGCTTGCATTAGAGTGTGGGACAAGCGGCAGCTTGTGATCTTGATTAACGAGCTAGGCTATCGATCAAGAGGTCTGGGATAGAGCCAAATCGGGTCATTTCGTTCTATTTAGCAAGACAATTCACTCCCTAAGAGCTTCTCTTCATCCAGAGTATCATCGAGGAATAGCAGACCACTGGGAATCCTATCCACAGTGAAGAGAGAGGCAGGAAGCGGCAAGCAGGAGACCCTGCATTAGAAAAGCCTTTACTAGACTTCACATACCTTGAGTTCTGTTGCTCTTCTAGTCGCCTGGTAGTTAGCATTTGATGGAAAAAGGAAATCATTGTCCCATGGTAACCCAGTTTTTATTTCAACGATGAAGTTCTTGCCTAGAGAAAGGATAGTACGGACAAAATAATCGACAGTTTAAAAAATTAAAACTTCGAGAGTCCTCAGGCTAACAACTCTTAACTGGATTTGCTTATCACCAAGAGGCTTATAAACTAATCTCTAATTGAATTTGAGCACTTAGGTAACGCAATGAAACGGTTAACTCATTCTTACAGGTGAGATTTCTTAATTCGTCGTCTTTGGGCAAAGCGGACTTGTTGCTTGGATCTCTGAAGGATGGTTTATCGGCCGGCTTAGCAATTGGAGCCATCAAAAGTTTAGAGGCAGATACAGGTCTTGACGGCGGTTTAGATGGTGTCTTAGTATCGAAAATGCTTGCTGCTGCCAGCGAACCTTTAAAAAGAGGCCTGCCTATAAGTATGAATGATTTAAAGTAATAAGAGATCAGGCGGAAGAAAGAAGAGTAATGTTTTTTCGTCTCGAGCGTGAGACAAACTTAGACTTTTCTTACCTCTGTAGCCTGAATTAGAGTCACTTTTGACGATTCATTTAAATCGCCATGCCAGTGCAAGTTCGAATTTTCCTTCTATAACACGCTCATCGTGTACTAATGGCTTTAAAGAAACGATTGTCTAAACAAAAACGTTGTATGGTGCTTGCCTGGCCTTCGCTGTTTTCTTTTTAATGTTTTGATTTGTTCTGTTTTGTTTCATATTCTATATTATGTTTTGTTCTTGTTTACGTTCTTGTCTTTATTTTGTTGTTTGTTTGTTTTGTTTTGTTCATTTTTACTTATTTTGTCACTTCAACTCGATCTGACCTTTTCCGATCTTTATAGGTTCATCCTGATGTTTCTGCGTTGGCTTCAACTGCATCGTGTTGTAATCGTCATCTGCAAGAGATTTAACAATACTGAGAAAAGTTAGATATAAAGGTGTCTAAATCTAATACAATGTTGTGAATAAAGCATCCAAGGAAAGTGTAACATCACTGCAATTGCATAGCTTTTTGTAGTTTCGGAACTATTCAGAGCTAAAAAAAGTTTAAAAGAAATTGAATGTGACTAATATGCCCAGCTTATTAAAAACAGTTTGTGCACAAAAACTTGAAGCATCTTTATATCAGTATCAATTTATTGAAGAACTTCACTTATATTTCGGTCTTTTTTTTCATATCATTATATATTATATTTTTGAGCCGCATATGTTGCTTGGTGAAATCTATGATCAACTTTAAGATCTCCCTCCACAATTGAGGAAGAGCTACTTTCGTTCTGATGGTGCTGTGTTATGTCAATGCCACAAGTGGTATATCAGTTAGTTACGCGTTACATACCAGTTCCAATGACCGCATTATCGTGAGGCTTATTATCGCTACTGACTGAGTGTACAGGGTCCAACGGCTCGTCTACAAGAACAAACTCACCTTCACCACCTTTGGCAAAAGGTAAAAACTACTCACTATTCACTATAATTTCATAATCAATGCTCAATTTAAATTAACCTTCTTCGTTGCAGAATATGTAGATAAATTTTTGGTTGGCATAGAAACGGCTTAGTGGAGAACAGATCCATTCATGCTTTAAAATTATCAGCCAGGCCATTACACGAAGTGGAAAAACATCTTCCGTGCGCTATCGATGGATGAAGTATCAGAGACTTGGAGACCTTGCATCTCCTGAATCAAGATCTGTATTCAGAGCAGAAGTTTCTGAGATTGTTCTCAGCAACCCTGTTGCGAAAGACCCTCTGAGATGACACGTGACCGATGCATAACGCCGTCTTTTTTTACTTGTTTTAAATCGATTTACCAGGGTAAATATACCACAATGTTCTTGTGTCCTTTTAAAAACTGTGTTAAGTGTCTGACGTTGACTGGATATTGCGCGGGCCAATTTCCAATTAGGACTGTGGAGTGTAGTCCGAAGCCTGTTTGTATATTCCCAGTCCCCTTCCTGTTCTCTAATTAACCTTCTTCCGAGGTAGTGAAATTTTTCATTCAAGGAAAACCAGAAAAGATGGTAACGTTTTCAAACTTGCTGCCTCTGAGCGAAGATTACAGGCGAAGACTAACAGGTTCATCGCTTGTCTCAAGATGAGAATGTACTTAAGATAATGTTATTTGCAGAGAACGCTGCTTCTTGGTTGAACAGCCTTCAATTCATTTGATTTAGTCTCAATATCAGCCAAATAAATATTAACACGCCAACAACGTCCCATGCATCTATTTCGGCCGCTACATCCTGGATGGTTAGGAATAATTCATGTGTTCCAATCTCTCCCAAGTCACCGAGCTGAGTTCACGGAAAAGCAAAGCACAAAATGACAATGCCCGCTTGGCAAACAATGTTTGGGTGACTGACTCCATTTTGACCATCGATATCAAAATGAAGAACATGCGGTCTTGCTCAGCTCGGCACGCACCCTTCTTAAAGGTAGGGAATTTTAGAGAGGCCTGCCGCTTTTGAAGGGCTCGATTGATTCTTTACATTGAAGGTTAAATGGTAATTTCGGAAAAGTTTATGTACCCGAGTTTTTATCAAAAAATGTTTCTCTATATTATGAACAGTGATCAAATAGTACTGATCAGTTTGATTCATGTTGCGATACTATAAAATATATGTTTTCAAATACACTTTTCTTATTAGGAGTTTCCTATAAAAGAGTGGCAATCATAGTTATTGTAGGCGTGTATGAGAATATTTTTAGTGCAAAGTAACTGAATAAGGTACCTACCGTAATTATCATCGTGTAGGTCTGAAAAAGTCTTCCCCACATCTATAAGACAGAAAGTGTTAGTCTCTGTGTTAACTGTGTATTACCACTATTGCCTAATTATGTATTTATCACTACTTTTTGATAATTATCAGAAATCGATTAGTTATCGATCTTCCTGAAGCTTGACCTTCTCCTCATCATACTTCTCACATTCTTAAAGATCTGCGGCTAAGTAGCTCTGACCAATCAGCACTCTTCCAATCTAAGCCAAACACTAGACAGGACTTGAAGAAATGAAAAATTTAAGTATCCGGTGTCCATGCCGGCAGGGAAATTTGGTTTAAAAATACAGGGTTATAAAAGACAGTGACCAAACAGATCACATCGAACAGATCACATCGAACAGATCAAAACGAACAGATCAAAATTGTACTTTTTTAATCAAACAGAGAGCAACCTATAGTGAAATCAATTACTGGTATAATCTCCCAGAAACTGATACGTTTACGTACCGGCGCAACTGAAATCTCCCTTCAAGTCATCAAAATTTATATGTGCCTCTCTTGATGCATCAACCAGCCGTATCTGACCAATTTTGTTATTGAATTGGGCTACATTCCAGAACTTTCTTCGCATGCGATCACGGCAGTTGTCAGGAAAAGCTGTGCGTTGAACTTTCCCGTTCACCAGAAGTTCCACTCGTATTTTACCTGCGTCGCATCCACCACCAAGTAGAAAGTTTATATTGGAACCTTTGATACGAAAGCTTGGTGAAGTAAGAGTGCCGATGGGGTAATCACCCATCAGAAGTGGATTGGATTTGTTCGCAAATGTTGCTATCCACCATTCACCTTGCACGTTTGTCTTTATTCCCTGGTCTCGTATCCCGGGGTTATCCCTGTATGTTGGTTGGTTATCAAAGGCGTGTCCGGTTTTTTTCCAAGTAGATAATGCCTCAACCCCATTTTCAAAATCAAATCCTCCACAATCGCCTGAAAATCAAAAGATTTTATTTTGGTTTGCGCAGATTTTCGAGAAAATAGTTTTAAGGTCTCCTGAAATCGATTGATCGACATTTCAAAGAAATTATCTATCTTCAATGACACACTTAAATCGACGCGGAGTTGTGGTACAAACTTTATGGGACACAGAGAGTTCAGAACGGCAAGACGTAAACGTTACCAAATATCCCAACTTAAGAACTGGTCAATTCTTACCTCAGATTGCAAATCTTCATCCATCTTAATAGTCAGGCTTCTCATTTTTTGAATAATGTCATTTAGAAGACGACTATGAAGCTTAAATTTTGCCAGTCATGCAACTGACTAAGCCCATAATCTAATTTTTCACTGCGCTTTACATTCGAGATTAACGACATGGCTGGATACACTTTCCTCACCAGCATTGTTGTTGTTTTTTTTCTTGATGATGTTTGACGCAGGACCTCACTGTTGGCTTGGGAAATATGACCTAGACTTGAGTTTTATAAAGTTTTGGAGCAGACATTCCGCTAAGCATGATGATATAACTGTGACTTTAACATGAGATCAGCAGACCATCATCAAAGACATTTCTGATTCCTTCTATTTCGTATTCCAATAGGTATTAGTTATCACCAAGAGAAAATATGTTCTATTATTTTCTCTTTTCCTCACCTTGTACGAAATCAACTATAAATACAGCCACAAACAGCGTTACACAGTTGACTGAATTCCAAAGAATCGATCTGCAGGACAAATGACAAAATGCACATATCAGTTTTCTAATAAATTACGGAAGGTAAATGTTCAGGTGATACGCTTTTCTGATTTTTTTTCCTGATCATTTGACACTTTTTTTATCCTAAATCTCATATTTTTTAATTGGGTAAATCTGTTATCATTATAAGAAGCAACAGCTTTTATGATAATGCTTACGAGCCACGCTGGGTTCTTAGTCAAAACTGAAAACCGTAAAACGCTTCCATATTTTATTAACGGTTTAACAGATCTATCTCTTGTTTTAGTCCTATATGTTCAGTCTATCTACGTTTTTTACGGGTTAACGGTAACAGAAAATCTCTACCCAAATCCTTTTCAGGAGAGTTTTTTTTGAGCAGACTCTCAGACCGAATTTCGTAACCCATATAGTTTAGTCTGGACTTTTATTTTGACAAACCTGTCGATCCGATTTCGACCGCCCATCTGTTTATAACACAACAACTGACCCACCTTACGGCCATGTTACGCAGCGCCTAAACAAGTCACATCAAAAACTTCCTCAGATAAAATTCTTTAGTAAGATGACGAGAGTGCTGAGACAAAAAATATCAGATTTTTTATCAATGAAGCCGAGATGCAATTAGGTCCTATACTTTTCGTCACCGATTTTTGAGACGTAGAGGGAAGACACTTTGCCACCTGTTTTGTTTCATGGTGTTCCATTGTACCGGTTTGTAGGGAAGACAGATTTACCAGTGATGCTTGTCACTATCCGAGTGTATGTTAGCAACCTGTCAAAATATTAGCTATCACACTGAAAAAAAATCTACTAGATAAACAAGTCACCGTGGACATCCAGAATTCAAGGGAAAAGAATTAAGAAATCAGCCAGCTCTCTGGAGTATGAAGTTAGGGCGAAGAGAATATAAAATCTTGGTTAGGGTATAGCCTCTCAATTCCAGTGATTATTTTGCATCAGCAAATGACTTTTCCACATGATTTTCTCTTTCTAACGCCTTCTGCCGTACTAAAGTTTTACATCATGATTTAACTACGATTCCGGTAACAAACTTATTGCAAGCACTAATTTGGATTCACCGACTGTCATGGATACGAGCAGCAAATTAAGTTTGAAAATATTTTGCTCTAGCCATATAAAAATTTTTAGGCAAACCCTTCTAGGAAGGTATTATAAAGATCTTGGCTGCTGGACCGCCATAACCATTATAGTGCTTTTCTGGGGGTATTCAAGGATAGTAATTACAAAGGATGGATGAGTCATGTTAACCAGCTATTTTCACTTTCCATCGTAATACGTTAAAAATTGCTAATCCTTATACCTCTAAATTCGAAAATTGATTTATTCCGGTTTTTAGAGCAGTACGGCTTCGCCCGTTTATTTGAAGGAGAAAAATCGTTATTCTGAGTAAACTCCAACCGAGAATTCAGTCGGGTTCCTCTCTCTAGATTCGCAATTAACAACTTTTGTGGGGCCAGCAAGCGTCGACGTTTCCTTTAAATGCTGCCTCCTATCTTACAGTTTCGTATTGCTTTCGGAATTATTCAACAATAAATCATTGCTCCTGAAATAATTGTTAATCCACCACGTTTTGATTGCATTTGCGTGGAGTAAGTAACCAACTTTCACAACAACACTCCGTTACATGTCATTCCCACAAAATCAATCATTATTATCTAAAAACCCGAGGAAAAAAAAACTATCAATAATGGCTACGTCTAATGTGAATGGCGAATGGCAAGTGATTAACTGGAGTAAGTCTGCGGCTGATGAACAACAGCTCAAGGCGGAACTTAGAGCTTAAATGAAGCAGCAAATTATCTGGACAAAGTATGGCGTGATTGTCGAATCGCGTCTACGATTGGAAACAGTGCGGGTATTCTAGGAGGTGCGCTGACTATTGGAGGAGAAATCGCGACGTTTTTTACCGCTGGCGCTGCTACCCCTTTACTGATGGCAGGGTTTTTGCTTGGAGTAGCTGCTGCTGGCACAGGTCTAGGCACAGCGGCCGTGGAGGCTGTTGTCAACTCTAAACAAATACGAAAAGCCGAAAAAGCTTTGCAAATTGCCGATCAATTCAGGAGGAAACTTGGGGAACAAGTAAATGAATGGAAACTAAGCTCTGGCTTTTCTCTTTCAGCTAGCTGTGGCTTTATTTGGGAAGAATCATACTGTCTTTAAACTACTTCAAAATGTCCTTGTAACCTTAGGAATAAGTTCGGAAATTATTCTGAATATCCTTATAGAAGCAACAACGAAAACCGTTTCCGAGATAGGCCGGGGTTGAAGCAACAGTTGTAACTGTTGTAGAAACCGCAACTGGGGCGCTATTCAACACTGCATCTAAATCTTTGAAAGGAGCCACAAACGAAGGGGTAGCTGGTCTAAAAGCAAGCACCAACACCGTGGGAAAGATTGGAAGCGGCAGCCCGAAAGTGGCTTCTAAGGCTGCTAGAACTATCATTATTGGAGTCAGTTCCGTTTTTGTTGCTTTGGATGCCGTTGATTTAGCCTTCAATATTAGAGATTTGATCGAAAAGAAAGGGTGTAAGGCAGCGCCTTACTTGAGGACAAAGGCAAAGGATCTCGATTCTTTGCTGGAATAAGAAATTGCCCGCCCATTTTCTGACAAATAATTAACTCATTTTGCCATCATCATCATTCAAGTAGGTGGATGAGAGCTAAGTATTTCAAATACAGAGCAAAGTGTACACAAACAAAATTTGATGATGAATAACACCACCTTTCGAAATTTCTGGGAACGGCTGTTGGTTTCAGTGATTTACGCGTGAGAGAGCAAATTTTGTCGAAGGGTTTAGAGTAAAGCGAAAAATCAATTTTATTTTTCTTTTCGCGCACCGCGACAAAGCTGCGCGAAAACACGAAGCCGACGCGAGTTCAGTTTTACGTCGCCACATAATTAATTAAAGTGAATGTCAGGAAACATTTTTTGGTCGGCACATATGTAAAAAAAAAAAACTTAAAGGACTCTTAAATGGGATATTTGCTACTCGAAACTAGAAACAAATAGGCCGACTCCTGTAAGCAGGATTTGTGAAGCATGTTTAAACGGTTAAATAGGAGTATTATCGACATACTGCTTTGTATTCGAATCAATTCAACTCACATACATGAACACATAAGTTTCGGATGAAGAAGCGCGTTGTTGCGACTAAACGGCCAGAAATTACGGTAAATAAGGACTTTTCGGGTCACATTTATCAAAGTATTCGACTATTAACGCACACCGACTTTGCCATCTATTTTGCATGACAAAACAGATTTTTCTTGTATAAACAGCCTTAAAACCGAATAACTACCGGTGAATTTTTCGCTCTGTCTCAACAAAAAGCTTAGGGTACTGTAAGTATATGAAATCCCTGTACAACATCGTTACAGTCATTAATTAGTAGTGAAACCAGGCTAGTTTACCCTTTCCTAAGGGTATTGTGCTGCTGCATTAGATGAGGAATACGTTTTCACGCATTTTTGGCCACGTCTAAAAAGTGGCTATTTAGTGGTTTTCATTTTCTAGAACCTTTAGTTTCGGGGTGCACATGTTAAGAAAATAGAGAAAGAGGTTTTTCGTCTTATCACGAGCATCGGACAAAGAAAAAATTCCCCATGGGTCGTCCCCCAGGTCTGAGGTTTGAATCCTCATGGGGATCAGAACTTTTTACCTAGCTTAAAACTTGCCATCCTTCCCATTCGATTTAAAAATTTACAACTGAAAAAAAACAACAAGAACATCCAACAATCATAGTTGAAAGTGCCTGAGAGTCATTAATTATCATGCTTTGGCACCGATAATAATAGTCAAGGGTTTTATTTTATCGATTAAGAACCGTGAAAGACGCAGCCGAAGTTTTAAGACCTTTCTTATGCCATCGTTCAGGCCGACAGAAATTGTGATTATTTCAATTATTTTGAAAAATTAAATCACTGCTATCAGATAGAAGCTCTCAGTCTGTATTATGATTATCTACTTCGTAGTTTATGAAATACGGAAAATAAAGTCTGAAGCTCTCAACTCATTCGACATTTAAGATGTACCGGAAGAATTATCGCAGCTGCAAGTCATGAAACCGAAAAGTCCTTGCCTCCCACTTGAATGTCACAAACATTTCCCAGAAATTTATTTTTAGCTGGACCTGTTTGCGCAGGCGTCGATTTCTAAGAAACAATCAGCGTTCACTCTGAAATATATTGTAAACCTCAATATTTTTAAAGCTACCTCAAGTTAGACAGCAAGGAGAAGTTTTTACGCTATGCCCTGGTCAGCATCTCAACAAACACGCCTTGGATATGAGAAAACCTTGCTTGAGCAGTACTTCCGAAACCGTGTATCTTGGATCGACCCAACAGGCAACACCAGGGTCGAAATCAGAGTAACATGTACTAATAACAAGGAGTACACATTGAGGATTTACGTCCCTTCCGATTTTCCCAATAGCTGCCCTGAAATGGTGGTAAGCAGCCCATCGCGTTGCTTGAGTAAACGAGACGGAGCGGAGATGTGTTTTGGAAGCGATGGCGACCACACTTGGGGAAGCAAAGATGGCTGCACGAAAATTTGTCATTACAAACCGGCCGCGTGGACAGACGACAACACGCTTTACCAGGTTACCATGAAAGGTCTGATTTGGCTAGAGGCCTATGAGGCGCATCTCCGCACAGGAAATTCCCTAAGTGATTACCTGCAGCATTACTAAATGAGCGACAGGGATTTTTGTGTATGACTGACTAAATTATAAGGTTATCTAAATTGTACTGATTTCAATTCAGAAACATTTCAGTATCAAACTGATTTATTTGGTTCTACTCCTGTACCAAACACAACAGTTTGCTCAAACTTTGGGGAAAACTTCTGGTATTAAAAGGGATGGCAATTTCATTTTTTGGTGTACGCAACTGCAATTTGGAGTAGAGTTTAAAGATAAAGGAGGAACACTTACTGCTAACTACCTGATTTCATGAAAATTTCATTTTCGAACTGATTTATTTGTTTCTACCTCTGTACCGAACACAATATTTTACTCAAATGGTAGGGAAAACTTCTAGTATTAAAAGGATGCGTTTTCCATCAATAACTTTTTAAATAATTAGATGTTCCTGCTTTTCTTGAAACAAACGTGACCGCTGCTATTGAACTGTAAAGCTGTAAAGCACGTAATGGCTTTTTTATTCGAGTCACCTCCGTCTCCTTAAATGAGACGTGTACCCTATTTTATTTTACTGGCAATGAGCATTGTGAGTAAATGAAATATTCTATACAGTTACTTTAGCGCAAAATTGCGCAGTGTTGTTTTGACAAGAATTAAATTCTGACATAATCACAACAACCAATCCATTTCTTTTAGAATTGCTGTAAACTGATTTAGATCTGTCTAAAAGTAGTTGGTCATAAAGATTTCAATGCTAGCCCTCAAAAATTTGAGTATTGTTATAACCGATAGAATCTCGAAAGTCTGTTGAAATGAATTTTGGGAACATTTTAGTTTTGTACAAGTTTTTTTAGACCATTTCACTTTCTGTTATGACAAACGGTATTCATAACTTAATGTAACCTACAGTTATATTAAATATATCTCAATGTATCGTAAATCAAAGGGCTCTTGGAGCCAGCTCATTCATGTTATGGCTTAAGATTTTATCGATTTCTTGGGCCTCTTGAATATAGGTGCAGTTGAATTCGGTTTATGCGAACTTTCGAGACTTTTGGAATGAATTCTCTCTCATGTTTGGGTAGGTTTGTGATAAGAAAACTTGTGCGTTCGTCGTGATGAGAATAGGAAAAAAATTTGTGTGGGCTAGAGGTAGGACGGGCAGAGGTCATTAGGCAGACAATGTCCTTTTTTTGTGTGTGCGTGTGTGTGTGTGTTTGCGAAGTCACCAAACAGATGAGAGATAAAACCACCAGAAAAGTAAACAAATGGCCAGTCACGAAAGCAACTCTTCGCTTTTCCCTATAAAAATTCGCTGGTTCCCCATGTACTAAGCCAGTAACAATATAAGGCACATATGGAAAAATCAGTGTGTACACCCCTGAACGTTGAAAATATATCAAGTCGAAGGAACAGTTTTGGTCTCGGTCCGCATTTTTGTCAACGAAATGAAAACATATTGATTAAAACGATGAAACGTACGGACCACGTGCAAAGCTGTCAATTGTTTCTCGAATATTGCGCGTGTTATATATTCAATAGTGACATCTCCTTTACTTCTACATTTACATATACTTTTATTAAGTTAGCCAATTCTGTATCGAAATCTCACCAACCAACTCGCGCGCAAAGGCTTGAAATTTTATTAAGAACGATTGTGATTAAGAAACGGGCAAGGGATATTCCACAATAGTGCAAATAGTCGTGAAACTGGGATGATCGCGGAAAAGCGATTGCGTGACTCTTGGTGAGTTGTAAGATAACGTGTTATCACGTATCAGACGAAAAAACAGTCTAAATTCTGCACTTTGTCTGCACTTTGTACCCAGTCTGCAGTCTGCATTTTGTACCTAGTTTGCATTTGGACCCGGTCTACAGTTTGTGGTCTGCATTTTGTACTGACCGGTTGGTATTACTGTTTTTGTTCGAGCGAGCCTCAAGTCCCGGCCGAAATATTGGAGCTCGAAAAAAAATTCTAGTGAGACTATCTTGGCCGCTATGATTGATATTTGGACTATATGGTGAAGAGCTCACGAGGAAAAGTACAATGATAGAGCAATGATTACTTTATACTAACTGAAGACGAACGCAAATGCACAGCTTAATATGGCGACCTTTGATGCTCTTTCGCGTGGTCACAGCTTGTGTTTAAATGAACCCGCTACGGGTCCCCCAGGTGTGAACATTTCGGTATCTCGATTCAAGTCGCATTTTCAGAAGTTCTGAAATAAGATTTGAGGGTATTATTTTTATTAAACCATATAAACATTTTATCTCTTTCCACGTAAGTTTCTGAGCTTCATCGAAATTAATTTATGCATGCGATACTACTTTCGTTCATGGTCCACATTGCAACTTCCGCACGCGGAATACAACTTCCGTTTACGGTCGACAACTTCCGTCATCATTCCGTCTTCATTTAACCATGAAAATTAAAAAACAAACTGCTCAAGGTGCTGTGTTTAACGAATAAACGACAGCCAAGTTACAGGGAAAAATTAAGATTGATCGGGTTGACTGGCTTCCACTCAACGCATTATAAAAATTATCAAAGTAAGCTCGTAGTTTTTCACTCGAAAAGCGTACGATCTAATTTCCAAGGCTTGCTTCACTTTGATGACCGGAAATCGCCATAATGAGCTAGCTGCAATGGACCTCAGCGGGATCACAGTCGCTCGTACGCTCTGATTTGCAAACTTTTTAACAGTTATGCCAGTTTTGTTGCGTTTTTCGTCATTCACGAAATTATAAATGCTATACGAGTGTTAGGCGTGCTTAAGTTTTATTACTTAAGCTTACGACAAATTGAGTATGAAAACCTTCAAAACTCGAATAATCCATTTCGTTTTCTTTTTGTTTATTTTAGTTGGTCTCTGCTCACGATATAATTTCGTAAGTTTCGGTGCTGGGTATGTTTACAAACCCTAGTTTGTTTGGTGCTTCTGTTGCTACTTGCCAACTCGCTAATTCCTAAATTTTACTTTCTATTTCAGTGTAATTTGCACTGTTATCTACAGGCTGTTCTGTATCAATTGATCACAAGAGTTTGTTGTTTGTTTTTTTTTTTGACAAAAGTTAGAGAGGGTTCCAGAGATCGTTGGGCATTGTACAAATTGGCAGATGGCGTGACAGATTTTGTTCCGCTCCGTGTTTTGTACCGCGTTGTATCAAGCTCTTTCAACAAATAAGAGCGAAATGAAAAGGAACTTCTTACCAAAAAGTTGTCTATGTTTTTTCCCCTTTAAATGAGAAAACGATCAACTTCTTTAAATTAGTTTAATGGCTAACTTGGCCCATAGTCGGAAAGTAACGGATACTGTCTGCTTCAAGCGTATTTCTTTTCACTGGTTATTTAAGTTGATTTCTCATTGAAGTCCAAATCATCACATATGCGCATGCTAAGGGAATTTAATATACAATTAAAATATTCAGAGATAATACTTCTGAAAAGTGTGATGATCAAAATCGCTTTTATGTCTTTGTTTCAGACGTGACTGTCGCTGAAATAGAGATTCTGAGTGCGGCTGAAACGAAAAAACTAGTGCGAGAAATCTATGTTTTCGCAGAAGGAGTTAATACTATGCTCCTCGAAGTGAGGAAAACGGTAAGACACCTACGTGCATTAGCTGATCACCTAGATAAAGTATGGAGAAGTTGTAAGACTGCTTCAACCTCAATCGCACGCGGTTGTATGACCGTGGCAGGAGAAGTTGCCACTGCCATGACAGCTGGTGCTGCTTTGTCATTTCTGATTGCAGGAACAGCTGGTGCCTGCGTTGATCTGGGCGCAAGAAATATTGAATCCACTTCCAACTCATCGCTGACCCAGGAAGCAGATGCTGCCCTTAAAAAAGTTTTCGGGAAAATAGCTGAAGTTAAGAAACAAATTTAGATGTTAAAAGGTGGTAAAGACCAAACTCGATGGTTTTTTTTGCTGCTATACTTGCCGAAGATATGCTCGGTGTAAACCATCCGGCAGTGGCCTTAACTGAAGGTTGTATGCACCCGGATCTGCTGGCAAATTCGATGAGTAAGACTGCCATAAAAGCGGTGAGTGACTTAGCATTGATAGTTGGTGTCAAGGAGGCGACAGCTGCAACCACCAGGGGATTGTTGAGACCACTTCTAGAAATGCCCTCATTCTTGGAGCCAAACATATTGCATCGGAAGCTGGATCCAAGAGTGGAGCTGTAGCAATCATAAAAGCTGGCTCTACAGAGGATCCAGGGCTTCGCAAAGTTACAGCCAAATCAGCTGCAAAAGCCACAGCCTGATTATTGTACGGCCTTTCTGGTTTTAGATGCCATAGAACTGCATTCCACAGTCAGGGATATCATCGAGAACAAAGGCTCCGATGCATCCAGAAGCCTCAGAGAAAAAGCAGATGAACTGGAAGTACTCGTGTCTGCATGAATTTATGATTTTCATACCCTAAAAAAGCGAGCATACCCTGAAAAAAATAGCTTTTTGGTAACTTAAGAGATGAATTAGAAGTTGTTAGAGCAAAGCAGCATAAAATTAGAAGAGGGATTCAAGACTCGTGTTACATGTAATTCCCGTTAGACGTGGTTTGTTCACCGCTATATCCCCATGCCAACGTAAGCAATGCTATTTCAGTTACATACAGTAGTAAATAAGATACGCTCACCTATTAAGACTAACAATATAATAAAATAACTTTTGGTTTTCGGAAACGTTATGAAAACCCACTAAGTGATAATGTGAGTAAACAAACTTTCACAGGGTTGACGCCTGCCTTTTTATTAAATGATAAAAAAGTAATATTACAAAAGCCCAAATGGACAATCTTGGGAAATTTGGATTTATTTCTCAAGGTCGAATAGGTTTCCGAGTTATTATTTTTTTTCATTCATTCCTGACTTGGGGTTAAACTAGCGGAACTTTATCTTATGAAATCTAAAATTCAGGCTTGCAGCAAGGACTTTTCAGAGGGTTGACACATTGACAAAAATAGAAACAACATACCATATGGTCGACATCTAAACTCTGTTTTGAGCAGTAGTGGCATTTTTGCTTTCTTCGCCGCTTAAATTAAAAGGTTTTGTTTTTATGCAGAACTTTCGAAACAATATCAGATAGACGTGAATCTCTGACACCCTATGAGAGAAGTTATTTTATCACATATTTCTTGATTACTCAAGCAAAACTTTACACTTCCCTCGTATCGACATTACCTAAATTTTTTCTGATTAAACTGCGACGAAAAAGGGACGATCTCTCTCCGAAATCGATTACTTGGAAGTCGAAGCATCCTCTCGCCATATATCTCCCTCTAGCAACTTGCAACGTTTGCCGGCCTTGGCGATCCCAGAAATCTTTTTGCAAACACAAGGATCCTATTACAGACTTGCTTCTTGTCCTGATATCTTACAATAACAAGTCGCTGGCCTGAAATCTCAAGATATTGTTCTCCTTCGATTAAGTCAGTCTTTCAAGTAGGGTAGTGTAGTGGTCTTGCGGGTTGTGCACAAAACCCGGCGAATACGAAACATAAACTAGAAACTGGAAGATTTAACTGACGGTCTGAGGTCATAAACACAGAAGAAGACTTTAACTGCCACGCTACTGCTAAGTTGCAATATGGCAATCCGAAAGCGCAAAAAGTTGATGGCAATTGGCAAGGCATAATGTCTTGTTTCGATTTTAGTTCTCCGTTAGGCTAAAACTCGTAGTCTATCGGAAATTGGAAACAAATGGATACCCTGTAGTGTAGGCGTCTTTTTCAGAGGCCGAGTTAGTGTTTAAAAGCTCGCAAAAGTTAACTTAGTCGCCATGTTTGAGTAAAGGTCATCGAATATACCACCTTCTCGGTAAAATTTATTTCTGTGCACATCTGTACGTGCTCTAAAACTCCGGGATGGCGGCCTAGACTTGATTGCGAAAATACTTAATCCAGGCTCACCACAGATTCGTTAGTTCTGCAGGCTGGTGAAAGGTAACCACCGAAGAAATGATCAGTCGTGGAAAACTAACGATTGAAATTAAAGATCAAATTGTATCTGCATGATTTTCGTGAAAATTTCTCTAAAAATAGCCTCCTGATCGTATAAAACTAAGTCACACTTCGAAGTTCGAAACCGACATTTTGAGCAAAGAGCCCTCGGTCAAATCGCTACCAATCCTGTTTCCATAATGATCATTAATTACGATTATTTTACGCAAACTAGATACTTCACACATGAAATAACGATAAGGTATATACCTAACTATATAATTTACCTACAATATTTTCGATCTCAGAGCTCACGCTTTCGGACGCGATCTTTTTGCATCTGTTTCAGTGAGAGTGATTTACTTAAGACCACTTCTCTTGAGTAAGCCCCGATATGCGCAAAATATCGAACATGTGTTTCGATTATTCATTTCAAAATTGGCGCAAAGTTCAAAGAGTACATGGCTTTGTACAAACGTAAGACATCTTCAGTTTATTCCTGGCTGGTTTTACTTTAATTTAGCTGTGTTCGAGGAGGATATGTGTCAGGGATGAAATAAACATTCTTTTTGATTTCTTGAATCTTCAGATAAGTAATTTCTGATTTGTTCTGCTCAAAGTTAATTTGTGTTTTCCTCTTGCTTAAATATAGAATATGAAATTTCATTTTCGTCTTGTCATGATGTTTAAAGATGAGTTTGGATCACTAATGGGGGATTTCCGTTTTGATAATGAGATGTTTTAATGCGAAGGCCTCATTTAGCATATGATATAACGCTAAAAATTAACTTAAGGTGTAGCCACGTGAAAGAAATGGAAAGATTCGTTCGCTTTTAGTGAAATCTTCTCTTTATTTGTTGTCTATTTTCTCTAACCCTTTAATGAAAGGGAAAAGCCACAACCGCAATGATCAAGTACGAAAAGCAATAGTTTCCATCGACAAACAAAGTTTCTCTCAATAAAAGCGTACATCAATCTCACTCTATATCCAGCAGGACCATCAAGTCCTTAGAAATGTTTGGATATCTTCTTGAAAAGAGTGCCGACTATTTTTATTGCGCACTGTAGAACAATGTTTTTATCTCTGGTAATTATTTTATGGCTGTAGGCGAAGGATCGAAATTGTTTGGGCTTGAGGAAAGATTATGGATCGGAGATACCAAATTAAACCACATGGTTCTACCCTGTCAATACTTGAAAAATATCGATTTTATTGCTAATACAACGTTATTATTTGTCTTCTTAGCAGAATATTTTCTTTTTTAAGGATATGAACCTTTTGCCTTTTTTTTCCCGTTAAAGATGAAAGAAGCATTTCTGAACTAATTCGCAATTTGGCCAAACTTTTCCTTCTCATAACTAAAATCCGCAAAAGTGAAAACTTTCTTTGAAAAGATCATGCCAGTCTTATTAATCATTTATACTTGCACAATTTAAACTGAACATTTAACCCTACTTTTATCCGATGTCTCAAACGTCTGTGTTCTCTAACATCCAAGTATACGGCAAGAATAAGGAGACCGTCACAGGATTTAAAAGTACATATGTTATGATTATGTTTATCTTCGTTTATTGAATAAAAATCTCGAGTGTCAAAGCCGATATCCGAATTCATTTTCTAAAATTGGCGAAAGTGTGACAATTCATTTTGATCAGAAAAGCGTCTTAACCTAATTTACACCTAAATCGCAATGTTCATCAATGAAAGAATTTGCATTTTGAAAACCGAGCTTTTGTAAACATACCCACGCATATAGTGCTGCATATTTTTTGTTGTCAATTCTTGTTTTGTTTCCATCGCCTTTCGAGAGGATCGCCTTTTATTCATGGCAGACTGAGTGGCTGGCGGTGTACACAGAGCGTTCAATCTAAGACGGATTAATCATCTCGAAGAACAGGGAAGACTTAAAAGCCCTTAAAGTGACCGCTGCTAATCGAGCGTAAAAGCCCACTTTACAACGTGGAAGTTAACCGTTTATCCAGAGCCGCGTTGTCTTTCTTCTTCCCGCGAGCTTTTCGTACTCGTTCGACATGTTAAACCAAACTGTACCAGCATCTAGCTTTCCTGCGGAAACTAGTCAAGATTACCCGTCTTGCCCAGAACAAAACACCAAAGAGTATATAAAAGGCATCAAAGCAGCCGCTTACATCTTAGTGATACTGCTTTCCCTGTTCGGAAATGTTATGGTCGTGCGGGTTGTGCACAAAACCCGGCGAATGCGAACCATCACGAACTATCTTATCGTCAACATGGCTGTTGCCGACCTTTTGACCACTGTTTTCAACATGCTACCTACAACTTACTGGATACTCCGTGGACTAGATATCTGGGCTGTTGGTGGATGGATAGGAGAGGCTCTTTGCAAACTACTGCCCTTCGCGCAATCACTCACAATCTCGGTTTCGGTTTTCACGCTCTGCACGATCGCATTCGATCGTTTTTTCGCAATATTCAGACCGTTAAAACGTGTGATTACATTTCGCGTCGCCAAAGGTATCATTTCATCTACATGGTTATCGTCGGTCATCATCTCAGGTCCTCAGCTTTACGTTTCTACAACCACCGGTGAAAAAGGCCTGGCCCATTGCAAAGAAAAATGGGATCCACCGTTTGATGAAAACACAGCTCCTCGAGATTACACCATAGCGCTGTTTGTAATGCTGTATGCCTTGCCTCTGACGCTCATAGCATCTCTGTACACAGTAATTATGTTTAAACTGTGGCGAAGGCAAGCACCTGGCCAAGAACTGTCGTCAAACCAAGAAAATAAGGACAAGACTAACAAGAAAGTCTTAAAGATGTTAGTAACCGTTGTAATCGTTTTTGCATTATCCTGGCTTCCGTTGTACGTCAGAATGTTTGTGATGTTTGCGGAATCGGCTCGTTATGTCTGCGGTCTGCCTTACGATATGGATTTTCTAACTCTATTCCTTGGCCACGCCAACTCTGCTGTGAACCCGTACATTTACGTCATTTTCAACGAGAACTATAGAAGAGGATTCAGGACTGCGCTATCCCGGCGTCGCCGTGGAAGCAGTCGCGAGCTGTCGCGTAGCACAACTCGAAGAACCAAGTCCACAAGACTACAAGAGAAAGAAGCCAACCTATTACACGACGATTCACGACAAAAAAAATCTGTACTGCGAGCTTTTAAAAGACAAAACTCAGAAATATTATTGCCAATGACAACGACAACGGAAAATCTTTAATTGAGGAAAGAAGGAAGGAGGAAATTGACTTAGTAGGAGTAATGATATTGTCGCTATTTTGGAGAGATAGGAAAAGATAGTGGAAAATACGATTAACTCCTAAAAGGAAGATAAGACCTCGTCGAATTCAATATCCGCTTTGTTTTGGAAAAAAAAAAAAAAGATTCAATTAATTTTTTGTAAATGTCAACTCATTATTCCAACAGCGATAATAAGTCATTCTCATTTCATTGCGATAGTTACGTAATGGTAAGAACACTTCCTCCTCGTTGACTGCCAACTTTTTAAATTGATTGATAGATAAACTGTGTCATATTTTGAAATGTTTTTATTCAGAAGTGTAATAAAAATTCAAAGATGAGAAGCACACGTATTAACGCCAAGTGTCTTTCTTCCTTTTTTATTTTTTGCGCAGAAGGAAAATGATTTTCAAAGGACTTGTTTTCGCGATTGACAATTTTTTGTCGAATAAAGAGTTACGTTTGGATGCGTTTTTAACATGTTTGCCTATATTCAAAGATGTTTCTTCTCATTCGTTTACTATCCTTGCTCGATACCTCCCCAATGTCATTAGCTACTGTCCTTCCCAAGAAAAATCAATAGCGGTGAGATGGTGCATATGTGCAACGCTTGTACTCATCAACGACAAGATAAGATGTGGAAGGAATTCAGACTTAAAGGTGTGTTTTTCATCTTTTGTGCGATGAGTTTTTCTTAATATTAGTTTTTATTCAACAGTTGACCACGAATGGCTTTATCTAACACAGCCGAACAACTTCAGGTCGGAGAATAACAAGAAATTACATAGAGGAATGAATATCAGGTGTAAATGAAGTTGACATTTTAAAAATCATATTCTATAATCTCGAGCTCCTGGATAGTTCAACAAATTTTATTTCCTCTGCACCCCTTTCTTTGACAAACAAAGGAAACCATCTGGTGTTGAGTAAATCTTAATAAATCATTTTTCAGTATCACATAAAAGTGTTGCGAGCTAAAGAAGTGACTCGGAGCGATCATAGTTTGTAAAAGCTTCTGTAACCACAGGCGGCCCAAGCTCCAGCTGTGAGATTATCATCTTGCGCAATAAAAGTCACGGCGGAATTATTGGGTTAGGGTTAGGGTTTATTTACGACAGTTCTATGAAATTATAAAATACGTCAAATTCTCAGTAAAAATACCTCACCTTACTTCCACAACGTATCACTTGTTGTCTGACCGCTTACTTTGATAAAAAGAACCCATTTTAGCGAGTTGTCCATTTCGAGGTTTTTCACGTATATGTACATGTACGTACATGAAGATTTCCAGAAGCAAGCCAGCGGAACGAAAATTCGAGAAGCAGGTCGGTCCGCAAAAACGGACTCTCTAAAAAAGGTATGTATTTATAGCCGGGCTCGCAGAACGTAGCCCCATAATTATACAAAATAGTAGTAACCCATCAAGCCGAAAAAATTTGGACGTACGACCGCACAAGGTGCTACTTTTAACATGCGTGGTCAACTGTACCGCGGGCACGCCAACGCCATGGCTTTTTCCAGTAGTCCAGTGGTCAGTGCACTGGGCTCCGAGTTGAACGACCCGGGTTCTAGTCCTGGCCGGGGCAAGGCGTTGTGCCCTTGAAACGTGCGGGAAAAAAAGATGCGAGCTCCGCTTTTAGGCTTGGCTAAATCTACATATTACAGTTGTTATAAGCTGTATTTGATCTCGCTGTAAACAAGCCAGAAACTCGAATTAAATTTGCTCCTTGCGTTACTTTTAGACGATAACAAACGCTTGCCATAGATCGGACCTGTCAGTCCCAACCTTTATTTTCTACGTGTTGAAAGACTTTATTTGCCTCCACTGAGACATCCCTGATGCTTGAGCAATTTCTTATCTGCAACAGCTTTCTTATTTCCTCTCGATTTATCTTTTGACCGTCTGCATCCAAACTCAAGTCAAGCTTTTTGGAAATTGCATCTCCTTTTGCAATACATGTATTATGAAGAACCATGCTTGCCAATGTAGTAATGCGGGCATTATCTTGACTGCTTTCATTCTTTCGAAGTAGCACCCTCCACCTACCCTTGAGTTTCCCATAAGCACCCTTCGTAACCATACGGGCTCTGCTTAATTAAACGGTAATTAAAGTTACGTTGCTTTTTTTATAAAAAAAAAAAAAAAAAAAAAAAAAAAAAGGTTACGTTGCTAGGGTGTCAGAACTGGATTGGTGTATGATTTCATTGAACATGTGCGCAGAGGGAATGCAGAGTCTCCCACTATAGGTGGTGGGACAGTAACATTGCCTACAGTTTTTCCAATTACAGGAATAACGCCTTCTTGGATGCGGGTCCAAAGGTCAGTGGATCTAAATATGACTGCATCGTGAGAATTCCCTGGAAACCCACAGCTGCCCCACACCAATCTCACCGCGCAGAATGGTTTTGTCTCTCGCGACAGGTACTTACAGTGTCCAGTTTATCAACGAGCGAAATATCAATTTGCATGTCTTGAACTTATCGGCTGTGATTAGTGAACAAATTTAGCTTTGGGAATACTTGAGTCGCACTGCAGATTTCAGCTGCTGTCAATCAAACGGTTTGGTGCGTGATGTCAGTCCCCAAGGTGCGATAGAGTTAACATTAGCACACTAATTAAAGGCCTGCCGCACTGTTCACAAAGCGTTTGCAGATTCGTGTGCGACGATAGACGACTAACAAACTCCTGTTGGTCAAAACTTTATCTGAATTATCAAAATTGTTTCATGTCGACCCGGCGGTTTAGAACCTGCCATCTGGCGGCCCCTTTTTCTTTTCAAGTTTGAAAGGCTGCGGCAGGGGACGAGAAATAGCGGTGCTCAATCAGCGAATTGTTTTGCGTTAATTTATTCTGGGGGCATACTTGTTCGCAAGAGGGGCCCGGATAACAGATCTGAAAGCGTGAGAAAACTGCTTAATCATTCAGGGTCATTCTAAGCAGTGCGATGCATAATTCATTTGTTTTTACTTGAAACGCGCACTTTTCTACTCCGATGATTTTTTTTTTTAATTACTTAATAGTCATAGAAGTTAGTCTTTCTTGTTCTCGAAAGGAAAGAAGAATTAAAGATTACAAAAACATCAAGAGATAAAAAAAAAACAAATAAGCGACCACCTGAAACAGCTTCGCGCCTGAGGGAACAGTCGGCTAATTAATCACACTTGGATCCGTTTTGACAAATCAAAACATGTGAAAAGGACAGTTGATAATTACTACCTTTGAGTTAACCTGTTGAAGCGTGCGAGACATCAGCCAGGCTTTTACGCAATTTTTACTGAATAATGTTTGCGATCGTGCCTGTAATTCAAAATATCGTCCGAAGGTAAAGCCAGCTGTAATGGGTATTTACGAAGTAGAGCGCATTGTTGCAAAACGAGTTAAAGGAAGAAAAACAGAATACCTCATCCATTGGCAGAATTACTCCTCTAGTGAAAATACCTGGGAACCAGCCGAACATTTGCCGGAAGATCTTATCGCTGCCTTCGAGAACAGGTCTGTCGATCCAATTCACGCTGATGAACGTAGAGAGAGATTGTCTCTACTATTTGAGAAAGGCTTAAAAATGCCCCTGGCTTGGAACGAAACCATCACCTTACGGCACGATGTGCTGCGAGCGATCTTTCCTGGGTTGCCGTCGGATCTCCGGGGGGAGTCCATACCTCGTCAGTAAAGAGGAGCTGATAGCAGCAGGCCTTGGTTCTTCTCTGAAAAAATGTCTGACTGTAACAGGGGGTGGTTGTTAGGTCGACGCTCCTGTACACCTGAAGCTGTTTCTTGGAAAGACGCCTGCCTTCCTAGACGAACACGGCCGCAAGACGGGTTCCCGTCCAGTGGAAAGAGTTCAAGTAAAGTTCACGAAGAGTTGTTTCGCCGGAAATTTGCAGTGAACAGAAAGCTGCGTTATAAAAACGGCTTCTTTAGAAGCCACCAATCGTGATAAAAGCTCATGGCCAACTTTACTCTTGTTAAGTAAAGTTAACCGTCTGATGATTTTACTTAGAAAACCAAAACAAGATGATTGGGACCAGAAGGAAACAATTACGATAATTTTATTGTGATAAAAAATTTAACAACTCATTTTTGTAACACCATATTTAGGGACGGCCCCGCGTATTTCGAAAGTCAAATCGAGTACTTTTCCACGAAACTGAAGTATGCTATTTACATGAACTGAGAAAAATATAAACAATGACGGTGGCAAAGATCTCATAACTCAAGAGAAACACTGGTGTGGTTTTCATGCCTTGCTAAATATGCAGTTTCTGGTGTATTTATACTAATAAGTACCGGTTAGATGAGCAAAGTAAATTTTCAAGGTGTGATAAGTGAACAATAACACTAAATATTAAAGAGCGGACCGCTCTCTTCATTGAAAGTGACATGACACTTCAAACACTAACTAAGCTGGAATCCTATGTCAAACGAACAAATATTGTCGTTTCTATTCTGAAATAAACCATTGAATGAAACACCGGAAAAGACAACTTAAAACTTTATTCGACAACGATCCACTCGTGCAGGCTGCTTTATCCCAGTTTTCGCACGTACTCCGGATTAACACGCCAATTGCTACGATACTATATACCGCTACGATAGATTAGATTGTAAAAAATGAACAAGACGTTGGCCATTAGAACACGATAAAACTATTAGTATGTTTCCAAGGTAGTGTACTGGGTCGATATGTGTGTAGCGAACATGTAGCGAACTCGAACATCGCGAACTCGACAAGTAGCGAAAGCGGCGTAAAACCCCTGGTAAATTCAAATTAATGGAGACAGTAAACAGACAACTGGAGCCAAAAAACAAGCAAATTCATTCAGTTACTCGGTTGGACCTCGGGATATTCTGTGATCCCACGGGAAGAACAGTAACTTTTTTAGAAAGAAGGAAACTTCAAACAAACGTAGATGAGAAAATTTTCGACAACAGTAAACACTAAACAAACATTTACCTGCTCTATCTATCTATCTATCTATCTATCTATCTATCTCTGTCTATCTGGCCTTTGCAGAATTTCTTGCACGGTCGGCTGCTCCGACAAAAAGCGAACTGCCAGGATTACGAATCGGTCCCTGTTAAATGTGGACAGATAGCATTATTTGAGTTACTTTGCTTATATACGAAGGCAGCTCAGTCTTGAACTGAAAAATTCAACTTACAAAATTTCGCTCTCAGTACTTACCATCTTGCCAGGTGGTCATCCAGTGGTTTTGTCTGAAAAAGAAACAAATTATTTGAACCGACCCTGGCGTTCTTTGACCATAGGTAAAACACACAGAATTTTCGCATAATATTTTATGTCGTTTAACAGCTACCTGTAGAACTCACATTGTCTAAGATCGCTAAATGACCTTCCAAGTATGTCCCCATTTCCTCAAGCAAATCGCGAACTTGGCCATCGGAAAATGTGAGCTGCGAAATGAACAATTGTGCGATAAGCTTCGAAAAACGTCTGAAACTATCGCAACTCGAAAGTTCAGTTGTACATATCAGCTGTCATACCGTTGTTTGCTCTCCTGGTTCTTGTGCTGATGTCGGACTGACCATTTCAGCTCCCTTGCTTTTACGTTTTTGCTCTCGCGTCATCCAAACTTAACAGTGATGATATTTTATCAAACGAATAAATTGTACATTTTATCCGCTGGGAAGCGACTTGATTGACTTCGGTTATAGGAAGGTATGTTATGGAACTATTTTACGGAAATTTTGCTGGCTTATAAACTTTGCACTCGCCAATCATAAGCTCAGTATGACGTACAAATATATCGCTCCAAAAAACAGGCAAGACAAAACAGGCAAGATCTCAACAACAACACTTGGAGGGATGTGGCGCCGTGTTTTTTTTTTACCAACTTCAATGTTAAGGTTATTTTATATTGTACACCTATTTCTACAATTTGAAGACCACACAACGTTTCTCATGTACTGTTGTATTCAAACTTCATTAGACCTTTGACCAGAAGACCTGAGAGATGATAATACGATTAACCTTTAAAACACATGAAGAATGAAGAGTGTTTCTGCAATTTGCAGTCACAGTCCTGCACGTGTCAACGTATCACGTTGTAACTAGTCTCTACCATTGACTTTGCAGACAATTGTTTTCACTTCAGTGCCTCAAGTACCAGAGTTGCGTAAATCGTTTCCTCTGCTAAAGAGCACCAAATTTTTTGCCTCATTAGAGCTCTTTCTTTAATCAAGGTATTTAATATTTACTTTTATCAACTGAGTCGATGATGTGAATTTTCACCCAAGAGCCATTCTAAAAAAGATGTTTCTCGAGCGTTGGTCCTTTGTCAGCCAAGTCACGTTCTCAACTCAGTTTATTAAAAACCGAATAATCTGATTATGTAATCATTTGTGTCCTTGTGCTCCCCTCAAGGGTCCCTTTTTCTGTTTTTGTTTTTGATCTTGACTTTAGCATAACATTGAATAATTAAATGGTGCCTTATCCAAGTGGTATTTTGATTAAAATAAGAGATAACATTTTTTTATCACATCCATTAGTGCGTCTTTGTTTGAATAAACGGATTACTAATCAATAAGTTGCATAGGCTATAAACAGTCTCAAATCTAACAAGGAGTCGAATGATCACTTTTATCTCAAAAGATTTGAAACTTCTTTTAAATTTTGCATAAAATTAAAGTTTACGAAATCAGGTAGTTCCCTCGAAGAATGTTGTAGAAAAGATAGTGTTTATCTTTATTTTCCATGGTTATAACCACTTATCTTGGTTTTGCACGTTAGACTAAGGTAACAAAGTATATGCCACGTTGTATGCAGTGCACCCGTAATTCTTATCTAATTCCTAATGAGCCACCACGGTTTTTTATATATATTGACGTGTGCAGTTTCACTTTGCTGAAAAGTTTCCGTAGAATTTGGCCTCGAGGCTTCAAAATTTTAGATATTGTTTTTCTGTCCGTGGCGATCGAGACATACCCTTGGCGCCTAAAATGATTATTCAATATAACAAACGAGAATCTATTAAAAAAACAATGAATGAATAGGCTCTTTCAAGCGACGAAAATAGCTTTGGATACTCAGACGATACACGCGAACTAAGCATGAACCAATTGTTAAATATCACACGATAGTTCACGTGGTATCATCTTCATCAATGAGCGTTTGTCTGTTCTATCCTATCTTTTAAAATCAAGCTACCCTAACGCTCCAGACAGTTCAGCTTGGTCGGCGACGGAGTGAACTACAACAGACTATCTCAGCTCGCAATCCAGTTTTGAAAATCAAGTGGTTTATCCTCAACATGTCTCTTTCAAAGCAGGTTAGTGAATTCTTGAAACCAAGTAAAGAGAGTCAAACTTACCCTGGTAACAAAGAATAGGGAAGAATCGTCAGGACGCAAGTTGGTATGCCACACCCAAAACATCATCGAACACTAACATCATCGAACACTAAAATCTTCGAACACTAAAATCAAGTGAAGCAATGATCCTAGCAAGTGAGCTGTAACTTTAGAAATTGCAGAAAAGAATCTTGAAAATATTAGACTCCGACAGGATTCAAACCTGTGCTACTCAGATACTAGTTGGGCGCGGCATGCTACTAAACAACTAGCGATCCACACGTTGGGAAATGGAAACTTTTGAGAGTTTTCTTTCCCGTGGAAAATTCTGAACTTCATCTTAATGAAATGAATTTATTCACCTGCGGATGAAAATCAAGGAAAACAATAATCCTCACAGGTGAGCCCTTTCTGATTGTTCCAGTCTGTTTTCAAGTAGAATTGGCAAATGTTGAGGGCACAAAACTTCATCTTCGGTATTGGGCATTATCTATCGACTAAGGGTAGGAGTCGAAGTATTTTGGTTGATTCAGGTAATATTATTTTGACCTCCTACATGAGCCCCCCCATCATTGCTGTTAACTTCCAGTCAGTTTTGTGTAGCTCCCTCTTTATACTTATGTATATCATTAATGAAACCACGCCGGAAAAAAAAATTTGCTAGGCAAAGATAAATGATAGGCTGAACTTGATCGCTTTATTTAGCCAGTTCAAATAGTTACTAAAACAGATCATGCCCCACAGACCACAGACAGAAAAATGCCGTCGTTGTGTGTCGCTATACAAGCTAATCAACCTGCCTTCATTTATCAGTTATAGCTTTTAATTCATTCTGCATGTCTCAAGCTTCCAACTCAACTCGAAGCTAAATTCAGTGCAGTGTTTGATTCCTAAAGCAGTAAAATATTGCAGCACAAGGAAATATTTTAAAAGAAGGCCAAAGACTACGACAATTATGTAGAGAGCCAAATGGTGTGAGGCTCATGATGGACGGGAAATGGGCGTGCCGGCGCATTAATTTACTTCTTGTATCCCAAAAGTCCCCCAACTACTTTTTTTTGGTTATTTATTTATTTTTTTACTTTATTTTTGAAATATTTCTATAACCTTGCGCTTGCTCTGGATATAGTATTTTAAAACAAAGCGTATTCAGTGTTATTAACATAATTACGTTTAAGTAAATTGTTTTTATTCAAAATTTCAATGTCACGCGCAACCCAAATTTATTCAGAAATACTTTACATAATGCTTATAAATGCCCATTTCCCATTTGTCACTGAGTGTTCTAATACATCGAAATGCACTAGCCCAGTAAATATTTTTTAAAAAATCTTTATATAATATATAATAACGAACGCAACCGACCATAATGCATTTGTTAATAACAATAAATTAAAGAAAACAAAATTCTTAAAACCATGTAAAGTGAGTTTAATAAAAAACAAGTTCCTTTTCCAAGAACAAAGAAAAATTTGCTTACAAGAGAAGAAATTATGTCAAACTTAAATTTAGTACCTTTACCAGGAACAAAAATTTTGCGGAAAACCTCGTAACTTTGAGAAGAACAAAACATTCAAAGAAAAAACTTACACCTTTACCAAGATTGATAGTTTACTGCAAAACAAAATAAAAGAATATGCAAGTTCTCCTGAAAATTTAGTGAAAAATCTTGAACTGTCACAATATAAATACACTCCAGATGCAATTTTAACACACAAGGGCATTTACCCATATGAATATATGGATAGTTTTGAAAGATTCCCACCTAAAGGAAAATTTTATAGTACGCTAAGTGAATATAGTATTACCGATGAAGAATTTATATTTGCATTTCATGTTTACAAAAAATATGAATGTAGAATTATTGGTGAATATCATGATATATATTTGAAGACTGACATTTCCCCACTTAGAGATGTCTCTAAGAATTTCAGGAGTACGTGCCTTAAATACTATGGTTTAGATCCATCACCTTATCTTTCCGCACCTAATTTTGCCTTCGATGCAATGCTTAAAAGACGAATGTTAAACTCGAGTTGATTGGTAATATTGAAATAGAAAAAACTAGTCAAAAAATGATGCTGGGTGACATAGGCAATCTTGCACATCGATTTGCAAAAGCGAATAATAAATATTTCGTTAATTTTAATGAAAACGAAGATTCTTCTAGTATTATTTATCTTGATGCAGATAATCTTTATGGATGGACACTGATTCAACCATTGCCAGCGGGTAATTTAAGTTTTGTCCGCCCATCAAAATTTAAAATTAATAATTATTTTGATAAAGGTGCTATTACTGAATGTGATCCTGTTTTCATTAAACATATATCCTTTAACTGCTAGCTTTCGGCCCTCTTGGCACTGTTCGCAAAAAAAAAATTTTCGTACAAAAGACTAAGCTAAATTCAAGATAGTTTACAACGCGGTTCTGTTAACAACGGTTAAACTTTGTTTAAATAACAGTCCCATTGTTTTTAAGAGTTTATTTGGCTAACGCATTTCACTTTATCATTAAAACACTCAAAGATGAATGGCAAATGGGCGTCAATAAGCATTATCAAACGTATTTTTGAATGAAGTTGCATTGCGCGTGACACAAGAATTTTGTTCACAGTTCACAGTTCACAGTTCACAGTTCATTAAAATATCACTTCTGTTAATAAACTAGCTGCGCGTGGCACATTTAAAAACACTGAATACAATTGGTACAAAGTAATGTACCCACAGCATTCGAAAGTTTACAATAATATTTTGAAAATGACAAAAAATCACAGAAAATGTAATTAGAGAAACAAGAAGTAAATTAGTGCGCCAGCATGCCCATTTCCCATTAATCAGGTGCACTGAGTTAATTTGATATGGCGTAAGCTCTGCAGTAAGAGTAGAAATCAATAATTTCTATTGTAATGCGCATGCGCTGGCAGTTAATTAAAATCAGCTTGGGTCTTTGAATTATCAATGTCAGTAGAAAATAGCCGTTTCTTTCCTTTTTACTTATTCAGGTCATTCTAAAAGACATGAATTTGAAATTTGAAATGAAGGGTAGTGTCAATGGACATTACTTTGAGATCGAAGGTGAAGGAAAAGGAAAGCCTTACGAGTAAGTGTCTCTTAAAAGACAGACCACGATGAATTATTTCATTATCATGTATTGAGATTTATTTTTAAACACAGAGTTGATAAGATCAAAGTGCAGTCGTCACATAGGGGCCTGACATCGAAGTATAAATGATTTTGGGAAATTATCAAAAATGAATAAGGACTTTTTTGAAAAGCAAAGTGAACAAGATCAAAGATTCATATGAAAATTTTCAGCAAAAACTATTTCTTGTTTTTATTCGAGTTTGCAAATTACCTACGGTCTATGACAGCAACTTTTTCATCAGCTCCCATGATCAGGCGAGGTGTAATGGCTGCTGTAGAGCTCAGTCACAGCTAAATTCATTTGTGATACAAATTACCAACAGTCTATGACATCGACCGATTCTTCATCTGCTTCCAGAACCAAGCGAAGTGTAAAGCTACTTCAAATTATCGTATAAAAGCTCAGTCACAGCTAAATTTATTTGCGATACTTTTTTAGGTCATACACGAGCTGTTTCTGAAAATAATTTCCAACACTTTTATCATCTTATTTTAGAGGAGTACAGAAGTCCACTTTTTGGGTCACCAAGGGAGGACCCCTTCCATTTTCCTTTGACATACTGTCGACAGTGTTCAAATATGGAAACAGATGCTTTACTAAGTATCCTGCCGACATGCCTGACTATTTCAAACAAGCATTTCCTGCTGGAATGTCATTTGAAAGGGCATTTACATATGAGGATGGAGGAGTTGCTACAGCCAGTGGACACATTTGGTATAAAAGTGATGATTAGTATCGGATTGACACAATAATCTTTAAAATTGATCTTCAAGGTCCTTTTTTACACGGAGAAGGGAGCGCCCTTTTTGAAAGTGTAACTAAGTTGTGATTCTCTCGAGAACGTTTCTCGTCTAGCTACAGGGGAACAAACATACACAAAAGGCATAATAACCAGAGAATATGCAGACTGCTAAATTTTGAAATAGGCATCTGTGAGAAAATGGATTAAGTTTGAAAAATGTCGTAGCATTATTCTACAGAGTACATTGCACTCTAGGTATGTGACACAGTTACAAGAGTAATTTTACGTATTTTAATTGATATCTCAAATTTTCTTAATTATACAGTCTTGAGGGAAATTTGTTTAAGCACATATCCATGTTTCATGGCGTTAACTTTCCCGCTAACGGACCCATAATGCAAAAGAGGACAATTGGCTGGGACCCTTCCTTTCAGAAAATGACTGTCTCCAACAACATATTGAGAGGTGATGTAACTATGTTCCTACAACTCAAAGGAGGCGGTTATCACAGTTGCCAGTTTCACACTTCTTACAAGTAAGTATTCTGTCTCTGAAACAGCTCCAACTGTTGAATATCATTCCTTTTGAGCATTTGGATCTCATCTTCTGTGTTTTACGGGATAAAAGCAACCGAAGAGAACCCTGAGATGAAAAAGGCCTTGAGAAAACGGCTTAATACTAATTTCCCTTGTCGATAAAATATTTGGGATGGAATAAGATTCTCCACAAGATACCCAGAGTTATCTATTATAATATCCTTTAAAGCTTAGAACGTTCCCTTCCCTGTATTTCTTAGTAAAAGATGTTCGGGGGAAAATGGTCATTATTTATACAAGTAATTGCTGAACTTCACTGTGCCAAAAGCAAAGTTCAAAAGCATTGATGTTCATAAAACAAGTGAAAAACCCAACGCTGATAGGTAACGTAAAACACATATTTTTTATTTTTATAAGTATTTTTTTCCTTTTGCACAGAACAAAGGAGCCGGTCACGCTGCCTCAGAACCACGTCGTAGAACATCACATTGTGAGGACCGACATTGAAGACAAAAAGGTCCTGCTGGAAGAAACTGCTGTGGCTCATGTTAACCCTTTGTAACTGGGATGGAACTATTTTAATCACCTCATTACCTCCGACGTTATTGTAATACGAATCAGGTCGGTTGAAAAATAAAATAAAGCATTGATGATCAATTGTGTAATTATCCTTCTCCCTAGTTAATGGCATTAAGCGAGCCAATTGTTCATCCTTAATATAAAATTGAAGCATGAATTTTGAGAAACTGACTTTAGCACAAAAATAAACAACTCAGAACCTACAGAGTGATTTACATTAACTGAATCCCTAATAGCAGCAACTGATTTACATCTCTGTTTTCGATTCGTGGCGGTAAAGTTCAGAATACATCATAACTCCCATACTCTCCGCAGTCAGTTCTTACCACCATGATGCAAGTTTAAAGCGAACGAAAAGAGTTAGATACCCGTGAATACCCAAAATATAAAAGAGGAAATACTGAGGAAGCCAAATAGACGCTACGCTTCTTCTTCCTTTTTTTACATTTAGTTCTTTTAAGCAAAAAAAGCAGCGGTTAGGAACTGAAATTAAATGTACACAAGCTACAAAGAGTTAAGACTGCTCAGAATGTTACTCAAATACCACTTTTCCTTTGCATACTTATTGAAATACCCTGAATTATGGGTTATATGCGAATTCAAAATGTACACTGCAACTGGTTAGCGAAAAATGTTACATGAGTACATATCGAAGTGATTTCTGGCCGGCACCCCGCTAATACGAGGCACGAATTTGTGGTATCAAGGGAAAGCAGTACCACAAGTACGAGCGTTGCCTTTATCGTTTTCACTGTAGGAGAGCACCTAATGGAGTGGACATATGGTATCGGCTGCAATATTCCTTGCTTTTTCCCGGGATCGGGCGAAATAATCCCCCTCCTTCATCAGGGCCGTTCAGCCGACTTCCACAGCAGTGACCAAGTAGACTGAATGTTTTAGATGTAAAGAGGGCTTTTTTTTTGGCATAAGGTACAAGAACGCGTGCAATGACGCGACACGCTAAGCGAGTCACCAATCTCACGGATATGCGCATATTTTATGGCATATTCTATAAGCCTCCCAGCTAGTGTGCTAAGTGTCACGCTTAACGTACGCGTGCGATATGACTCGAGTGCGAAAAGACGAAGGTCATGCTATAATCTTTTCCCTAAGTGTAACTAAGTGTAACCCTTTCATTAGTGTTCATTTTGAGTTCGTTTCCTTTTTTTTCGTTAACCAAGAACTTGTCGTAAACAACTCCATCTTGGGTTTCTACATGGTTTCGCCATGCATTGCAACTCTAAGAAGGTGGTGCTCAAAGGAGATGTCATGATTGTGAAGAAATATTCAGTAAAAAGGGAAAAAACGATAACGGTTTCCAAATTATATGAAATTATGAAGAAAAACGAGAGGTACTGAAGTCTAGTGGCACAACACGAAATAACAGCGGCACGAATCACAGAAAAAAAATTAATGTAGTGGTACAAGAGACTGAAATAGAATTTACTGAGTAAAAGCGCTAGGTCATTTTAACTACAATACTCGTTGCATGTGCATCTTGAGGCCTGCTCTACGGAAAGTAACATGATGTACATAAACGGTCGTATGTAGCGAAGGAACAGCAAAAATGTTTAATTTTGTAGTGTAATATAGGTCTGGGGCGGTATTCTTTTTTCCCTTTTTTACGGTTGATAAAAGGATTGACTATTCAGACAAGGTAAACATCGGCTTCATTGAAATCAATCGACTGGTTTCAAAATTTAAACAAATATATATATATATAGTCGACCCTAACTGACAGTGGCGCCCAAGGGCAACTTGTTGTTTGACAGTTCAAAAGTGTTCTCAGGGTCTCGGGGCAGACCCCAAAATCTATTCAGCAAAACCTGATATAAGTATGTTTCCCTAGTACAGAATTCAGTTTTGACTTCTGAGTGCCGCGGAATTGCCGTCTGCATGCGACTTTTAAATCAGTTTTCAGAATCAAGCGATCCAAACTCGACAATGAACATTGCTCTGGGGCCAAATATTATTTGACAATTCAAAGCGCAAAAGTTAGTCGTTACGAAACCTCGCTAAGCAGCCCTCATGGGTCCTCTCTATTAAACCCTTACTACTGGTAGTATTATAGGGAGATGACACTTGTTGCCCCTGAATGGGGAAGATCAGCATGCATTCAAAACATTGTAGAGCCTTCGATGCGATGAATCAGTAAACAGTCCTAGAGGACGTTTACATCGGTAAAAGTGATGTTTGCATAAGTAAAGCTTCAATGCCTACTTAAATTTCTTTTTTCGCGAAAGGATGATTGAAAGATGCACACCTATCGCTTTACGCGTCAATCGGCATTTCTCGTTTTCCTTTTCAATTGAATAATGCAAACATGGGCGGCATTTGATGGTAGTCATATTAAGATTTCACACCCTTGAATATTACGAAAAAAGGATGAAATGCGCAGCATTTAACAGTCTCAACAGCGTTGCTTCAATTGAAAATCAAAACGTAGCTTTTGAAAGCAGT